ACCCCTAATTCTAAAGACCATCTGTCATAATAAAGTCATGTATAAACTAACGAGAAGCAGTCACGACGAATAGCTACCTAGGTAGGGGGCTAAAAATTTAGATTAAGCCACACTTCTAGATGGTCGTGGTATCATCAAATCTCGGGGTAATAGCGACATGTTTGCTGACAGATTACCCTGAGAGTTTGCTTTCTGACAGTCCGGGTGAGGGTAATGGTCACCGACCTTGGCAACAAAACACCGAAATATCTCACTCCATCTGCAGGTCTTTGGCTTGCAGCTTTGCATCCACTCTACCACTTTCACCCCCAACTCGAACCAAGTGAAACATGGTCGACTATCTATTATCTAAAACATGTCTTCGCCCCGGCGCCACTGAATCAGCAAAAGCAATGATAACCACCTACCTAAGGTTCATGTGACAATATTATAATAGGTACTCATCGATTGATTGATTTTCTTCGTTCATTTCCGCCAGTTCAAAGTAGAGAACTACCTTAGCTTTCAGCTCGAAAAAACTAAAGGTATTATAATAGTTGCTGCATTGTCATTCTTACGTAAAATACCTACCGTAATGTGAGGCTGGGCTACAAGGTAATAATGATTGCCTATTACAATTACTAATAAATACTGCTAGATAATACATTAGGTTAGTATTTTAAGAGTGTCTTACAATACGTGGTAGGCTGGTTTCTTCCCGTAACTGGCGTCCTTTGTTGTGCTAACGTAAGACTTCGCATACCACCAAATAAGATATATCCGCATCATACATCTCGTGCTAAAGGTGTGAAGAATTGTCGAATGCGTACGACGTGAGCTGACAGCTGAGTCAGGCACATGATAAGCTCTTGAGCACACCGGGTGAACCCCATCGGTAGGTTGTTAGAGTTCCTTGCGGAACAACGAACGAATTTGTTTCCATGCTGTTTAGTTCCACCTCGTGACAATCGGAGTATCATAGAGACGTGTAAGGCTATAAGTACTGAGGCATATATCCCTCAGATAGTCAGCATCGTATGAAGTGCAAAATCAATATCCATAAATTCATCCCAAGAACAATGGCAACCATCACAGGTATCAGTGGTAACCAATATATACCAGGAGCAAAGGAATACGATGAAGTAAAGTATCAGTACGCGACATCAACTTATGGCAAGGAACGCGACCTCAACCCAGGATTAATTGTCCAACCTAAGACGAAGGAGGATATTGTACTAACCCTCAAGTATGCTAAGAGAAGAAAATCGCGGTAGCCATCAAGACAGGCGGCCACCAATATAGTGGAGCTTCGTCTACGAGCGCTCCAAATATTCAGCTGGACCTAGAGCATTCATTTAGGGGTCCAGAGGATCGAGCTATCTTCGAGAAAGATGGAAAGGCATATGCTCGTACCAGCGTTAGCTGGAGCCTTGGGGAATTCAATGCTTGGGTTACGGAACATAAGCTGTTTGTACCTCATGGGCAATGCACTGAGGTTCATGTCGGCGGACACGCACAAACTGGAGGTAATATCCCCCTTGTTGAAAGTCCATATAGAAGTTGCAGTTTTTAAAAGCATCAGTTACTAATAGGAAATAGGTTACGGTCAACTGGGACGTAGTTTCGGGTTATTCGGGGACCACATACTATCTCTCGAGATCGTAGACACTGACGGAAACTTCAAGGAAATCACCAAATCTACTGACCCAGATCTCTTTTGGGCTTTCTTAGGTGGCAGTCCCGGTAACCTTGGAGTCTTGACTCATTTCACTATCCAGATGCACCGCGACCAAGACTATAACGGCTCTAAGGGTATGAAGGCAATGTACCTCTACGACACCCAAACCTTGAAGCGTCTAGTTGACATCCTTGTTGAGATGTCTGACAATGAAAACTTTCCTCGCAACTACGACTTTTGTATCAGCGTGCTTAGCTCGGCATTTCCTCTACTCGATCTATGCCCAGGAATTGACGAGTGGATGGCACGGAAGCACCCAGAGTACTACGGCAAAAATGGACTGATTGCGTGGCCGCGTACCATTGTCGTGTTTGCGCAGTGGGTGCCGTTCGAGAGTGGTGACGTGTGCGATAATTCATGGTTTGATCGTATTAAGGAGGGCTCCGACTGGATTCTTGGTAACAGCAATGTTCAGGAGAAGCCCATGTCGCAGCTCACTGGTGACTGGATTTTCCGTAACGTGCGCGAGTTTGAACACCCATACGTCAAGCGTACTTACAGTACTCGTTCGCACACGCTTGCTAAAGACGGTTGGGCCGACTGGGTTGTCAACCGTATCGATTCTATCATTCGACCCGAACACAACCGGTGCTGGTTGTCGGCACAGCTACAGTGTTTCGGTGGGAAGAACTCCATGTTCACGCGGAATGCAGGAAACGGTACGGCGTACAGCTGGCGAGACACGAGTATCTTGTGCACAATGGACTGCTTCCACAGCGATGAAACTAAAACGCGAGCTGAAGACTGGCAAAAGGTGAACGATGAGGAGGCCATCGGCCCCAACGGTATCTTTTCAAAAGAGGACCGCCGTGTGCTCTGGGGCTCGTACGGAGAATGGGATTTGGATGCTGTGTGGAACTGTTACTATGAAGATAGGGTAAAGTATGACAAACTTCGTGAGATTAGAAAGAGAGTTGATCCTTATGGGATCTTCACGCCAAATCCCTTTTCCGTCAAGCGAGCAGAATAATTTCTTTCTTTAGTCTTAGGATTGAGCAGCTGATTGGAGGTAACGAGATTTCTAAGTCTATAAGGATGGTGGGTAATATAGCTGTGGCGCGTTCCGTACTACATAGGTAGATACCATGATCTACTATCACACTCCCTATTCATACCTACCTCTATGTTTGACAACTCTTAGTTATATAAGTTTCGAACTCCGAGGTGGGCTGGTATCATTTTTTATTTCATGTATACTAACTTCATATAGTTAAAGCATTAATATAATAGTTAAATTAAAAACAACTTCAGGTATCTAGTACGCCTTTGTATGCTGCCCTGAAATACTCTATACTGTAACTCTGCCATACGTCTAGCTATATAAGTCTAACACCCTTCTAATTCTAGTTTATTCGTCTAAGCCCACCCGATTCTAAATAGTTTATATCCACTCATCTCCACGTCCAACGCCACGGCGCTTTTCAACACCCTCCATGTTCAGAATTGCGAGATGTCGATTGTCTGAGGTTTGGGAGTATGATCCATTGAAGGCGGCTTCGACAGAGTCAACCACAGTTTCGAAGCGGCCATTCGGGCGTATAGTCATGAGTAGCCAGAACACACCCTTAGGTGCGAGCAGACGGGTCGCACAGTCTCGAAGCCACACAGCGTGCTCAGGTGCGTATACCACGTCGGTCGCTACGAGCACGTCTGCTGATAAGTCGAGCGGTGCTTCCAAGATAGGGGCGGACCAATTGAGGAAGCATGTCTCTACGCTTACCCGGCTGAGCTTGACATTAGACTGTAGATTCTCAAGAACAGCCGGATGATAGTCTGTTGCTATCAAGGTGGCATCAGATACACCGAAGTGAGGTAGCGCTTTAGCAAGAACAAGACTGACTAGTCCCGTCCCGGCACCAAGCTCGATGATACGCGGAGACGAGCCGAGGGTTTCTTGATTAAGTCCGAGCCGGTCTGGTGACGAACATAACAGGTCAGAGAAAACAATGGATGCACCCCAGCTCTGTAGGCCAACATCGGTGTGATCTGTGGAGGTTTGTGGTGCATCATTGAGTTGCACGTCTATCGAGACCTTTTCACGGATACCAGACTCCTTCAACCCAGGAGAACCCTGATTGGAGAATAACGATAGTTCGAAAGAAAATTCTCGTGTAATTCCGGAATCCTCTTCGTCATCTCCGTCCGCGAGTTTGGTGAACGAGGCAAGGATAAAGGAAGCTTTATCAACCGCCTGCTCGCGCTCGTCTTCATTACTCAGGGGTAGCTCTTCCGCGCTGGCGATTAAAGTAGTCAACCAGCGAATAGCGAAGTTACGCTCGAAGGTGTCTGCACGTAACTCGTCAAGATCATATTCCGAATCTATATCATCCTCGGAGACGTAGCCGGAGTCGATCGGTTGGACTAGTAAATCATCATGAGCCTTCCCATGTTCGAGCTGCGACTTAACTGCCCGTGGTAACGAGACGGGCAGTACAACTCATAAAGGTTATCTAGAGCCGAGAATATTCGGTCCCTATTGAGTGCAGTCAACGAACGTAAAGGTGGCAGGCTGCTCGTAGGAGACAGCAGATGACCCGCTGGGTTCATTGGAGTCCTCGGTCAGACTCGCGGTCCGTCTCCGGGGTGGATGTCCTAACGAATGAAAAAAGGGAAAAACATGAACATAAGATAACGAGCGACTGGTGAGGGTTTTATGAATTAAAAAAAAAGTGAGATGGATTATTACGTCGGGGCCTAGAACGGGCCCAACGGAGTGGATCTTGAATAAGACCCACTTGCCACACAACTTTTGTTACTATCGTGAAAAGTCTCGGCGATAGCGGTGAATGCGACGAATCCCCTGACTCGCCATTTCCCATGTGCTTCTTCCGTTGGCTACAATTGTTTTTACTTATCTTTACTTAGACAGAGCAAGATATTATAACAGGTAGGTAGGTTTATATATTTGATATTTTATCAATACTTTTTATAGATTAACTAACAACTTCATTAAATTAGGTATACAAGGTACATTCAAATCCATACGTTTCTAAATGCTTTAATCTAGGTATTACCGGTCTTCACGATGGCTGCATCCCAGCATATTCATAGTTATATCGCTCGATACGTCGAGTAAAGACGCATATTTTAGAAAATGAATTACTGCTTAGGTATCTGTCATAGTATGGTAGAATACTTATTGACCCCTATCTCTTCATGTAAGACTGTTCAAAGGTGTTTTATTTCCTATACTCCCATGTGCTATCCGTATCCGATCATTTCCTTTTCAATCAACTTGCAATACTGGGCTCTCTACAGGAATGAAACCTTTCTCTCACACTATTTAACCACCCATCACAGTTATGGTATGGACGTAGCGAAGCTTGCCTTTCTCGACTCGGAACTCGTGGCTGTCTGGAACAGTCGCAAAGTCGATGAAGATGTCAACAGCACCAAGAGTCTCGTCAATGACATAACGACGGTTGCTCAGATTGACTCCTGCAAATTAAGCGTTAGTGATCTATCAAATTCCCTCGTTGTTCTAAATAGATATGACTTACCATTGGGAACACCGACATCACACCTATCGTCGGCGGATCCAGAGCCAGTGTAAGCACCACCCTCAAGACGTGCGCAAGGGTGTCCCCAAGGGACTTGTACGGACTTGTCGTTGAAGAGGTCGGCGTAGGCATCGGCTGCGGCCTGGATCACCTCGCGGCTGTCGCGCTGGTCCTCCGGGATTGGGTCCCACTTCTCCTGGGATGCCCAGTAGAGGGTACCGGTAGCGTTGAAAAGCCAATCGCCCTGATCAGTAACGAGAGAGCTGATATTGGCGATCTTTCCGTCGGCGAAGCGCAGTTGCGTGCCTATGACGTACGGGTGCGCCTTGTCTGTGACAACGATCTCGGTGTAAGTTGCGCATTGGGTGGTGTCGTGGAGACTACGGTTGAAGTCAATATTGAGCGCGTGAGACAGTATTCCAGTCTTGATATCAGCCGTCTTAAATGCTTCCAAGTAGACCACTGTGTCGGCCAGAGGAGCTACCGTGTCGGGAGTTCCCGCAGTCTGTGCTGCAAGGAGACTATCAGTAGCAGCAATGAGGTCTTCGCGGGTGCATTGTGCTACGGCCTGAGCTGCAAGGAGCCCTAGAGCGACGAGAGTGAGTCTCAACATCTTCAATATTGCCTATGGGAACTGGTACCAAGTAGAAGAGGAAGGGAAACTTGAGATAACTGCCATTCTTACATCTGGGGCGAGTCGGGGTAGCTCCTCCTAAATATGAATTATTACATGATGTCAAAACCGGCAAAGAAGATGATACTGTCGTACTCGAAGAGAATAGCCATATGAATTTTGTGTGGGGTTGTTTCGGCAATTCCACAGAGCTGGAAGATCATCATCCGCCCATCAAGTCTAGAAACCAGACGATTAGCACCTAGTAGAAGTCGTTGCCACTTTCGTCACCTCGATTAAGACTCAACTTAAATTTAACGAACCCTATTACTTAATATGTTCCAAGAAGTGCCTGTAGTTTTATGTTCTTCTAACTATGGGGAAAGGATGTATGGAGATAGGCAATGGTAAACGATATACCCGAGAGCCGGGAAAGATCCATCTTCATAATTATTCTATCTTTACCTCAAATGACTTGAGGCGATTAATCTATTCTTAAATAGTATTATAAAGAAAGCTCATATCCTTTTGTACTTCATATCCGTAAATGAAGATTAGGGCAACTTAGGTTTCTTAGACTGTTTTCTAGATATTCGTCACAAGAGTATGTCGTTATCTTCTTCCCTTCCCTTAACTCCTTGAAATGTCTTTGGTTAAAGATTGTTAGAGATTCCTTCTGGGTTAAATTTGTGAAATTTATTTATTTGAAAATTCAAGTGTTGTGCTTGAAAGGACAATGAAAAGGGAGTGGTAAAGGTACCCGGGGGAGAAAACGAATTGGTTTCTATTTCGATGGCTAAAAAAAGGCTACAATTCTATTTTATAATTACCTATATTTGAATATATTTCACATTTGCTAGATTTTAAGTGATGCTATTCAAATTGCATCCGTATAGTATCTAGAAAGCTGATCGTCATTAGCGCACGGAACTCCAGGCGTAAATAGGCCCTATGCCCGCTACGCTGGTCCAAACGCCTCTTCTAGAATACAACGCGTGTCCCACTACTAACAAAATTTTTTTTTTTTTTTTTTTTTTTACAATATAGACCACGAAGAAATGGAAAACCAAAAGCCAGAAGTGTACAGGCTGCAGCTGTGCGACCGAGGACTGCATCAGAGAAAGTTAAGCTTACGAATACGAAGGGTATTATGACAAGAAATGAATCATTGAGTAAGAAGCGCAAGGCGGGTATGTCATTCGAAGAGGAACTCGCAGCTCTCAATCGTAACCTAGACGCCATCGTTGGTTCTGATATTTTCGAAGACGAGATGATGCTTAGTTACGACATTGTGCGTAATTGGATCGGAAAGTTACTCGAGGTCAATATAATGAACAAGATCGAATTTTCTCAAGTTATTGAGTGCAGTACAAATACCCTGAATTAGGTACTTTTCTGAGATAAACCGAGCCCAAAAAATGGCCAGAATAGTTTCGCATATCACAACACTTAGACATGGCTAAAGCAACGCCAAACAGCGAAGTCAGCGAAGTCAGCGATGCCGAATACGAACAAGAAGTAAACGCAAAAGGCCAATTCTACGAGTTCAAGCATATGCAAGTAGCGTCCCAAGGTGTCATCAATGGCGGCTCTATTCTCGGACATTAAGCACATCTGCTTGGACGATGAGGAGATAGACTCATGCGACGAGATTCGACGGAAGATCAATGCGCATCTGGGAAACCCCGAGAGTAACACAGTCATAATTATGTCGTGATCTGTATGCACAGCTCAATGCGCCCACGGTTAAGTGCATCCAGTCCAAACAACTTAACGACTTCCGTCGTGGCTACGGTGCTAAAACAGGAACTAAGAGCACTGTATTCTATACCGCATATGAGGTATATTTCGAAAAGCTACGTCTTGCACAGGGTAAGCCTAATACGAAGCAGGGCCTGGATATGGAGGATATCTTGGTATGGAGAGGAGGGTTCGATCGTGAGACTGATAATAGGACCGTGTAAGAGTCGTCCGTCTAGAGGACTTTGCAGATTTATACAGGAGGTACTTACTAGATTCTAGGTTCGTTGGATTAGCAAGCTCGAGTCCCTACGTTTACTCTGATCGTTATGGGCGCATTATTTCGACGCCCGTGTACCTATAATGCGACTTGAGAAGGAGTCCTAAATCATGCCAGGTAAAATCCCGATCGCAAGATCATATCTTTCATTCTTCTAAGTCCACCCTTTCTAATATCTAATATAACTAATGCATTAATGTTAAGGACATATCTTGGAGTAGAACCGTCTGCAGTCACTACACCCGTCCTCTTCCATATATTACGTATGAAATAAGAAAGAAAAAGGCTCTATATCTTCTCATTTCTAGGTCGCCTTGGGACTTATCATTGTCAAGATCCTATGGTAATACTGGAGTCCCACTCCAGTAAGAGCAGCCGCAATGACCACTCCGATATAGGCTGATGGATTGTAGTAGCTATGGTTCCTTGATAACGCATTCTTTGACTCTTCCCCTTGACAATAGGATGGTGGGCGTAAGGTCAATTTTCAAGTTTTTGGTATCAGACTTCTCTTCCAGCCAATCCAGGACAGGGGCACGGGAGACGACTGGCCCATATATGCGGTTTGTGCTGTATACTCCGAAGCTAGTGTAAGGGATGATGTATTTAGTCATGATCTTATCCATTGGGCTGAGCCACGCGTAAGCTCGAGCACGACGCATGGACATGTCATGAACTATTGGCTCATCCTTTTTCCGCTCCTCCTGGTAGTCGGCGAATACCGCTTCTAAGGCTTTCGTATCCGGTGACCGAGTAGTCTCGAGTAAGCGTCGGAGCTTATTCACGAGGACAACTACATCGGCCAAACCGCTATTATATCCTAATCCGGCGTGAGGCTCTAGTTTCCGAATAGCATCACTTGCGAGGACGATACGATTCCAATACCATTTGTCTACACGACCCTCCTCCAGGTTGATCATACCAAAGTTTCCATCCTGTAGGCCGAAAACGTCGCGCACTCTCATGCCGGGAGCGGTGTACAGATGTCCCCATCTCTGTATGGCCTCCTCCTTATCCTTTTCGGTATATTTGATGCGTTCTGACGTAGGTTTATCAAGCGCTTCATACACGCCGAACCATGCTAGAGAGTTACCAGTGAGAAGCTGAGTTGATACACGTCCTGACGCGCATTCGTGATTGACATTATTTGGTAATGTCGGAGGAATAGGTATACTTCCAAAGACCATCCTGTATGTGGTGACGTAGGGACTCTTAGGGGTTTCCGATATGCTCGGAGCTGCCCTACCCTCCTCCATCGCCTGCATGCATTGGCGAACTCTACTGTGAACGCCGTCTAAACCTATCACAATGGAGCCCCTTTCCACGGTACCATCGGTACACTCGACGACCACTCCATCATCTGACACGTTTACTTTGAAGACGTGCTTCTTGACCTTGATTCGTGCTTTCGCACTGTCAGGCAGGCTTTGATATAAGGCTTCAATGAAGAGCGGGCGATGAGTAACCTTTAATCCGTACCCGTGGCTAGATCACGATAACTATAAGCTTGGTTCCATACTCATTACCTTGGTTTTGGATTGACGTACTTTTTTTGATCAACTCTCCGGGGTTCCACGATGTGAATATGGACCCGTCGTCGGCAGACATGGTGACTCCATTGTCGATAGGGTTAAGAACAGGCTCCAATTTATCTTGTAGATCTAATTGGTCAAAAATGCGAAATGTCGGCGGCCACAAGCTTAGGAGAGAGCCAAGTTCGGGTGTTAAATTCTCATGTCGTTCAAGTATAACAAAGTCGATATCCGTTTTGGATAATATATGTGCTGCAGTAAGACCCACGAGTCCGGCTCCGACAATTACGATACGAAACGGTTTCTCTACAGTAGCATCTTTTAACTCGGTTATAGTCTCTCTCTCCGGATATAACACAACGGCTTGCGGTTGATTCGAGATGATCCTAGCAGGTCTACGGAGGTGCAGAGGGAACACATTAAAAAAACCCAAAATTTGTCATTATACACACCCCCACGGTATAACCAGAAAAAGCGAAGCGAAGAGATGAGAGAACGGAAGGAAAGAAAGCGAGAAAAAGAAACGGGAGAGAGGAAAAGGGAGAGAGAAGGGGAAAGGAGGGAGAGAAGGGGGGGGGAAAAAGAGAAAGGGGGGGGAGAGGAGAGGATAGGGAGGGAGGGAGGGGGAAAAAGAAAAGGGAGGAGGGAGAAAAGGAAGAAAGCAGGGGAAGAAAGGAAAAGAAGACGAGAAGAGAAACGGGGGGAAGGGGGCGGGGAGGAAGGAGGGACGGAAGAGGGAGGAAGGAGGGGGGGGAGGGGGGAGGAAGGGGGAGAAGAAGGGAGGGAGGAAAAGGAGGGAGGGAGGGAGGGAAGAGAAAGAAGAAAGGGGAGGGGAAAGGAAAGGGAAAAGGAAGAAGGAGGGGAAGAAAGGAAAAGAAGAGAAGAAGAGAAACGGGGGGGAGGGGAGGGGAAAGGAAAAAAGGAGGAAAAAAAGGAAGAAAAGAAGGAAGAAACGGAGAAAGGAAGAAAGGGGAAAACGGGAGAGGAGGGGGAGGAGGGGAGGAGGGAGGGGGGGGGGGGAGGAGGGGAGGAGGGGAGGGAGGGAGGGAGGGGAGGGAGGGGAGGGAGGGAGGGGGGGGAGGGAGGGGAGGGAGGGGAGGGATTTTATTTATTTTATTTATTGATTTATTTTATTTATTTTATTTATTTTATTACGTAATTTTAATCACGTGTTATTTAAATATTTATTTATAATAAATGTTTATAAAAAAGTTTTTTTATTATTAAATTTTATGCAATTAAAAACTTATTATTTAATATATATCATGGCTATAAACTTACCCTATTCATTTAAAGGTTTATATGTAATAAACAATATAGTTTTAATCGGTTTTATTTTGATTTACCCCCTTTACCCTTGGGGTCAGTCCAATAATTTTAGCGTTTTTTTAATGTGTTCCCTCTGCACCTCCGTACAGGTCTTATTCGAAACGTTCTAGAAGTAGACTCTTTTCCAAAAGCTTGCCTATTAAATATTTTTAACGCGTCGAAGGTGACAAGATCCCTGTCGAACGCACGTATCTCACTTTAGCCGGTGGTCAAGTGGATATGGTGCAAAAGTGGTGAAGGCCAAGTTAGTAAACAGCCTAACATATTACATACCTAGCTTTTATAGTCACTTTATATACTATAAGTTTTGATATATACCTACGTAACTAGCCGCTTATTCCTATCGCTAAAGATAAGTAACTCGGGTAATCCGGGATTCGATTATGAGACCAGGGATTATTTACCTATCACGCAAGTTTGCATAGAACTATCCTATCAAATCCTCCTTATTCCGACCAAAATCATTCCGGTGGTACTATTAAGATGGTGTGACGAGTTCAACTTCTCGTGTTACTGCGATTCCTTGCTTCGGTCTTTGCCCATTGGCAACAATATAATGGTCCTTAGCCTCCCTTAACTGTAGTTTAGCTAACCCCTGAAAACCTCCACGCACGCTATCCGCTTCGTATCCCTTGGCACGAAGCACGCTAGTCGCCACGCGGGAGCTGTCGCCATCATAACAGAGGATCAGAATACGCCTACCCTGTAATAACGACACTACCTCGCTACACGGTGCTCGAAAATACTCATCTATTTTCAGCCACAGCGCTTCGAGTACCGCGGGATTCGAAAATGGACTTGTAGTCAATGAATCCACGAACGGTAAGTTGACGGAACCGGGTAGGTTGAACTCTCCGAAATCCACGGGTTGACGGATATCAATAATAACCGCATTATCTTTGAGATTAATGGCTTCACTCAGCCCATTTTGATTTGCTGCCTCGTTCAGAATACCGGACAGCACCTCCTCTTTAGTTGCTACTCTTCTCATTTCGAAAAATAGGGGAAGAACGGTTGTGGCATCTTTCTCCCATGCCTCATCATAGCGGTAAAGATCGACTTTGGTTAGTGCCTGGTCTTCGGGTTAGTGCTACTATTATTTCTCGTCGTGTAAACCCGTACCTCGTTCTTAATGGAAGGGAAATATTCCGAGCCCAACTTATCAAAGTACTCGTTGATGTATTGATAGGGTAGATCACAGCAAAGGAACACACAATGGATTTCCCCATCCTCGCCTGCGTACTTCGATAGCGTTCCTGTGGCCTTTTGCTTTTCAATGAACTGGAATAACCCTTTTAGATTGAAACCTGAAGAAGGGCCGCATACGATGCCTTGGCGGCACATTTCCAGCGACAAGGAAAAGGAGTCGTGTGAGCCAACTTCCTCGATATGATCTACTGCTGATTTCCAAGGGAACTCGACTGGCGCAAGAAGAGCAAACGAACGAGGACCTGGGACTCTATCACCAGGCGCGGTGCATACTCTACTAGTTGTTAGTAGGTCCGTTGCCAAACGAATTAGATCGGAGGTGTGCAAACCCTAAACGAAAGACGGAAGACTTCGACTCCTTAAAGAACATCCCCAATCCCGTCATAGTACCTGGAATATATCAGATAATGGTAACCATTGCGGCATTTTTAGCATAACCTACCGGAAGTACCCATACCAGCGCAGATCAAATTGATCTCTGGGAGTTGTTTGAGGATTTGGGGTCCCGTCCATCTAACATGTGCTTTCCAGTTCTGTTATCGGTCAGTCTTCGCTAATTACAGAGAAGTATAGGTTATTTTACATCATCATTTTCATATTGATTCGGGTTGATGATCGACTCATTATCTTCGGCCATCCTCTCAGCTGCCCTGATCCCTCCACGCCCATCGGTGGGCTCTGGTTGGGATGGGCCTCCAAAGAGAGTACTAGTTCGAGATTAACTAAAGATCACATTATGAGAACTAGGGGTCAACGTACATATCGAGGCCAAAAAATTGCATCAGCCGTAACTTGGCTACGCTGGTCTTGTTGCTCAAAAATGCACGAATATCAGAAACGTCGTGGAAAATTCGAGAGACGAGGGACATCGATATTACAGTCGAGCCCGAACTGTACTCGATGATGGTCTTGGTCTTCCCTGGCACCACGCTCTTCTCTAGAAGGTTTAATGCTAACACAACGTTAATATTGAAACATGTACCTAACGTAACGTTATATCGGTAACTCACCTGGCATGGCCTTTACATTGTTGGCCGGATGCATCGTCATCATTTTGGCGTATATCCTCACGCCATCACGCCGATAGGGGTTAAGTTGGTCTGGAATCTCCACGAGAGGTAGTGGAGGAGCTGAATCCGGATCGAAATAATCCTGGACTGAGTTCGCGCCCTTGTAGACGTTGAGAAAGTTGTTATTCGACATGGTCGATTATCTTAGTTCCTTTCCTATGAAGGTTCATGGGCCATACTGAAAAGCCTAGAGGTGCAACTGATACGAGGGGTAAGATATATATACGGTAGGTAAGTACGCTCGCTACCTAGGCCCTTTATTACGGGGGTTTTAGATATGTCGAACTGATGATTCAGGCACAGTTCTGATATTACATAGTTGCATCCACATCTCTAGGAGCGTCACAATCTGTATCCAGGTTAATTACCTAACGGGATCTTGTTTGAGCAGATATTTCTCCCTGGGTGCATGACGCGGACGCGGCAGTCTAGACTATTTCCTTCCTCGGTTGCCAACAAGGTCTCTTTAACAGGATTCTTGGCTCATGATGGATCGGCATGTCGCGAACATGGCTGACATTAACAGGAAGAGGTTTCATAAATTATTAACATCCAATCTTCTCCGGCACGAGCAAATAAACTTCAAAGATCCATACTTGGTGTCCGCATTCCTGGGTAGTCGTTACATAGGTTACAATATAGCGCCGATCCTTGTACGAGGCACTTTGAGGTCGTTTCCAACCAATCAGACCGTTTAACATGACCCTGGCCATGTCTGTGTGTGCATGGCACGGTGGTAAACCTTACTTTAGGTAGTATCAGGGAAGAATTATATATCCCATAACCTGGGCTAAATGTAGCTAAACTTACACGTGAAGCTTTTCATGATGTGTTTAAATTTTTAGAGTCCGCATTTGTAAGCTTACGTGCTTTGAATAACTCGAAAGTCATCTCTCTGTAGGATCTTTTTTTGCTAAGTTGACTGGTCTACTTCCAGGCATCTTAGCTCTCTCGTTCCACCGCCTTTTGGTCCCAGAGTGGAAATCCGGGGACTTGAACTCCACTAATCCTTCTATATTGCTAGTAGACTAGTAGACGGGTAACGTTATATCTAACTCATATTTTGAAGACTTTTATTGCTTCGAGTTTACTTCGAAGTAGATCACTTGATGAGGACCTTTTCGTCCTGCTGGTGGATATCTTTATCTTGACGATCTCTCAGCCGCCATCAAGGTCTATCATTTAACACCCCAGCAACATAACTAAGACTACTTACCTTTAACAAGGATTATTTTCTCTAGCAAGCTATATCATACTAATTCTTCGTCGCCCGCTCACCTACATGATTCCATGACAAAATAAATACTCGATCGAGTTGCACTTTAAAGCAAGTATCCCACATACTTGCAACTAGTGATGCAGAAGGTTGCAATGGGAGACCGATCTCAATTCGACGATGTTGCTAATGTCACCATTGGGGGAGAGACTACAGTATTCACAGAGCCCAAGGGTGGTTCGGAGAGCGATACTGAAGTACACCATGTCTTCAATGAGCAGACCAATTATGTCCCTAGGAGGACCATCATCACGGTAAATATTGCCAAAGCAGAGATATCTCATGATCTTTAGGAGCTAACTAGTTCAAGATATTCCTCGCATGTGCCAGTGTCGACTTATTAGCTCTTATGGACCAAACTACATTAGCTTCAAGCTTATACATCATCGCTGATGCGCTGAAGTCAACCGACCAAGTGTCGTGGATTGCCAGCGGATATTTCATGTAAGTTTTTGCCGTACAATCTAGATTATATCAGGATGAATTATCGACGTTCATTATGAGGCTGAACGCTTTACCAGAACATCAACCGTAGGACAACTTTTGTATGGGCGGCTTTCAGACATCTGGTCTCGTAAAGTGATCCTACTCATCGGCTTAGCTATCTTCTTCATTGGCTCCTTGGCGTCATCTCTTTCCCAGACTGTAACTCAGCTGATCATTTTCCGTTGCTTCACCGGCATCGGCGGAGGTGGACTGATGACCATAGCCCAGACCATCGTTAGCGACGTGGTGCCGTTAAGGGAAAGGGGGAAATACCAAGGAATCCTAGTATGTAGATTTAGCATCCCTCGCCCCTGGTCTCTCTATCTAACTGTTTTCTTAGGGAGCAGTTGTTGCCATTGCTAATGGAATCGGTCCTGTCATTGGCGGGTCTCTCTCCTCTATCTCAGAAGACTCTTGGCGGTGGATATTCCGTTTGAATTTGCCTCTTACCTTGTTGACCACATGTTGCGTTATATTCATTATGCCGCTAAAGAAAGTGGAGGGGGACTGGAAATTGTAAGGGAACAACATACCATTCCTAGAGTTATCACATGCTAAACAATGCCTTTAGAAAGTTGAAAGCTGTCGACTTTCTCGGCATTATCCTTACTCTAGCTGGTGTTACCGTCCTAATGCTAGGATTGACATGGGGTGGTTCTGAATACCCATGGGACTCCGCTGCTGTAATCGTTACCTTGGTTCTCGGGCTCGTACTCTGTGTAGCCTTTGTTCTGTGGCAATGGCGCGGGCCACGGTATCCTTTAGTACCTTGTAAGCTCATCTGATCTAGTGACTATTTGTATCTATGTGCATCTATGTGTATCTAACCTTCAATTTAGTACATATATTCAAGTCTAAGATCGTCAATGGAGCCTGCCTCACTATGGCCATAAACGGTTGGAATTTCGTCGTTCAAGTCTACTATGTTCCTACGTTCTATCAACTCGCCTATGGGTACTCCGCAACCAAGGCTGGCGCTATGTTGCTCCCAATTACGCTCATACAGACGCTTAGCAGCACATTGTCGGGTCTAGTGGTTCACTGGGTTGGCAGGTACCGCGAATGTATCTTGTTTGGATGGGTCTGTTGGGCTATCGGCCTCGGTTTAATGTCAACGCTAGACGAAAACTCAGGACTCGGGAAACAGATAGGGTATGCCATTATTATTGGAGTAGGGGTTGGAAACACACTCCAGCCGTAAGTTCCGAGTATCCTTATTTGCATGATATCATTAAAACTGACGCGTGATATATAGAGCTCTAATAGCATGTCAAGCTGGAGTCGAGAGGCGAGACATGGCCGTTGTGACGTCTTTTAGAAAGTGAGAACCCTTATTGTTGTTATTAACTGTAATTTTTTCAACTAATTTTTTCCAGCTTCGTAAGAAATCTTGGAGGAACATTGGGTCTTGCTATCTGTGGTACCATACTGTGAGTAATTATTCGCGATGCTCCTAACCCTCATGCAACTTATTTTATTTTTATTTATCTAACCTAACCCTATAGGAACAACATTCTAGCGAGTTCGATTTCATCGCTAGATATTGACGGCGCCGACATCAAGGATCTCCTCAACGGCCCGCAATCTTACTTATCGTCTTTGCCTCTAGATGAGGCGTTAAAGATCCGATCAGTCCTCATTCCTGCATATCGCCAAGGATTTAGGGTGATATTCCTTGTAGGAGCATCTCTGGCTGCTTTTGCATTCGTCATTTCCTGGTTCATGATGCCACAAGTTGAACTTAGCCGTCCTGATGATGAAAAACTGAAAGAGGAGGGCCGAAGGCAGCAAATGGCAAAGAATGCCCCAACCCCTTAAATATATCGTGATAACCGTCACAGCTACCGATCTTAGGTTTGCGACAAGAAGGCGGTTCAAAGCGATAAGACAACATAAAATATAATATTTTACTGCTCAACCTATGAGACTTTAGTTTCTATTTAATCAAATAAGAGTGATATCCTGAAGTTGCCAAAGTCCCTTCCTTTGTCCATCGGCCATATCTAGATCAATAAGCTCTGGTACCCAACAGCAAGAGACAAACTGATATAATTCTCTGGACTGGCCAATAGGCCGTAATATGTAAGGCACCGCAGAGCCTAGGAATACGCACAATTTATCTCCAATATGAACATCCCGGTTTGACCCCGTACTTCCCATTAGACCCGATGCTGTAATGAAAGGCTTGCGGAAGTTACAATGAATTCCTAACTTGGAGTTCAAGTCTACAATCGCGCGTACTATTAAAGGACCATCCTTCACCAATGGCACTCTTCTGTTACGATTAGTTAGCATATCGTAGTTTTCGCTCATCTCGGTTTTATCCCCTGGTAGTTCATGGAAGAGTGCGCACTTCCATGCATCACGCCGCTCAGTTTTCGTTGTGAATTTCTTACGTGCGCAACTTTGGCGCTCCATCTCGTCTTCCCATTCAATAAGTCGTGTGTGACAGACTCTTATCGAATCGTCGAGGTTTGCGATTTGAGATGTACCTGATTTGAAGTTTTTGCCTCTGTGCTGGATACTCGGTGTAAAGACATGTCCTTTGATAGTGACTTGACGTAGATCAACCGAGAAGCGCGGTGGGTTTGGTGGTGGTTGCATCCCATTTAGCTCGTGTATTTGCATATAAGTCATAATGCCGGGCGAAAGCTTCGAAGCTCTATCACCCTCCAATGCGGAAGTCCATGTCGATGCCCATGATGGTAAGCCCTCCATAGGACATACGACAGAACAGAGAGCATGGGATAGCAAACCTCCCTTAAACAGGAAAATACTCAAGTCCCTAAACATGTCCGCAACTGGTTTTGTATAGTCGACTTCAAGCAATTTTTCATTTTGCGCATCGCCTTTCAACATCCCAAGGACTCCATACAACCTGTCCCTGGGTTCAGTCTTTTCAAAGAAGCGAGTTTGCCAGAGTAAATCAGCTAGCTCGAGGTGAATTGATTGGCGAGGTCTGTCCTGAGACCTGGGAGTGCGAATCCGCATCCAACATCTCTGTATACTATCCGCTCTCGATGCGCCGCTCAACCGCCAAATATGAGTGTGCTGGCCAAGCTGAAGTCTACGCAGAGCATCTACGGCTTCTAGAACTCGCTTCCAATCTATCAACCGGTCTCCGTAAACTACCGTCGCAGCCTTTGCCAGCACAATTTCTTGAATTATCCAAACGCGATTGAACCATGGCTGGAAGAAAAACTTATGCAGTAATTCTATTCCGTATAGTGAATTACCCATTTTAACCATTATCGTGGCTGCAGCTTCGGGATCTTGGGGATTTGTATCAGCCAGTAAGTTCAATAGGTCGATCGTGTCGTTAGAGACACATTGGCCTCGAATAAAGGTATCTGGACCTAGCCACACAATGATATGTCCGGCCTGGCTATAGATTTTACCCATTCGACCGACCTCTTGGTTTCGCTCTTGAACATTAGCTTGGTTGATACATAACGCATCTACCCAAATAAGCCTCTTTCTGTCTCGAAGTCGTAATGCACGCAGGGCAGCCTCAAGGTTTCTTGTGACTTGGAACGGTTTCTTGTTAAGTGTGATAAAAGCTGTGCTGGTAGCGTCGCCCCATACATATGAGAGAGCTTCGTATTCATGACTGTCTATATTTTCAATAAAGGGAAAATTCTCAAGAGTGCATTCAATATCTTCGCTTTCCTCTCCTTGATGTATTGTTACTAGGCGGATTTGAGAGCCATCTGGAGGGAGTACTTCATAACTATTAGTGTCTATTGATTTTTCCATTGCCATACCGAAATATATAGAGAATAGTTTGATGATAATGGATAACACTATTCTTGTGACAGGGTGGTTGTTTGAATCTTTTTAAACCCCCTGCTGCACAGCCGGACAGCCTACGTGAATGCCTATTGCTTAGAGGGTGTCATTCTTCCAACAACCCCTCACTCTTACTCGCAGCACCAAATAAGAAGAGACTTCACAGCCTCTTTTTCGCGGCGTAAATTCGGCTTTTACCGTCCATAGGGAACGACAAGTATACTGTAGGTAGAATTTGTGACATTTATGAGCTTCTTGAAGTAATGTTTTAGAGTGGATGTAAGTACTTCATTAAATCCTAATAAGTTCATCAGAGCTGGTATTATAATCCCTTTTGTGTGATAGATGAGATTTTATCTTTTGCTATGGATCAAGTACCTAGGACTTTTTTACTTAATAGCTAGAATTGAAGTTTTAAGTTGGCTTGGTATTGTACCTATAGTACGGTTTAATGATGGTAGTGAGAGCTCACCCACAGCACCTTTAGGAAGTTCCAATTATATAAAAACATTGAAGCTTTAATAGGTAATAGATGTAAGACACCTATTATAGGCTCTTGTTTGATATAGTACTGTTTGCAACCTATATAAGTACCTAAGATAATCCTTCTTTACCTATAATACTTGTTAGTAATTCCCGGACTACCTTTCTATAATTGACCTTACCTAGTAACCAGAATCAGGGGCTTCTTCATTTAGTTTGTATATAAAAATTAGGGGAAGAAGAGGCATATACCTCCTGAGGGGCTTATTCAAGTGCCTATCAGTGAACCCCTAAATTGACCTTCTTACATGCATATAAACACATCACGCCGCAGCTCGCATTATAATACTATGCTGGCGACATCAATGCTTATCCGTCTCCGATTTACTTGATCTTCATAGGTGAAAGATTAAAACGCAACTTCCCCAATATGCACTCCGTACCCCGCCTGACTCACCTGGTAGATATTAAAGCCAAGAGATAAGGTCATGTCAAGAGGTTATTAATATTCATATCTCTCTTAGTATTCAGTAAGAAACACTATACTCGTAACCTCTCCAGATGAAAGCTTTTTAAGTCCACATTCGCAAGGCCAAAATGTCATCCCCTCAGTTAAGAACACCTATTAAAGGAGTCGTTAAAGACGAATTAGAACCGATTCTTGCAAAAGCCGGGATAGAGCTTCCTACTACTCTCTTAGAAGACTATAGTGGATTTGTATCTTCGTTGGAAGATATCATCGCGTCTCTCCCAGATGATAAGAGTATATTGCCCTACCCTGACCTCAGCAAATACCCGCGTACGGATATTCATATCCCCGATGACAATGAGTTAGGCGCATGGGCAACTAAGGTAGAGTCTACTGAATTAGCCGTTTAAAGATTCTAATAGGAACAATAGGTTACTTCGAAATGTATAAACCCTACGAGCGACCTGCTCAAGGGCCGCACTATAGCGCTTAAGGATAACATGGCATTCGCGGGAGTTCGGTGTACGAACGGAACGTCTATGGTGGATTGGACTCCTAATATTGATGCGACAGTCGTGACGAGAGTTCTAGACGCTGGGGCTACCATCGTCGGTAAAGCCGGTATGATTCTTTGACTTAACCAAGTTCCCATTTGTAAAGTTTGCGTGAGGTTAATACGATATAGCATGTGAAAACTCGTGTCTCGAAGGAATGTCTGGAACAGCCGTGACAGGACAGGTCCATAACCCATTCGCAAAGGGGTATAGTGCTGGCGGATCGAGTAGCGGATCGGGACGACTCGTCGCGACCGGATCCGTTGATCTCGCCTTTGGTTGCGACCAAGGTGGAAGTATTCGGATCCCTGCTTCATCTTGCGGTATTGTTGGCCTCAAGCCTACTTGGGGCTTAGTACCCTATACTGGTATCCTGAGCTTAGATGCAACTGTTGATCACGTAGGTCCGATGGCCAAGAATGTGAGAGATTGCGCTTTATTCCTTGAGGCGATTGCGGGACCAGATGGATGGGATGATCGCCAACCACCATTCGGCCTCGAAGGAGATAGACTGAAGTTTGTGGCTCCTGTAGACGTGACACTTGGCAAAGAGCCAGCAAAGATGCTCGAAGGTTTCAAAATCGGCGTGCTAAGCGAGGGATTCGAAGTCCCTGGACAAGATACTGCCGTCGTGACATCCGTCAAGTCGGCGATTGAGAAGTTCAAGTCACTTGGGGCGGAAGTCGCTTCGGTTTCGGTGCCGTTACATAAAGAAGCCCCTTTACTTTGGGCATGTGCCTTACCTTTACCAGGGGGTCGACAGTCACTCCTTGGCGACATGGATGGGAGGAAGCAACTATACTTAACGGACCGCGCTGAATTGGTAGGATCGAAGCTGACCCAACCTCAGTTTGACGCCCTAGGACCCGGAGCATCCAATATGTATGTTGGGTATCTATGGATCCAAGAGAAATATGGCGCGAAGGTACAGGGGAAGGCTATGAATCTCCTGAAAGCCACTAGCGTAAGATTTATTGCTTCAAGTATTATTGGTATATATAGACTGATTACCCTTACATAGGATGCCTACGATAAAGCGCTTGAGATGTTTGATGTTTTAGTTATGCCAACTCTGCCTTACCCACCACCGCGTTTACCAGACCCCGAATCAAACGAAGGTCCGCGGAACTATTTGGCTCGGACAACAGGATTAATAGCCAACACTTGCCCTTTTAATAGTATGTGAAATTCCTGTTCTACTTTAGATAAAGCTTGCTAACGGATATATCACTGAGAAGATTCGGGTCATCCTGCTATTTCGTTGCCCGTTGGTTTCGTGCCTGCTCGGGAAGACCCGACTATAAAGCTCCCTACGGCTATTCAAATAGTAGGTCGCAAATATGCGGATGTTGATTGTCTGAAGGTAGCAGCCGCATGGGAGAAGGAATTTGACTGGAAGGTTCTATAAGACCAACGGGTCAGCCCTAGCTAAATTCCTCCTTCTTAGACGTGACTATAGTTTAAGCACCGAGAATAAAAATGTCTAAGGCAAGGGTATCGTCTCTTCATATTTATTGTTAGATTAACAACTCTATTTAGGCTCTATAAGTGTTTAAACAATAAGTAAACTACACATAGTTCGAGACTTTCTAGACATTGAAGTCAGGCAATTACAGCGAGGCGTACTGCAAATAACTCACTGTCTATCAAAAGTCAAAATCATACTTTCGTAGTCAGAGGTTGGCCAGATCAAGCTCAGTCCGGTATTCATCAATGTTGAGCCAGACCAATTCTGCTCCCAGGTCCCATTGCTCACCGTGTATTTTGCATTTGGGTCTAAGCCCTGTAGCTTCAGCGGCGGTGGTAATGGTTTCAGGGCTGATCGGATCTGAAAAGCAAATAGGACAGCGGAGTCATGCTCAGGAGAGACGAACATAGCTGCGGGCCAGTTGGACTGATCCGGGAGTGCTAAGCGGTAGAAGTCGCCGTTAATTACGATAGGGTTAATTTTCTGCTGTGTCGATATCAATTTGGGAATCGTATCGCGTTCCTCTTGGGTAAGCGTGGAAGGATCTAGCTCGAAGCCGAACGACCCGCACATCGAGGCCACAGCTGATCGAAAGGCTAGAGGAGTGATACGGCCGGTTTGATGATTCGGGACAGCGCTGACGTGACAGCCCATTGCTGAGGGTGGATAAGGATAAGATGTACCAAATTGGATGTAAAGACGTTCTAAACCATCTGTATCATCGCTCGTCCAGCTCTGTGGCCAGTAGTGAAGTAAACCGGCATCAAACCTGGCTCCGCCTGACGCACATCCTTCCCACAAGATCTCTGGGTGTGCAGTCGTGAGATTGTCAATAACCCGATATAATCCCAATATATAAGCGTGGTCTGCAGAAGGAGATTGCATCTCGTGAATACCACGGTTATTATCCCATTTGATATACTTGATAGGAGCAGAATCGAGTAGCCTTTCGATTACCGTAATGATATAATCTTGAACCTCTTGAAGGCCAAGGTTTAGAACAAGTTGGTTTCTTTGAAGTGTACGGTTGTGATTTCCCGCATGCATGCACCATTCAGGATGTTGCTTATACAGATCAGAATCGGGACTGACCATTTCCGGCTCAACCCATAGTCCAAACTCCACATGTTCCGAGGTGCCCTGAATGGTTATATTATCCACTTGGTCGACATAGGGCCCAAGACCATCAGGGAATTTGGCTGGGTCAGGAATCCAATCACCCAAGCCGAGACTATCATTATTTCGAGGATAATCAGTACCGAACCACCCATCGTCGTTAACAAACAGACTACAGCCAAGGTCAGCAGCATCTTGGGCTAATCTAACCATTGATGACTGATTAAAATCGAAACCAAGACCCTCCCAAGAGTTTAGCAGTGGTGGACGAGTCTCGAATGTGTAGTTCGAGCGAGATAGATGGTTTCTATAAAGCGAATGGAAAGATCTGGACATCCCTCCCAGGCCTTGTTCTGAGTAGACAGAAACTACCTCGGGGGAATTAAATACCTCTCCTGGTGCAATAGGCCACGAGAGATGCAGCGGGTTCAAACCAAGGAGAACTCTGACCCAGCCAGTCGACCAGCGTTCGACGTCGGCAGAAAACGAGCCTGTATAAACCAAAGAATAACCGGTTACCGGACCAGAAGATTCGGTAGTGCTCGGAGAAGCCAGAGCAAGAAATGGGTTATGGAAGTGAGACGAGTACCCTGCAGATGAGCGGAAACTGGCAGAATCGTTAGTTAATTCAGATTGTTGAGAAAAGACAAGTCCAGCTTACCCTTGTTCTCCATACGTAACCGAACGTCTATTAATGCGAGCCTCTGCTGCCCAGTCACCATAGAGATCAATCATCTCTAATTCCTCATTCGGCATATCTATGCTCCAACTACTAGCTCGAAGTACCGTTATATCCTGGCTTCCATTATTCGTAATCTTAAAGCTGCGGGTAACAGCGTTATACCTAGGAAAGATAGAGTAGTACAGGTCCGCAGATATATCGGAATAGTTGTCATATAAGTGTATAGTGAGTGTCGATACGTCTCCTTCGCTGCCATAAGTGGCCGGTAAGCCAGGGAGAGCCGGTTTTCCTGGGCTAATATCATACCCCGTATACGAAAATGCCGATACGGTGTTCCCGTCGGAGTGTTGAATATGGATTGCTGGCACTCGGAAATCGCCACGACCGAGATCAGGAAACTCGCGCCGACTATACGTGTATGGAGTGCCCCATCCGGATACCACACCGTTAAAATCGGGAACCGTCTCGGCAGCATAGGCGCCCCAATGATCATGAATCAAATCCAACGTCAACGGATCAACATGGAATTGATAGGAGATATTGGAGGAAGATAGAGAAAACGAATGACCGTCATCACCCACGGAAATCCCTAAGAGGTAATTAGTTAGAAGCTATTTCAATTATTCCATTGAAATATAGGTAATAATAAACCATCTCTTACAATTCTGGTTATCTTGACATAGTGCCAGCAAGGGGAATAGAAACCCTACCACGGTCGTGGCTAAGGGGGTTTGAATTCTCATATTGTTTGGCTCCTTTGTTAAAGAAGTAGGGGGATCAAACAAACAAACGCATCGGTTTTAATCCGCTTAGCTAGGCACATATTTATTCTTTCTCTTTCGATCCTTCGGGAGGATTCAATCCATTTCAACTCCGAGATTCCGTGCCGGTAGATACGTCATCTGCAGCCCAAGATTCCCATCCTTGTCAGGTCTATTCAGCTCGGCGCCGGTACATCTGACATCGAGAGCAACTCGCTACTGAATCGAGAAGTGAGCTCTTAAGAATTAGGTTAAGTACCTCCTAACGTAAGGTACAATGTCATAAATAATAGTTATCGCGTGTACGACTAATTATTAGTATAAAGAACGTCCACTTTAAATCTTGAAAATCCGTCGTAAGGGATGTGGAGGTAAAGAGACCAAGAGACTAAGAGGCACTTCGTGCGGAGCTTGGTGTTGTAATAATATTGATGCGGCCTTAGCTTTTCCTAGCTTTTCCTAGCTACTCCGCATAGCTATCCTACCTCGGTCACCATCTCCACGATTATAAAAAGGGGACATGCGGGGAAGAGGTGGATAATATAGAATATAGATCTACCTAAGTAAGACTAAGGCTTATACGCTGCCCATATAATACCATTTAGTAAATGGCCCATGAAGTTCTGATCCGAATACGCGTCCTCGAAGTGACCCAGTGATGTGTAAAAAGTACGCCCACCGTCGAACTCTCGACACCATGCTAGCGGATGGTCTTGGCCTAATTTTCCCCCTCTATAAGTCTCTTCGTTGATAGATAGCAGAACGGTAACCTTTGCGCGGGGGTTCGCATCGAAGTTGTACCATTCATCAAACCACTCCCACTTCTTTGGTAGGTCGGAGACGATAACGTGGTCTTTCTTTTCAACAGTTAGGACGCCGGGCTGCGGCTCCGGATGATCAGTAAAGACGGCACCGATGAGTTCTCCGTACCACGGTTCTCTCGTCATCCCAGCTGCGGCACAGTGAATCCCTACAAACCCTCCCCCGGATCTCACGTAACTCTGCAATCCAGCTAATTGTTCGTCGTTGAGAAAGTCGCCGCTGGTCTGTAAGAATATGACGGCTGCGTACCGAGATAGGTTTCGGGCATTGATGAGAGATGCATCTTCCGAAGAGTCTACAGTGAACGCATTGGATGTGACGCCAAGACGTCGGATGCCCTCAATGCCTGCAGGAATTGATTCATGTCGATAGCCTGCCGTCTTACTAAAGAGGAACACGGCAGGTTGGTTAGACGCCATGAAAAGGTATAAACCCGACTACTTCAAATGCTGAAAATATGAAAATAAAGGACATTGAAATAAAAAGAAATCACGCCGGGTAGGCTCGTGTACATAGGGGCTTGCACTTAAAGTAATGTTATCCTAGCAAGCAAGCTAACCTAAGACGTAATATTCCCTGGCGGGTTGGTATCGCATATCTTTAACGAGAGAATACCGTCCGATGAAACCGAAATAGGAAATATAAATATAGGTACCTAAGGTTAGGTAGGTAAGGTATACATATATCCAGGTGATCTTCTCTGGGTGTTATTAACTTGAGCCACGATTTGGCCGCATGAGTCATTCATTACACAGCGTTTATTTGCTTAATATTCTCGAGGAGTACTTATAAAGCCCATGGACTCGACCATATGTTGAAACGACTTCTGGTCAAGCGTCCAAGGTACGATACATTTCATCATGGCAGGACAAGGCAAACCAACTTCTGCATCTGCTGTGTTATCTGAACCTGATGTGGTTAAACTGGACGATTCTTCCTACAACGAAGAAAATGACCCCGAGATGCTAGATCCACAACAGTCCAATCACGAAGGTTACAGATACGGCAATCATAATTTTCAGTTTTCGCGGCTTAATAACTTGGTTCAAAATCTTACTGCCGCGCCCGCAGCTGCGATTAAACGTACTAGACCATATAACGATTGCCATTCTCGTGAGCTGCACAACGAGCGCCAAAGAGCTATCTGGCAGCAGATACGAGATCAAGCCGAAGCTAATAAAAATATACCCAAAGAGCTGTTCTCGCCTCCACGAACTTACATTGAAGTGCGGGTATCAGAATGGCCTATCTCGAGTCATTACTGTTGCCCTTGTGATATCGTGGAAACAGCCTGCGAAGTCATTGAGATTCGAGCGCCGAAGGATTCAGGGGAGGGCATCACGAAGGACATATTCATCCAACAAGTTAGCGAGGCGATGTACGGCCGAGCCGTAGATGCAGAGGAAAATAACGAAGACACTAGATACCGGATAGGTGGTGAATATGATAGGCCGGTTATTGAACAATTTGATTATATGATACAGGCCGGCCATTCTAACGAGGTTAACATCATGGGACACATCTTTGCGTTGACGAAGGGTATTTCGCCAAAGTCGCAGTGCGAAAAGGTTAGATAATAGGGTCCCGGTACCCATCAAATATACAGCCAGGGATGGGAAACGAGAAATATGGGAAACACGCGCCCTGCCTTGTAAAGATGCATAATTCTCATACACAGACACAGGGTCAGGTTATTGGAAAGTTGCAACAACTTGTAGCAACTTGGTAAAAGGGTCATGCCAATTCTTGAAAGCTGATTTATTCGGTTGCTCGTAGTGTACGTGCATAGATGTGTCTATGACCAAGATGAGACAGTCGTAGGCGACTAAAGTACGAGGGATAGATGATGTTAGTTAATACATAGTAACAACAACGAAAAGAAAGAAGGAAAAGGCAAATTTTATGATAATGCACTAAATAAGTTACACTAATCGACCGCGTCATACTGTTTGAAGCGTTCCGGGTTCTACTGCCCAAATAGTTATTGTTCTCATTAAACATGATTATTATCTCCGAATATGTGGAGAGAAGTTGGCCGCAGTTTGTTTCTCCACCAAATGAGACGAAATATAGCGAATTAGGACTCAAGGAAGACTCAAGGAAGACTCAACACATGGTTGAAGCTTACAGAGACTCAAGGGGTTTTGTATTTCGGTTTCCTCAAACTCCGAAAAACAAAGCATCTCATTAGAAGTCCATTAGAAGCCGTCGTTTTAGTGCGATGGGGAGAGCCTTCAAGGTAACTCGACTCGACTACGGGACGTTTCAAGGGGTCGAGCAAGGGGTCAGGACCAGGGGCGAGACCCCCCACCCACACGCAACGGCAGTGGAACGACCTCCTGTTAGATACTGTTAGATGATGTGCTACTAGGTATATATCCGTATAAGATGAGACGCCTCTGGAAAGGATGAGTTTCTCTGTTCTGATCTACGATTTTCCCGTTCATCTCCCGTTCATCTTCGTCATTTTTGTGTGATCAGCCGGTCTGCTTCGATTCTTTGGGTAGTTAATTGTTTTCGTACAGCGTTCCGTTTATCATTCATTATATTATTATTATTCTTCGTCTTCTAGTTCTGTGAACACCATGTTTTCCCTTAGACAGATCATTACTACTTCGGCCATTCTGGCAGTGGCTCACAGCCAAGGTGTTATCATCAAAGCGCAAGGAGCAAAAGGATCGCCGGCGAGTTTCGGCCTACAAGGTATGTTTAATAGCCGTGTCTATTCTCCTAGTATTCCCAATGCACATTCACTAATACGCATTCAAGTTAATCCCGATGACAACAGCGACGCCAACTTCATATCGCAAACCGAGATCGTGACAAATGTCGTGAACCAGTGCGGGAGAACTTTACAAGCCGGCAATATCGATGTGGGCGCTACTACCGAGGATGCTCTGGCAGCAAACCAAGTCACCAAGGTGACCAAGGGCAGCAAGGTGAATATCACAGTTCGCGAAGTTAACGAGACCGGTGCTGGTCCGTATACTTGCGATATGGACCTGACGGGCAACACGGCTGGAGCCACGGGCCAAATCAATGTTACCACAACCGAAAGCAAGGCCAACAAAAATGGAGAAATTACTCTCCAAGTGACGATGCCCGACGACTTGGCATGCATCGGATGTAAGTTTATACCAAATCTAAAGTGATCTCGAATGGTATGATTAATGAATCCGTTCTCTTAGCATCAACTGGTGACGTTTGCACTATACGATGCCGTAATGCGAACGAATTCGGCGGATGTGTCGCAGTACAGCAAACCGACACTACTCCCGCTGAAAACACGCCGCAGAACATTGAAGCATTCCAATCGTTGGAGGGTATCACCACTCAGATCCAGCAGAACATCGCCGATCTTCCAGCGGCTGTGAAGGCGCTCGCGGAATCTGGAAAGTCTGATGCAGAGATCGGCACAGCTATTGTAGACGGGATCCAAGCAGCGGACCCGGCGACCGACGGACTTGCACAGGACCAAGCTAATAACGGCAACGCTGGTAACACTGGTAACAACAATAACAACGGCAATGCCAATGGTAATGGTAACAACCGGAATGGTAACGGTAACAACCAGAACGGCAACGCCAATGGCAACACCAACGGTAACGCCAACGGTAATGCTAATGGCAATGCCAATGGAAACGCCAATGGCAATGCTAACGGTAATGCCAACAACCGCGGAGGAAGAGGTGGTCGCAACAGGGCCAACAACAACCAGCGACGCTCAATGATGCGCCGTCGCAGATCAGCATAGACGAGTATGTTTTAGGCAGCAGAAGATAATGTAACCTACTCTGCTCAGTTCAGTACGTGGTTTCGGTGTATCATGGAACTTAAGGACGAACAATGAATGATGTACATTGATTGAAAACAATAATCCCACTTGTGTAAATAGCAATTATTCATAGACTAAAAGCTCCCGGGTGAGCTCGTTGTATTTGTTTGATCTATTTTTGACGTTAACATCAGTCGACTTTCAAAGACGAGATGAGAGACGACCCAACTTATGGTGATCTAATGGGGATGACAGTCAAATACTCTAAGATTGAGTACCTCAGGCTCAGATATTCCTATACGGTCCATCTCGTCTATCATATCATACCATTCAAGCCATACCTAAGGGTAACGGTTTCAGAAATATAACGTTAGTAAGTTCTAAAGTGTATTAACAGAATGTCATAATATCCTAGGCGTATCAAACGGCTCAATATAGCAAAACTGCATTATGATTGGACAGCTCCCCTGAACAAGTTCGATCTAGTCAAAAATGAGAATCCTGAAGATCGTTGCTCTCCTGAACATTCTAACTAGAAATTATACTAGAGCCCCCAGAGTGATCAAGATGCTTAAACATTTCATAGACCCTTTCTATCCTCCCATCGAGGAGCGTTCGCCGCTACCGATCCTATATACGCCCGGGGCATTCGTGGTACTGGTATTCGGCTATGCAATAGGACCCAGCCCAATCCGGACAACTACCATCAGCTTATTGCTAATCCTCTTCGCTCTCCAGAGGCCATGCTACACCATCGGTAACGCAGCACAAGACTATGGCCTTTCCGGTTGGTTTATTGTTTTCTTACTATTATTCCTGGACTTTAGTTCTACGAATCCGCGCTGGGTAGGCCAAATAGATGAATCCTCATCGAGAAAAGATAAAAAGGGTATCGCACGGTACGATCCCGAGACGTGGCCGCAACGCCTCTCGTGGGCGCTCCGCCTAGCCACGACTCTACGTGGCATTGGATGGGATTGGCAGGTCAAGAGCGTACCGGGGCATTTGGAGTCAAACGCATCACGCTTACAATTTGTCGGCAAGAGGGTGCTAGACCTCGCCCAACATGCTTTGGTGAAGTTAATAGTACTTTACAGCATCGGGTTTTGCGAGGCAATCCACCAGAAAGCACCATCATCATCGCCGTGGAATAGTTGGCTTCTTAGAGCTGTTGAAAATTGGTGTGGCGCAATATGGTCTTGGAATGCGGTCGGTATTGGGTACGCGGTCATATCGATCATTGCCGTCCTCTTGGGTATCTCTGAGCCCTGGGAGTGGCCACCAATATTGAATTCGGTGGCGATGGCCACGAGTGTGAGGAATACGTGGAGGTAGGTAGATCGACTAGTATGCGTGAAACTAACAACGATGAATGCTAATGCCAAGGTCATATAGTGTTGCGTATCATCAACTCTTACGTAGGGTGAGTACCTAGACAATCAACAATTACGTTATATATACCTACCTACATAACCCAGATTAAATAACTAATGTCGGTTTCCCTATAGACTGTGCAGCAACCTGGTATCAGACTCGCACGACTCCTTGGTTTTAAGAAAGGCTCTATCCCTTCTCGCTATATTCAACTTTATTTAGCATTCTACATCAGCTTTTTCATTCACTGGTGGCAGCAGTATGTGATAACACGTGGGGATAAAGGAGAATTTGCTTTCTTCATGATACAACCCATAGTTATTACTCTCGAGGATTTTGTTCAATGGGTTTGGAGAAATACCATAAATCCTAAACGAAAGCAGGATCTTCTCTGGTTCGAGCTTGCTATTGGATATGTGTGGACATTTACCGCTTTCGCGTTCACTTTGACGCCTTTTGTAAAGGGGATGGTAGCAACAGGAATTATTGGGGGCAGCCCGGAGGAGGCTATGGCGATTTCACTTGGGCAGCGACACGGTGCCAAATACTTACAGCATTGACCCTAGGTTAACAATATGTCACACTGGGTATTATTAAGCAAAATATAGAAGCCAGTAAGTATCATTGCTACTTATTATGAGGTGGAACAAGAAGTATAGAAATAACTCCGTTGTTCTGTGAGGAACTCTAAGTTGGTTATGGAAATATGCTACCTACCTACCTATACATATTAATATTTATGAGAGTTTTCTAGTTTAATAACATAATATAACTATAGGTCTTACACTCTTAAGATAATTTAAGTCAATCGTGATGTAGCGCTATCTCAAAACTGGAACGTCCGACAAGTTGAAGTAATCAAACTTGAACCAGACAACTCATTCGAAGTGTAATGAAAAGTTGAATTTGTCAGAAACCTTTATTCCACTTTTACTTCTTGTAAGCTTCCAATATACCCAGCCTATAGAAACTTGAGTTCCTCATCTCCTAGTTACAACTTTAGATTATAGGAACGATCCAATATCGACCCCTTCATGTTGTCAAGTGCCCACCTATGCATACCATAAACTGTAGGCATTGGTAGATTACCTATCTAGATAGCTATAAATAAGACAGAAACACGAGAATCCAATAAGAAACCTTCCCTCTTAGCGCGCAAACAATATTTTTGATGAGCGTAGCGATGTTAGGAAGACTGAATTTCGGTAAACTGATGAATGATATACCTCAAAACAGTATCATACCACCTTCCGTGCATATTTAACAAGGATTTATCTACCCGATGACATGTAGGCCACCCTATAGTTAAATTCTACCTCCTGACTCTACTATTTGGATCTAGAACGGCTATTCCGCCTAGCTGATCGGACATGTAATAGCCTACTATGTCTGCCAAGCATTCAACGCACCAGGGTCACGATCCTCCCTGCGAATAGAGTTTTACTAATACACAGAGCTGAAGGTAATTCCTAAAAAATAGTATGATCTTCATTAGATATGGAAGCTTTAAAAGAACTTTAGAAGACAATGTGTTGTTGCCTGTGATTCATCTGTATCTTAAACAATACACCTAGACACCTTCAGCAATATCTAACAGATAATTATGTTTAGACGCCTTTAGCTAATACTAATCAAATCAACGATGTCGACCACACTACTATTATATACTCCAACAAGGAAACGAAAGGGGTCTTTATTAGGATATTTAATGATCTTATTTCTATTCTCAACTATCATCATTCTAGTTTGGTTGGTACTTCCCAGCAGACATGTCACCGTGTGGATAGAGAACAGTAAACTATGGTTGCTGTCTAAATTCAAAGGACCATATACTCTCACTAAGAGTCTATTACTATTAAGCTCGGCGTTCAGCTTAATAGTATCTATATTAATAGAAGCCCTTCTTCCATTTTTCCTGAGGAATACATCGAAACGTGTAAGAATCTACCCAAATAGCCTAAGGAATCTACGTAGCAGTGCTAATCAAACGGGAACATAGACAAAGATGTGGCTTAGATACACATTGATGGCGATACTCTCTTTGAATGCTGTCTTCGCCTTGATTGCATTTATATATGCGTTAACAGCCACCGGGGTGCTTAACAAAAAATGTGCCAGTATCGGTACTGGGAATTCGAATGATCCTACCAAGCAAAACGAAACCAGCTTGTCGAAATGGGGCCATAATAGTCGCATTAATTCTTACTCACATCCAGATGAATTTCTGTGTGAGCGGCGAGTAGTTTCCTGCTGGCTTGGCCTCTTAATCTCCCTTTTCTCTATCGTACTCATGATTTCGGCGTGGTTGGATTTCCGGGAGCAGGATCGACAAGACTCAGTGACTGCAGCATTCAGTGACGAATCACTCAGTGAGAAGGGTCTTGTTGTATTTGAGTAAATATTAGGGGAATTATTAATGCCGTATATTTTAGCTTTCGAGATATTACATATAGAGCGGTTAACAAGTACACTCTTGAATAATACATTTAATAAAGGATAATAATATTTTACATCTGATTCACTTCCTTCTGCTCTTACGATACCTAGTATATCATATGGACATAATTTATCCGCTACTTCTGCACGCAATCTTTGATAATAGGAGGTAGGTATGAGACTACATGATTTTACATGATTTCTTTCAGAATGTAATGTAGAAAATCCGCCACGTGCTTCCTTGGTGTCATTGTCCTATATTTTAACGACGCGTTTCTTGTTTAAGTCCTCTTTATTAACCTACAAGACTGGCTGGCTTATTTACTAATGTGCAAATCGCGCTTATTAGACCACGAGATATAGATTATGAGTCTATGACGCTTGGAATATTATGTCAAGGAAGACGGGATTACTATCGTACTGTCGAAACTGCGCACGGTCCATCTTCCGTACAATTCAAGTGTTGTTCAACTAGTTATTTTCTATTATCTAATGGTCTCGTAGAAACGATCCAAGTTTAGGTAGACATGTAGGCAGGTACCTAAGAAACTCAGCCTCAGCTAGGTACCTAAGTGATCGCTGCTGGAATGTCGATCAATACGCCAAGTTTGGGACAATATACCATGTACCAAGCCACTTTGATCTTCCTTGAACAGATCACGTCAATGGCCATCAGATCCCCGAAATGCGGAGAACGAACTAACAGCTACCTAACTACACCACATCTCTGGTTTCAAAGCTAAGGTATCGTTTATCGATCAGCTAATCTGATCCTCACTTGACGACATAAACTTCGCGATCAAGAAATCGACTCTTCTGTAAGTACTAGAGTACAGCTTCATACAGGTTAATTTCAACAAATGTGTAGGATTTATGAGAACAGTATGAAAACGACATATTTTAAATTCAAAAGGTAACATCTAGGGAGGTTATTTGTATTCTCTATAGTATGGTACGTAAGAAAAATGTATTCTTTTGTCTTAGCAGTGTCGAAGTTGTGGCTGACAACTCGGATAGGACGGCTTAAACAAGCACGATTAGTGGCCTACGTTAGCTTTTGCCTCGTCATCAACGCCGTGCCAGAAACTAGACCTATGATATGTGTCGTCTTTGATTGGCTTCAGGTACGCAATTAGACCATGCCGTCGTCTTGGCCCTGATTCTCGACATCATGACTTCATCGGGTCTTTGTCTTGGTTAACGACCCCGCGATCGTCGCCGTCAATGGTTGCGGAGAGAGCTTCTTTAAAGGGAGGAGGATATACCCGAACATCTCTCCTCTTTCAATATGTAGAAAGTAGGCAACTAACCATTGAGAAATATTCACGACGCCGGCTACGTATGATATTCAGTATAGCTTTCTCATCTTTCTCGCCGACAGTCAGTTACCATGCAATATATGATAGCTCTTCCCTTGGCGCTGGCCTCTCTTGCCGCTGCTCAGACACCAAGCTTGAGTGACGCTCTAGGCTCTCAAAATTCGTCTCTATCGTCTCTGAATGGTATGATGATAAACACCCCCTAGTACTTGAATTCATGGCTCATATCAGATAGCTCTTCTTGCATCCAACTCCCAATTTTCCGAGTCTCTAAATAGGTTGCAAAACGTCACCATTCTAGCTCCCAGCAACGATGCTTTGAGTGCTGTAACTAGCAACAACGAGTCCGCTTTACTGCTTGCCAACTCCGACTATTTGCAGGCTTTGTTAAGTTACCATATCCTAAATGGCACATACCACAACGATAGCTTTGGGGACGAATCGGTCTTTATCCCTACATTGCTGACCAACAAGACGTACACCAACGTAACTGGTGGTCAGGTTGTTGAGGCCCAGCTTCACGATAATAACGTGACCTTCTTCAGCGCTCTGAAGGAGAATGCCACTATCATTACACCTGTAGGTACTCTGCCTGAATAGGGAAAGAAAAACCTCGACTAATGATCTCGTAGAATGTGAACTTCACTGGCGGCACAATCCACATAATAGACAGGGTCCTTGCTATCCCTCAGAATGTGACAGAGACTCTGTCTAACGCAAACCTCACTGCTGCCGAGGGTGCTATCAGCACGGCCAACCTAACTGACTCAGTCGTTGACACTCCCAACATTACCATCTTTGCCCCGAACAATGACGCCTTTAATGCAATTGGAAGCATTATTGGCAACCTCACTTCGGATCAATTGACTAACATTGCCGGCTACCATGTCGTCAACGGCTCCGTTAACTACAGCGCAGACCTGCAAAATACGACACTCACTGCCGCTAATGGACAGGATATTACCATCACTATACTGAATGGTACTGCATATGCTAACTCAGCAAAGATCACGGTTCCCGATATCTTGTTGGAGAATGGTGTCGTCCACGTAATCGACCAGTATGCTTCTTTCCATATCGCAGCCAATGTGGTCAGAATATTTTACTAACTCATGAAACAGAGTTTTAAACCCAGATAATACGTCTGCGGCCCCTGATACGACAGCTTCGTCAGCCACACCTGCGTTCACCAACGCCAGTTCCGGATCCGAAGGTGTACCTTTCACCAGTGGCGTTACAACCCCTACCACCACTTTCCCCGCCGCTACATCGGCAGGCGGAGAGGCAGAGTCGTCTAGTTCTGAAGACGCAGCTATGCCCATGAAGACCGGTGCCGTTGGCGCAGCAGCTCTCTTTGGTGGCGTAGCCATTATCGCAAACTTGTGAGGAATACTGGCTGTGCTTAACTGAGAATTAATACGATGGCAAATGACATTAATTAACAAGGGCAGGAAATTATGAGGGGGTATCCGTTCCATTAATGTAATACAAAAGGCATATTCAATATTCGCTTATACCAAACAGCACCAGTCGCTGCTGGGTCATAAAAACAGTCGCTTTGCTTGTTTCCATTAATCGTACCTTGCAGTACTTGGAGTTTTATGCAATCCAGAACCAAATTCTTTCTAGGAAGTTCCTTGGCTTCACTTCCGGCCATGTGCCCTCCAAGCGGTCTACTTCTGCCTTGCCACTCCACAGGTCCATGTCGCTTAGTTTAACCAGTTTAGTCCGTTTAATTATTTTATATCCAAAAAACAGGCAGAGAAATATCGGAATATCAATATAAGGCGGTACGAAGGTTTTCGCGCTGAACTTTCCGGGGAAGAAAGCATCGTACCCATTGAAGAACGCGACAATGAGACAGAAAAATATGGCGAAGTATGCTAGAAACGGTTGCCAAGGTGATTTATAAGGCAGAGAGTCCCGTGAGATCCCATTATAGCGTAAGCCGTAATAAAAACGCAAGTAAGTAATACAAATAGCCGACCATACAATTAGCGTTGAGACAGCAGAGATATTTGAGAACCAGAAGAAGACCTCTTCTCCTTGGTTATTTACGTTCATGTAGGACAGCAAACTAAGAGCTGTCGTTGCGCCGACACAAGCATACGGGACACCCCATTTCTCGTACTTAAGAAACTTAGGGGCTTTGCCGTCTAATGCAGAGGCATATAGAACTCGAGTTGACGAATAGAAGAAAGAGTTGCCAGCGGACCATGCCGAGGTGAGAATAACGGCATTGATAATGGAAGGCAACACTTTGACTCCACCGTTCTCGATAGCGATGACGAAAGGTGATGCCGCAGCGCCAGGAGCCGAGCTCTTAATGGCGTCTAGGAGACGGCCATCTTGAGAAGAGACGCATAGAGTGACTAGAAATATAGCGAGGACATAAAAGAGGGCAATTCGCCAGAAAACTCGTCGGATTGCCTTGGGGATATTACGTCGTGGGTTCTCGGTCTCGCCGCTAGCAATCACCACCATCTCGGAACCCCCATACGAGAACGTAGCTTGTATGAATACCTTCCAAAAGGCAAGAAACTTCCCGAGTGATCCCGTCGTTAGATATTCGTTCATCGGTCCCGGGTTGTTCCAGTACCTAAACCCAATCCTCTCACCACTAGGTGTCCCGCCCAAGGTAGTGATAAACATGAGGAGGATCAACCCGACGATCGTGGTGAGCTTAATAGCGCCGAATGCAAACTCTGCCTCGCCATATATACGCACGGGGAAGCAGTTAATAATAACCATCGCCAAGAAGAAGACCGTGATCAGCGCAGCTTTGGGAACGTCGTTTGGCCAGTAGTCTACAACGACAACTGACACCGTCACTTCGATCGGGCAGCCGATAGCGAGTTGGTACCAATAATTCCAACCGAGGACAAATCCCAACGCCTCGTCGACATATCGCGAAGCATACACGGGGACGGCGCCTGGTAAGGGGAGATAGGCTGCCATCTCGCCTAGGCTATGAACCACGCAGTAGACGTTGAAGGCCGTGATTAAGTAGGCAAGAAAGGCAGACAAAGGGCCGGCAAGTGATAAAACCTGACCACTTCCAACGAAAAGTCCCGTACCAATGGCGCCCGATAAGGCCATGAACTGGACGTGTCGCGACTTAAGCTTGCGATCGAGGGTGCCGACATTGCGCGTTTCCTGTTCAGCTTTTAGGTCGCCGATGGCATCTTCCTGATTATCAGCGACATTCGTCTTGATCTCATCCTTTTGCCCTGCTTCGACGTCCGCCATTGTTACGACTTATGTATGCGACATGTACTTCGTAATGTGGTTATATCTGCTTAGAGCTGTCATGTGTCGAGGATGAGAAGGAAATCCGCAGGGGAGCGTAAGTTATGGTGATAACCTTCTTGAGAACAAAGAAATTTATATATAACTACCTTAACATATACTTATAGGTAGGTATTTATCTACTCCGCACGCTGTCAATGTGTTATCGCGGGGAAGCTTGATACCAGATCAGGGAGGTGGTCAGAATTAAATCCCACGTTGCCAGGATATCGTCGCACGTCAGGGAGAACTATTATGTCCTGTGATAACACTGCTTGCACTGCTTCTGGTTATCTAGACGTTACCGCCGGGACGTAACCGAACCACCTCACCCTCCAAGGCTAAGCGCCCCCGTCTTACATGGAGCATTGAAAGAAATCTGGGGAAACTAGATGATTGCTTAAACAATATAAATATACTAATAAATTAAGTCCATACGCTAATAAAGCTTATGGTTCTATGATAGGGTTACCTGAGGCAGTTTTGGAGAGGTTAACTTTTCCAGCATTAGAACATTTTGAATGGTGTAAATTCTCCTTGTACGTCTAGTTGAAAGGAACTAGGGTTCGCTTCCCTATGTAAAAGATAACGGATGTCTGATTCCTTGTAATAGATTACGAGGAAGCAAGGGACTGTACATGTACAGGTGAGAGCCGATCAGAAGCTCACTACCGGTGCGTTGTCTTGGTAAAAATGGTTTAACGTCTCTTGGCATGTTGCTCATAGGGAGGCACTTATCGAAAAGTTATCACAAATAATGGAAGATAAGAAAGGCATTCCTCGAATAATATGTTTGCCTTCTGATGCAGTTACCCCTATTCCGGTTCATAGTTTCGTACTGCTCAAATCATCATCGTGATTCCATCCGGGCATATCTGCAAGGTCTTTCGCAGGCGCCCCGCGTCTCGACTTGAGAGCATCGCCTCCTAGTCGCCATCTCCACGCATGCGCAAGGTCTTCCGCTAGATTATCTTCTACTAGTTCGACCACATGCTTGCCGATAATAGGTAAAAGTTTGAAAGTGTGTCTGTAGACGTTAGTGACTATTCCTAGAGAACTATCTGGCTATGTTAGGTACTTACCCGCTATCTCCTGTAGCAAGAATGAAGTTCTTCCATCTTGGGTGCTCGCAGATCAGCAATGCTGCGTCCGCGGTGTCTGTGCACCAGCACAGCGCTCGATTGAAGAGCTCCTTGTGCTTAAACTGCGGCAAGAATGTCGAAACGGCTCTACGGATCGACTTCTCTGATGCGTCGGGATATGTGTCTGTAGGGTGCTTTGCGTGAGATCGGGGAACTGATATACGTTTAGGGCCTGCGGCGCCGTATGGTTGATGCTGTTTAAAGCGAGTGAAACCCGGAAACTCATCGCAGACCTTGATGATACCGTCCCTAAGGATTCTTAGCCTCTTGCTTCATGTATATCTTCATTATAGGATTGTCACTTACTCATTAGGTTCGAAGAAGAACCCAATATCGCCATTGTATACTACAGGTGAGTCCTTGTATTCGGCAGCTTCTTGAGGCGACAACTGCATCATGGCATATACCCATGCCTATTGTTAATGATTAGTATTATAGCATCTCTAGGTACTCATCAAATATCGAAATACGTACTTTAGAACAACATTGATCCTCCAAATCTACCAATGCGGGACTCCAAGCTCCAGTAGCTAGAATGACCTTGTGAGCGTAGTATTTGGTCCCATCTATCGTTTCAACACCGATGCACATCGTCTCGCCGTCTCCGAAGAGCGGTCGTTTGAAGGATCCCGCGCTATTCGGGGTTACAAGTTAGTAAATTCACAAGTCTACCTAATAAGAGTATTTTTAGTATTCTTCCTTACCCCCCGAACCCGAATTTGACTCCTTGATTTCGCAGCTCCTCGCCGATCGCATTGATTGCCTTGCCGGCAGCTAACCAGCCGCCATCGCTACTGAATATAGCTTTCCACCCCTACGTCATCTTCGTATCAGCACAGTTCGCTCACATATAAACAGACTGGGAGATCTCACCTTGATTTGGTCTCGTTGCAACAACGGCATCTTAGATAAAATTGCATCTTCGCTATCCAGCCACTCGTTACTCTTCTCTAACCCAGCATCTGCATCAAGTAGGTCTTGATAATGCCGTCGGAGAGATGCTATACCTTTCTCTGTTCCTTCGCAGTCAAGCTAGGTCGTGTCAGCGTCAAAACAGATGCTCGAGGGAGGTGACGTCTAAGTTACTCTGCCAGTATTATGGAAGAAGGGCTTAAACAATTCATCATTCTTCCACATATCTCTCGCCTCCAAGCTTAGCTGTAAATCGACTTTATTCCGTAATTGGATGCCCATAATCTTGTTGAGATCATTTCCGGCGGATTGCGCAGAAGGAATAGGATACGTATCAAGGACGGTGATGTTCGACGGTGTGTACCCGGAGCGCACCAGATGAAGAGCGGTTGACGAACCAATTGTGCCGCCTCCGCCGACGACGACAATTTTCGTGTTTGCGCGAGACATGGCCATATTCTCATACAGATAATGTTCCTTAGGTTTTACGATTTCACCTTTATCTAGTCGAGATCTTGATTATTTGCAACTAATGTTGACGATGAAATATAGAAGTATGCCGTGAAAGGTCTCTCTATCAAGACCAACACCCAATCTTCAGTGGCATGATATTGATCGCGATGTGGATTTACATAGTATTCTTTCCCGGGGTATACGGAATCAAGACCTCAAGTAACGGCCCCAGTTGGCCGGTGACAAGGGAAATTTACTAATAGCGCAAAGCAATGCTCGCCTATTAATTGGGACTGTGGAGAGGTTGAGCTCTTGTCAAATACCCACGTCCCTCTTCACGAACATCCCCTATGTATCCATATCTCTATCTACTCGCGATGTAGGTTTAAACTTAGCGTTTAACCTAGACAACTTCGCTATCTTCCTCTTAATAAGATTACTCCTCGGCTCTAGAAGCTCAGCAACACACACCTACGTCCAACTGATAGATCCACGGGTCGAGACTGCTACGGTTACCAGAATAGGGAAAGCGAGTAATAACGACAAAACTCCTAGCTGTCACTTATCGTTAAGTCGTGTATATTATTGGTTAATGTAGAGTTGTATGCGTCGGCATTGATTCCCTAAAGTTCCCAAACGGTGCCGTCTAAGGCGGGGCTAGAAAATCAAGTTCAGGGTCTTTGTGTGCTCCCATAACTTCGGGACTGCTATCGTTTCCTAAATTGGTCTAACGCTGCCGAGTTGACTACCTAGACTTTGACGCTCGCCGTGGTAAAGTAAAGGTGAACCGGATAAGACAGCTTGGTCTTCGAACATACTATTCACGTGGCTCTCATGCTCAAACCATAACGTAAAGGCTTTCTCAGAGTTTCGCGGGGCCCCAAGATATCTTTACCCTAGTCTGGAGAAGGACTACGCTATCTAAGGCCGCCATACTAGGAAAGAATCCACAGGTTATCTGAACCGCCGCCATGATAAGCGGAGGAAAGCTGATGCTCGGTATTAGACATCGCGACATGGCTGGGGTATATAGATACCTAGGCTTATATCTAATCTACCTATGTATATATATCTAGTGAAAGGCCGTGACCATGTCTACTAAGAACCTCCATTCCACTTCAGTATTCAGTACATAAGACTTATTATACTTGTACGAATAGTAATAATAGTTGAGGCAGCATCAAGTCATGTCTAAATTTGACGCTGCACCTCCCAATACCCACGCCGGTGGGGATGATGATGCACTTCGAGGACAGGGTTCACTCCCGATGAACCCGACGAATGATGCTGATGAGAGGGTCGATATGGACGCATACAGGAAAGCAGTTCCGCTATGGAAGCGAATCCACCAGCACAGCTTGACACAGATGCTTCTGCTCAGCGTGGTATGTATAAAAACGTAGTCTCGGCACTTGGAATCTTTAGACTTTCAAAATACGTTTCAAGTTCACTATTTACGGCGGCTGACATTTGGTATGTAGCAAGCGTTCTGCGGTCCAGCAATGGCAGACGCCATCGCGGGTCTCGGTGGCGGTGGTCTAGCAACTCCCCAGACGTCTAACATAGCGTATGTTTCTAATCCGAGCGAGTACCTCAGAGGTCAATTGTTAACCAAGGCATTTTGAAATAGCACGGCGATTAACTATGCGATGCTTGCTACTGTCTGTATGTTTGGCGGTCCCATCGTCAATAAACTTGGAACAAAGTGGGCGTTGGTCATTGGCGCCATGTCATTTCCTATCCGCGGATCGTCGTATTACTGCAATAGCAAGTTCGGAAATCAATGGTATCTCATTTTCGGCGGCGTCTTTACTGGCATCGGTAGCGGCTGCTGGTACGTCGCAGAGTCGGGATCCATCATGTCACTGGCACCATCCGGTGCTCGTGGTAAATACCTGGCGTTGTGGATTGTCGCTAGGAACCTCGGACAGCTAGTCGGAGGTGCTATAAAGTCAGTAATTTGATTACACCACACCGAAAAATATCAAGAAAACACAAAGCTAATGATAACATCTCAGCTTGTCCAAGAACCACGTGAAGGGAGTAGTTGGCGGAGTTACTCCTGACACTTATATCGCTTTCTTAATCATTGAAAGTCTAGCGTAAGTAACGAGCCAGCCCAAGCATAACTCATTATACCCGTCTAAACGGAATATACTGATATGCCTAGACTACCGTTCGCGTTCCTGATCTCGCCTCTTGAGAGGGTCGTGCGGTCCGACGGCACGCGCATTCTAGTCTCGGAGAAGCTCACGTTCAAGCAAGAAACTAAGCTCATCAAGTTCACTATGACCTCGAAGCTTATCCTACTTTCATCTTTATGGGCAGTCTGGTCGTTCTTCTATAGGTAAGCTACCGCGCCGACGCTGGTTTGACACAGAACTAACCAACGTAGTGGTACATGGTCAACTTATCTTGGCACCTATTTCTCCGTCCGCTCTCGCGCTTTATCTTCACTCGTTTCTCCGTTTTTCTGCATGTAAGCGAATCTTCTTTTGCTCTTATGATCTAGGATATACTGCTAAATAAAGCCGCAGTATCGGTTGCTTCGGTCTTGGCTTTATTCTCGACATGAAGTCTCTCAGCCAACGCCGTAGGGCGCAAGTTGGCCTGTTTACCGTTGTTATCCTCAACCTGGGCGTGTACATCTGGTCTATTGTCATGCAAGCCAGGTTCAACACTACAAACCCTGGTAAGATCGACTGGGATGAGTCGATCTACGCCTCATCTTTCTTACCATACTTCTTCGTCCAAACCACGGGTCCACTGTCGCAGTCGTACATGTATTGGCTTCTATCATCATTTGCGACAGATGCCCAATCCAATGTTCGTAACGGCGCAGCTTTCCGGTATGTTGATCGAGCCGACGATGCGTCACATATGAAACGAATACAATAACTAACAATTTTGATAGGTGCTTAGAAGCTGTCGGCCAAGCTATTTCGTACGGCATGAATACGCAAATCAAAGCCAATCCCCTGATCGGATTGTATGTGTTACTCTTCCCTAGAACAAATTGCTGGCCTTTGTACTGACAAACATTCCTTAGCTGTGTGACCTTCGCTCTTATGGCAGCTGCTGTAGGTCCAATGCTGATTCTAGTCAATGCTACACCAGATCGCATTCCAGCCGACGTAATACTCGAGGCACAAGAGACGCAGCAGGAGAAAAAGCTCCAAGGGCTCAAGGCTGAGGCTGAGGCATAGGGCGCTTAAATATGGGGCAACTATAGAAGTCGATTATTAGCAGGATGTAACGTCTACGACTTATATAATATAAGAAGAGATTATAGTAGGATTTATAACTGATAAAAAGTAATGTTTCGTCATTTGACTAATTGGATGAAGTCGGGGTTGATTACCTATCCCAATATACCGGGCTCTAGTCCACGACAACACATTATAAGCGATACTATTGCGCTCGATAGTTATTCAGAGTGAACTTCGAATCCTACCCCAGCGCGAAATGAGAGCATCATTTTTCTCATAAGCTCCCACTACCGTAGCCGTCGTTTCGGAGAAACTAGGACGTATACCATATCAAGTCGAACACTTTTCGTGTTTAGAAGATAAAGGGGATCATTTCTTTGGTACTCGTGGACATGTTCATAAGGGAGGTCCAAAAGGGTCACCTCCTTCAGGAACAACCTTTCGTCTTTTCGCGTCTCGTCCTTCGCCGGTTCCATTCCCAAATACCTTCTCATCTGCATCGGAGCCCACCTTTGGTTTCGGTTTTGGCACGGCTTCTTCCCTTCGCGCCTTTTGTAGGGCGACTAGATCGGCTCTATCAGGGTCTCTGCACTTGATGAGCTTCCTCCGCAAGGCTTTAATAGCTTTAGTACTTTCCGGCTATCACCTGGTAGTTAGTTACGAAGAACCAGAACCATATCTAAGCTCACTTACATCCGTCCAATAGCTAGCCATCTTCTCTGGGGGTTCTTTCTCTAGCATTTCTTTGCAGTTCTGTATGACACCCCAAACTTTAGCTTTGGCCTCTTCGCCTTGGCCTGCGAACGCCTCTCGAAGCATACGCTGCACCAATTCCTCATCAGCCATTGCCAGCGCGGCGTACATGATCTGGCTGGGTGTGTAGTGGAAATATGCATCGGTAACCAATGGACTAAATTTCAAGATGTCCCTCGTTCTCTTGTGCGCATGGTTTATCCTGTCATCATCAAAGTCGCCTAGTCTTCTGAGTTCCATGACAGTTCCTTCCAGAGCACGAAACGGATGCCTCACATCGAATGCGAAACGTATTCCCTGACATAGAACATATTCGGCAGCTAGAATCATCTCGCCGGTCGTATTCGGAAAGGTATCTGCGATCTTTTGTACGCGTATAAAATAACCCTCAGCCTTACAACCAAAGAATATGCAGGTCTTAATAAGTTCCTGCGGCGGGTATGTCATTACGCTATTGGTAAGATAAAAGCGCCGTAAAAATATGGCAGCGGTCGCTTGGATATCGGTCGGGAGTTGGCAGTATGGAGCGGCGCGCAATAGCTCGAGAGTGAAGTGATTCAAGATGGTGTATTCTTCGTCGGGGGTTAGGAAGTTAGGTAAAGGATCTACAGGCGAATCTGAGGCACGCAGACGATTAGAGATGTGAGTTCGTGCGAGGGTATTAGTTTTCTCGCGAAGGGTAGCGAGATGTGACGGGGTGAAGGACCATAGCCGATATTGGCTTGACTGTTTGTATCGGGCATCCTCGGTTGCCATGGTTATAGTTGGTGTTGATGTCGCGAGGTAGACTCGATTAGTTGTATTAAGTTATAAACCGAAGTAAATTAGCATGCGGGAATACGATACTTGGTTTGGGATTAGTTGTTGTGAACTATCCGTTTGATCAGAAGCTTTTTGATGTTGTGAAGAAGAAATTAACAAGATGAATTCAGAAGCAAATTGTTTATCTAATGCATTAGGTACCTAAACTACCTGTAATCCTTTGTTAAATGGAATGGCACCTGCACCGGGAATGGAATAGGTACAGGTGGGGTTAGGTACCTAAAATCTCCGATAGCAGGTACCTACCTCCTAGGTACCTTCTAGCCCTATATCGTTATCGATATCTCAAGCATCTAACTGAGGTCCTTAATTCTTTTAAGTCAAACAACAACAACATAATCATAGTTTCTATTCGCATGATATTGTCACCGTGGCAATGTCTCTGACAACTAAGAATTCCCATCCGGTGTTTACTATTAATTTTTCTATAGCAACATAACACCCAATAGAACTATTACCCCTAGATATATCGACATCATACTTTCTACCCCTCTAGCACTATTCGGAGTCGTGGTTGGCGCAGGTGCGTCGTCCGTAGTCGTAGTATTAGTCCCTGCGTTACCACTAACAATAGCTATCCTATCATCCAGCTGGAAGTCAATCGGGCTTGTCGTGCGGATATGGTTAACTAACACCTCATCTAAAGTATCAAGAATAACTACATCTTGAATCGGTTCTAACATATTGTCACCACCACCAGTTATGAAATCAACTGTGACAAGAGTATACTGAACCTCTTTATCGACGGGCTTATCACCGATCGTAAGACGAACAAGACGTTCACCAATAGCGTTATCCGGGTTATACTCGACTTTAATGCCACGGCTGATTTGGAAGAAGCTGGTGACATTCCGCTGATTGAATTGGTTGACACCGCTGACGAGACCCTCGAATATCTTCCATAGGTCCGCACCGCTATAATCAACCTCGACCACGGCATTGCCGAAAGGAAAAGACGTGAGTACCTCGCCTCGCGTAATAGGTCCAGAATCGATGGTAGCGCGGATACCCCCTGCATTTGTGAGAGCAAAGGCTGCTTTGCTTCCACCGTCTACACGATACTGTAGCATTGAGCTGTAGAGATATTTACGTTAGCAACCCTCGAAGAGATGGACACACAGGTGTCTACAACTTACTCGGATACCAAGTCACCCAGGGTACACTCTCGCTTTTGACAGGTTGACTGGTCGAGCACAATATTCGTAGTACCAATCTCCTCTGCTGCAAACTTTTCGAATGGCTTCCTCCATTCATCAACCTGTTCCTGCAAATCCTCATCTTGCTTAGTGGTATTCGTCATATGTATGGGGGCACCGTGGTAGGCAAGTATTTTTCCCTCCGAATCGAATGTAACGTCGATATAACCCAAATACTCTCCCCAACGATAAGCGGTAACGATGAAGACTTCATCGCCATCCTTGTTTGTCTCGAGGGTGGGATACTTGCCTTCGGCGCCCTCCATATCGCCAAGTAGCGTGTGACTATGACCACCCATGATGAGTTGAAGGCCGGTAGTCTCACGAGCTAGACGTTTGTCCTCTTCGTACCCGATGTGCGTGATAGCTGCGATTCGAGTGATGTTCGTCGTGCTGCGGATTTCGTCGATCGAGGCCTGGACTGCAGCGATCGCATCTGTGAACTTCGTACCGTCACCGGGATTGCTGATTCCGGATGTTGTCTCAGTTGTCACGCCAATAACAGCTAATTGGTACTGATCGAAGATATGATATGGTTTGATGGTAGAGTTTAGCTTCTCATTGTCCGATATAATGTTTGCAGATATAATAGGGAACGTCAGGTTTTTTAAGAAGTCGCCTAATTTATCATCGCCGCTATCGAATTCATGATTTCCTAGGGTCATGGCGTCGAACCCGAGTTGATTGAGGGTCTCGGCGATTTTTTCACCACCGTAGAATGAATAGAACAGAGTGCCTTGAAACTCATCCCCCACGTTCAACAATAAGCTGTCGTTGTGGCCCGGTCGCGTGTCGTCAATGACCGTCTTGATACGAGCATAACCGCCATAACAGCCCTTTGAAGGATTGGTGCAATCAGTCCCTGATGAAGAGAACTCATCTAGGTGCGCGTGTACATCGTTGACGTGGTAGAACGATATGTTAAAGTTGCCGTCTGTATCAATAAAGCGCTTCGACAGGCGCTTGCTATAGAGCGAGTCTTCAGCTGAAGCCAGGCCAGCTATACTGGCGGCTATAGAGAGGACGAAGAAAGAAGGAACGCGAACCATTGTCACGCGGTCGGATCAATCCACTTGTTGAGTCTATATAGCACACGAGAACGACGAGCAACGCAGCGGAATGCTCCCGACCCTTACTCGCAAGTTAGTTGATAAGTAACGACCTTCAATTGCACTGGAAAACAGGAATAGGCGTCGGATTTAAATAAGATACCTACATATGTATATAGTCCTTTCCGAGCTTGCTTCTCGATCTAGACCTGTGGTATCGCGACGGGAAGCATTTGCGCGACGTCGTACGGCACAGGTACAAACATTATCTACAAAGGAGCTTCCAATTCGATCCAGACCATGCTAATATCTGGGCGGCTTAACCCGATAAGCCAGGTCGATGAGATACGCAGTCTTGGCAGTGAGCTACAAGAGTTGTCCAACTGCGAATCTCATTAGCACGTGGGAATATCTCACAAATATGTACAAGGTAGCATCTTGTTAATAGATTAGAAATATCTGAAGGCCTTGGCATTGACATTGATATATATTACAAGTTATGAATAAGTAGGTACTAATGGCAATTAGGTAAAGGTATTCTAATTCTTGTTGTCCGAACTGTATTAAAAACCAAAGATAAACATCAGCGTCCCAAACTGGGGATATGATAACCACACAGTTGTTGCGTGCCTTATTGCTTATTGCTTATTGCCTTGTTAAGGGACTAACCTAGGTTACGAGATGGAACTCCTAGAAAACCCAAGCGACTCATGCTGGATTGTAGCCTCTTAAAGTTGATGCAACAGTTTATATAGTTACTTGAAAGAATAAGACAACGTCGCGAAGCTGATTCCAACTGGCAAATATCAAATCAATAGAAGGGAACAACTACCTGTTAAATAGGTGGATGTTCTCTAAGTATAACAAAAGGCTTTAAACTTAACTATAGTTACCATTTAACAAATAAGGTAAATATTTGCATAGTTAAATTAACACGTCTCAACTGAATTGAGACTGCTTGCTTTACTGTTACGGAAATAGAGGCATGACGCGCTACGTCACAGACCAGACGATCGGATGAAGAGTGCTGTGTGATCGCCAAGTGGGGAGGATATCTGGGGTCGAAATGGTTTGGGATCAGTAGAGGAAAAGCGCTTTGACAAGCGCTGGCACGAAACCTCAGCGAAGTTATTGATACGAGCGAACTCAAGCGAAGAAGAGTAGTTTAGTTATATTTAGTAGGTGAAATTGTCTTCATATATAACAAGAAAAGCTAGCAAACTTTGAAAGCTCCCTTAGACTCCCCATCCAGTAGTTCCAGTAGTATAACCAGCCCATAATCAATAACGCCCAACTTCTCGATACACATGTGGGGGAGCTAGAATATTTCTTATCGCCGTATATTCTTGGCATCGTGTTTCTATATGTGTAATGTAGATTCCATCCTCTAAAGGTGTTGTTGTTTCGGCTGACTATCAGTTCGTTACTACTAAACTAACACTTAAGTAAGCGCAAACTAGAAATTCATAGTGTTTATTACCTGCTCCTCTCGCTCCTAAAATATTCGTAATTACAGGCGTGGCAAGTTGGATTTTATTTAGCCTTCTATCGAGTGTCCTTTAGGAAAACTACCATGATCGGATTATATACCTGTTTAACATATATGGCTTTGCAAATAATCTCACGCTAGCATATTTATAGTCAAACATAGGTAGATAGGGGCTACAATAGAAGGATTGATATAGGTAGAGTACCTAATATACTTACGATGATGCCTCGCTTCCGCGAATCTACACAGTCATTGTCATGAAAACAAGTTATATCTGTTGTTGTCCGGGTTGTGACATATATAGGGCGCTACTTTCAACTACCACGACCAGTGCTTCAGGGGATAGCTGGATACTATGGATTTCGGGAGCTCTGATCAGTTTACATGATTTCACGCTTACGCTAATGGCTCACTACATAACTTCCAAAGAACAATACCTATGTTCGTCTGGACAGTCGCTATAAGCGCTTATTCGGGCGGTAAATGTTGGCGTCGAAACGCTCATTATCTAGCCAGCGGCTACGATTTAAGTGTCGAAAATAGAAAAGATAAGTAGCATGCATTAATCAAGTAAAGCATTTCGTATTTCATCAGATAATGCAGTTAAACACCCATCTCCATCCTCATGCAGACCCCCTGTCAGACCAATGTAGTCTAATGATTCTAGGCGTTCCATTGAACGATTTTACCGGCCAAGTAACAAAAAGCCTTGGAACGATTCTATCTCTGCAGTAAAAACAACTGGATAGTAGGCGCGCTTGTTGAAACGGGTACGAAGGGGCGCAGTTCGATCGTAATACGAATTAGCGGTTTGAAATAGGTAAGACACGGTGGACTTTACTGGGTGCGGGTAACTGTTACTTTTTTGTGAGTCGATAATGGTATTCATATCACGTTGAACAAGAGAAAATGGTTTGTTGATTTTATGTTTATTGATAATTATTTTCTTCTTCGTACTCCCCTGAGATTGGAGATTGGAGATTGGAGAAATGCAGGGTCTTGCAGTGGCTGTCCAACCCCGCGGTCGGCGCGTCTTAGGTACAATTATAGGTACAATAAATGCATGTAAGTACCTAGGTACATATATGTATAATTCTTGGAAATGGAAGGTGGTCAAAAACTAATTTATCAATCTCGGTAGCCAATAAAGGCTCCTGCCCGAAGTTCGCAATAATTGTTTATTGTAATCCATCGTCTCTTCTCATCCAACGATATCTGACTGGAATCAAGGTATTTTTAGTGTTTTGGATTGAGTCTGTTCTTATTCGATACGAGGTGAGTTTTCTCATCAGGCAGCTCAAAATGATGAACTCCATTACGTACATAAGTATATTACCTTTAGGTAGGTAAGGTACATGCCTTCTATTTCATGCTTTTAGACATATTGAAGTAACCTTAAGTGCCGTTCCACTTGATCAATTGACCAATCGATAATTGATAAGCTACCTAACCTAATGTACCTATAGAAGCAGAGGTAGTGGCATGTCATTTATCCATTACGTGACCCCCCCTTCAACCCTTCAACCCCCCTTAACCGCCTCAATCTCTATCCGCTCTGCCACTGTAACCTCCTTTTTAGTTGCCACGCTACTACACTACTACGTTGATCTCGCATTGATAAAACATCCTAGTCGTTCAAGCAGAAGCCAAGGTTTAAAACTTGTTTAACTCTGTCTTTGCCTTTCATTCTAAGTATATTTTTCCCCTTCTTCCTTTCTTCTCTTTTTACCTTAAATAATATACCAGAATAATAGAGTCGCCAGGTAGTCTCTTAATCAAAGGAATATCGTCTTTTCCTTTTACAAAAAAATAATTGGTGTGCGATACTCGGCTCTTATTAACATACGAGGATACCTACCGGGAGCTCTCCTCCGCTTAACCCCCTATCCCCTTGATCTACATCGTACGCGTCTAGCCTTAGATCGATTCTCCACCGCGGTCCACCACGTCTACAGCTCGTTCCCCATTCCAGAAGCCCCAGGCCTAGAGCTTCTTCTCCTTGAATTTGCTCTTTATCCACGGCCCCGAGTCAACGCTAAATAGATATCCAATAATTATTCCATACCAACACAACTTTCTTTTGGATTCCCTTTCTTTCTGGTAGCAGGACTCCCATAGATTACATTTTATATTCCGTTCCTTTTAGACGACCAATCAGCTCGGAGACATCAGTTAGAAACGTCGCCAATATGAATTTTACTAAGAAGATGGATCGCGCCTTTCAATGGGCTGGCGAGAAGATGGGTCATGAGGCCAAAACTGGTCATACAGACGAATTCAAGAGTCTGGAGACAGAGATGGCTCTTCGACATGACGGTATAGAACCTATACGTCGTTTGCCGACTTAAATTAGTAAACTAATGTTCATTTTATACTATAGGCTACGAACGTCTTCAAAAATCCATGAACACTTATGTCAAGTCGCTTTCTCGCAAGGGTGAGACATTCGAAGACAAGGAGAAGGGTCTCCCTGTCAGCTACCTTGGACGGACAATGATGAGCCACGGCGAGGATTTCGAGCCGGACTCAGAATTTGGCAATTGCTTAGTTGGTATGTTATAATATCGGGATGAAGAATATGATGGGCAACAGCTGACATTGGAACGATGGTATAGCCATGGGTAGGGCCAACGAACGCATCGCTGGCATTCAGGAGACATATGTTGCGCATGCTACCTCTTACTGGTTAGAAGGGCTAGAGCGGTCGCTAGCTATGATGAAAGAATACCAGGTTTGTTATCCAATACTTGTACGTGAGGGTCTTGTTAGACAAGCTAACGCCAGCTTCTATTAGTCTGCCCGTAAGAAGCTCGAGAACAGACGTCTCACATATGACGCAAGCATGGTAAAGATGCAAAAGGCGAAACGAGAAGACTTTAGACTTGAAGATGAGCTTCGAACCGCAAAAGCCAAGTACGAGGAGTCGTCTGAAGATGTACTTCGCCGAATGCAAGATATCAAGGAGGCCGAAGCTGAATCCGTGCGCGACCTTACGTGTTTCCTTGATTGCGAGTTGGACTACTACGAACGCTGTGCCGAGGAGCTCCGTCGTGTGAAGCAGGAATGGGTTGCTGGTCAGGGTCAGACATCCGGCGGTTCTCGACCTTCTGAGCTTAGTGTCTCGCGACGTTCGACGAGAAGTAGGAGCAACACAGCCCAATCATTTTCGGAACGAAATGATCGCACTGAACGATGGGCAAGCCGACAAGACAATTACGACCGAGACGAACCAACCCCCGAGCCTGTGCAGATGCCCATTCGCTCAAGCCCGTACCGTGGAAGTGGATCAGTAACTCCTGAGGCGCAAAGACCGGGGATTAGTCGGGCAAGTACACACGCGGGTGCATTTGATGGGCCACCACCAAGACAACAGTCGTACCGTGAACCTCCAGTCCCGCCTTCCGATTCACTACGCAAGACGCCCATGGCACCACCCCCAGCTATAGGATCTCTCCGCAACAATTTGCGCCCCGTAAATAGAGTCCAGACCAACCAGAATTTGAGCCCCGACGTCTACGTAGATGATTACGACACGACCAATAGTAGCGGGAGCCCAGACTACGATCGCAGCGAAAGCCCTGCCACGAGCTATGGGAGTTTAAGTCGCACTACGAGTAACACCGGGTTACGTACTACGGGGACGACGGGAGTGGTAAAAAAGGCTCCTCCACCACCACCTCCGAGCAGAGCTAAGAAACCGGCGCCACCTATTCCCTCTAGACCAGCGGGGTACTAAGGTAGCGGTAAATGTCTACAACTCATTTTTTTATCCTAAAGTGCGGGCCTCGGGCACTTGAAGTGGACATATTGGCGATCAAATAAGTGTAATTGCTTAATTTGGGATGTGTTTTACATAGGCAACAGGCCTATGCTGAACAGGGAAGGATTTTGATTGCGCGGCGTTTGGTGTATTTGTATATCGTAGACTTCGCAACGAGGATAACTTCGTGAGTCAAAGATACATGGACTGGCTCCTTTATTTTGATACTTCATCTTTTAGGACTATACGTGATATAGTGTTGTGATATTCGTACCTATCGTGTTGTTGAACGATTTCGCGAGACTCCACTAGATACTGGCTTGTATTGTTGATATGCGTACTTCGTGCACGCCTATCATATGCATGTTATATGATGCGACTATACATGAACGCCTCGCGAGTCATACCTCGGTGCCCAATCGGCAATATTACAATTCATGAGTGAAATTATTAGTATATATTTCTGACTTACGGACGAGAGGCTATAGCTCATTACTCGTTCTTACGTTAGGAGCGCGATGTGCTTTAGCTCACTACGATAGTAAGTTAGTATGATAGAAGTAAAGATTTATTAAGATAGAGCTCGGGGAAAAAATTTATAGGAAACTGAGCGACTTACTTTTGAACCTGCTGTCCCACTTTCATAGGCGCGTACTCAACCTCGTCTCCCTCGTCGCGACCAAGGTTAAAGTTAGCAGCGCGCACATCCCTAGCTCGGGCGGCTAGGGTAGGAATAGGCTCTAGGTCATAATCGCTGCTTAGGTGCCAGAAGAAGGTGCTGCTAATGCGTACGAGGGGCCGGTCGGGATGTTCCCGCCGCCGTGCGGCAACCGTGTTGAGCGTAGACGAATTAACCACTACTTCGTGGTATCCAGCCTTCACCAGTCCGCCCGTTAGGTGCTCAAGCTGCTTCCCAGCCTGTACAAGCAAGTAGCTTCCTGACGAGGAGGCAGAGGGACGCGGGATGCTGACAGCGATACGTCGACCCGTGTTTCGTGCCCATATGTGGAGTCCCGGATATCGGGAACGCCCGTGAATCGTTAAGAAATTTAAATCAGTATGGAAACCAGCCAAGATGGTGTCCTTTTGCCCAAACTTCTCAAGGTCGGATGCTGTTGGGGCTAGAAGGTGTGGGCTAAATTGTCATACGAATTAAAGGTTAGAGTTTTGAATAACAGGGCTATCTACCTAGGTAATATAGAGGTAGGAGGATATGGAAGAGAAGTGAGCGTAACTTACCCATATCGCCCAGCGTCTGTAAAAGTTTCGGCGGGGAGTCCCATACCAATGGCGGCCATCTCGGCGACCCCCGAAACACTAACTCACGAGCAATCGCTGTTAGTCAATGTGACATTTACTACACTGCTCAGATAGGAGTCTCCGAAGCAGAGGCAGTGAATAATCAACCCAAGCTATACTCACGCGCTCTTCATACTCTTTCCCCACGTCTCCATAACGGGCGTCCATCTCTCCTTGATTTCAGGGGCATCCGGAATCACGTTCTCGGCATTCAGGCCCGGGAATTGCGTAGTGTAAGGCGCGGGCTCGCCCATGCGCCACTATGACAACGAGGATTAATATGTATTCTTGTACGCGAGACACCTCTATGGTATAGATAGGGGTTTAAAAGCATAGTTGGGTTGAATGAGAGAAGCCTTATATGTGGGTATATGGCTCCTGAACTGAATTATTAAAACACGTACAAAAAAGCGACATTTGGGATCCGGTTGATGACCACTGATGTCAAGGGGTCGCTCCTCCGGGGCTAGGCGCTCGATAACGTGTAGGCATGGTTCGTCGACGGCACACTTGGGCTTTTCGGTATTTTCAAGTGTAACGCCGACTTGGTAGCCTAGCTCCGGCCGCTCGTCACGCCGTAGAAGTTCAGCTGGTTGTGCGAAGTAGTCTTCCAGTAGGTCTAAGAACGCCTCGTTGTCTGATTCTGACACCCGCGAGTCGTGTAGTACCAACGCTCCGTACGTTGCGAGCGCCCGGGCTGCGCGTAAGCATTCTTCCTGTACCTCCGGACTAGTTTCCGGGTTGTTTCGGTAGATGTCTAGATCGATAACCGGGAGATCCATCGAAGGCTCCTCCGCTACCACAAATTCGGTCATAGTAGGGTTCTTTGAGAACAGAAATTACCTATTATTTTCTTCTTGTTTACTCTTTGATTTATAACAACTGAAAGCGATGTATTTCTGTGAGTATCTTATGCGGGCGCCTAGTGAACAGGATGTTGCTATTCCAGGTTTACGTCTAGGAAGAGCAGATAAGAATAAGCTCTTCAGTTATAAATGACTGCTAACATAACTTAGAGCTTAAATTTTGGGGTATCACACGGCAAAAGGAAGATCAGCTGAGATGCTAATCGTTCGTGGTAGGTAGTACCTTATGAATGACCTTGTGAATGGATCGATCATGCGGATTAGGGGAATATCACCAATTAAAGATGGAAGAATTTAAGAATTTAGTGTATGTATTCCGTAGTTAAATCGGAAACCGCCGGGTATAGTCGGTCCCCACCTCCGTGCCGATTCGATATACGTTCTAGAACCCTCTGACTAATAAAATCTGGGTTGTGTTTGTCGCGTCTCCACTTCATATCTTTTATCCATTTCAACTTATTTATCACGTCACTAATATCCATTACAAAATGCCATTCTCGAGGACGAGGACTGGTTGTTATACTTGTAGAGAGGATGGCTATAAGTGTGATGAGCAAAAGCCATTTTGTGGGAGATGTATTCGTCTCCAGAAGACATGCAAAGGATATGGAGTCAGACTTAAATGGCAGCCCCTTCAGGGGTTATCAAAATCGAAGCGGGCCAGAAACACACGGCAACAGAAGGAATATTCAAACGATGAGACGACCCCGACATTATCTAGTGAGTCCATAGGTCCAATGGTAAGATATGACCCATCACGTATTATACCGAATGATGTTCATCCGGTAAATCGCTATCTCCTTAATCATTGGTCGACAACACTGGTCACGATGGTATCCATGGTATCGACCTCCCAAAACCCATTTCTTGTTCATTTAACTCCAATGATATCGCATTCAATAGCTCTACGGTCTGTCTTATGCTCAATCGCAGCTTGTCATTTGGCGATACTAAGGAACGAGAATTCATTTCATACCTTAGCGACCCGGTATCGACTCGTTGCTGTTTCCGCCCTACGGCAAACGATTCAAAATGAAGATCCGGAGCTGTCACTTGCCACCATTCTAATGCTCCAAGTCTCAGATAGACTCTTCACCGTGGATTCCGGGGTCGATCATCTATCCGGGGCGAAAGCCATTATTAATCAGGCCGGCATCAATAAATGGAACAGCTCTAGGGCTTCATTCCTCCTTAGTCTTTGTTCCTATCACGACATATTGGCCTCTGTTTCTCGGGGGAAAAGTCCAGTTTTTGAATTCGACGGAGAGTTTCCAATCGAGGGTATGGAATCTATGAAGGAACTTACTTCCGTACTGCGAATTGTTGGACAGATTAGTAGGATGCGGGACCAAGATGCGAAACACCTTGATGCATGGGGTTACGCCATTGAAGAAATTCTCAATGAACTCGACCAGTCTGAGGGCACGATGGGAGATGTGGAACATACTGTACAGGCATACAGATATGCTGCGTACATCTATCTATACCGGGTTTGGCATAACAAAGGCGCACCAGATCCATCTGCGTTAAAGTATGCTCGAAGCTGCTTGGCTCATCTTAGCCTTGTTGCAGTTGGCTCACCTCTCGTATCAGCCCAGGTTTGGCCACTCTGGACTGCCGGCTGCGAATCCATCGACGTTGACCAGCGTCAATTTGTACTAGATAGGATTGATGCTATGTATGAAGCTCGCCACCTTCCCTCGCTCCGAAGGATTAAACAAGACATTGTGGATGTCTGGAATATTAAAGACGAGCAACGAAACTTGATCGGAGTCGATAACGTAGACTGCATCAAAGCTATATTACGAAGTCGACAAAGAGAGGCCGACCTTACTTGATCATTGACAACGTACTTTGATATGGAGAGACCCGAGACATACGTTGCCGCTCTATACTCCACATCATGAATAACTCAATATTTGACCTTACCTTGGGACTACAAAGTAACTACGTCCTCAAGTTAATGCAATACCTATGAGAATATACCGAGACCGCAATATCTTGGGCTTAACCACGCTGGACTTGAATAGAAGCCGTGAATGATTTCCGCTATTTCACGACGCTGGAGGAATAGGATGCGAAGAAAGGTGAACCGTTCGAAGTTATGCCGTCTTCGGAGACTTCTCGGAGACTTTTCTCGTTAGGAAATATATCTACCTACCGGCTTAAGGTATGGGACGGAGCCTTGATGAATATTCTCCCGAGCTGCAAGTAATGGGGTGCGCTCGAGAATATTACTGCGGAACGGCGATTTTCACCATACTGATAACTTATAAGCAATATCCAACCTGATTCTCTCAATTGAAGCCCGGACCTGTTATCTTGGTATTTAATATGGTAGATGGAAAGCTGGAGTAGCTAAGTCGAGTTCAATTTATCGACCAGAGCTAGAATATTAAAATCTTTCGTGCCTCGAAATAGGACGGATAATGAAAGAAACCTAAATATGGGTATGATGCGAAATACGGCGGTATGACCGAAATACTTGCTGTGCGGCGGAACGCACGGGCCAGATTATATAGTGATGTGACTATCCATTCATCCGACCTTTTTGTTTCTGTTCGACCGATCCGGCGGCGCATAACCCCGGGGCCGGAATCGTGATAGAGAGATGGAGTATATTAAAGTCGTGAACTTCCATATTGCCCAAAGATGGCTGTGCTGTGTATGGAGCTTTATATTCGTTTAACATCAACATCATGAATAAGGTAGTCGAAGAACGGAGAAGATCTCGAAAATATGATATCCTCCTACTTGGAGCTACTGGGTACACCGGGTTGTTGACAGCCGAGTACATTGTTCGTCATCTTCCCGTTGATCTGAAATGGGCTATTGCTGGTCGTTCAAAGTCTAAGCTAGAAGGTCTCTCTAACAAGCTCAAAGACCTGGACCCAGAGCGCGTACAACCAGGTAAGCAGCCACTTACGACTTCGCTTAGCTACACCCATCATACCGAATTAACTAAGAATGATTATATAGAGATCGAGGTAGTTACATTTGACGATTCCAGTCAACTCGGTTCCGTTGTTAAGAATAGTAAAGTCTGTATTAGCGTAGTCTTATACTGGCAGGTTGGAGAAGTCGTTGCAAAGTCTTGTATCGAGAACGGTACGGATTATATTGACGTGTAAGTCTGCTGCTCTACGTTAGGTTTCTAACCCATTTAGCGTTGGCAATTTCTAACGTTATACAGGGCTGGAGATATACCACTGTTGCGTACGCTTATCGACAAATATCACGATGCAGCCGTAAATGCTAGCATTGCCGTAAGCACCTAATCTTGAATACGGCTCATCTGAAGTAAGGCCTTGGCTTACTAGTATTGGTGATAGTTAATTCACCTCTGTGGGGTATTTTCCGGGCCGCAAGATCTTCTCACCTGGGCTGCAGCGCGGGAGTTGGCGCAGAAGACCTCCTTGAAAACGAAGGAATTGGTTTTTTCCGCAGCAGAGTTCGAGTGAGTATTAAATCCTAACCTTTCCGTGTAATCTCTCATAGTTATTGACCTTCTCTCTCTGTTTAGGGCTGTTGTTAGCGGTGGCTCGGCTAGTTCATTATTAGCTGAGAGCACTTATGACCCTCAAGTTGTCACGGAAGCAAAACAACCATGGGTGCTGTCACCCATTAAGAGACCACAGACTTCTACGCCCGCCAGTTTTTTCGGCATGCGTAAGGACCCAACCCTCGGCTTGCTGTCGGCGTCATCATTTGGTGCCGTAGAGAACCGGGCATTAGTGCACAGGACATGGGCTCTATTACAAGATACAGACCAAGGGTACGGACCAAACTTTCGGTACAATGAGTACATCAAAGTTTCTTCCGCAGCAGATGGAATATTACGCATTCTGACATTTATCCTTGTGAGGGTTGCCCTAAAGTTTGGGCCCACGAGGCATATCTTGAGATTGATCTTCCCGAAACCTGGTGAAGGACCTGATGTCGAAAAAGAGCGCTCGTCGAGAGTGAAATTCGAGGCTATAGCTATTGCGGACACGAATAGCGGTAATGCGCCTCGTGCATATGCAAGCTTCTCATATCCCTCAGGCGGTTATCACATCACTGCCCTCTTCCTAGCGCAGGCAGCTGCATCATTACTCTACACTAGAAGTCTAGCAGGCCAGTTTTCTGGGGGTTGTCTCACACCAGTTTTCCTCGGCGAGGACTTTTGGAGGAGAATTCAAGAAGCGGGCGCAGTCCTTCAAGTCAACATGGTTTAAGAATATTTAAGTCTGGAATTCTGTATGCATAGGTACCTAAATTACGGGGGTAAATTATTATTTAGTATGTTCTCTAGCCCTCGACATTATTTTACCACCTATATATCAGCTTTTGTTTTTGTGTACCTGTTATATTGGTTTCCTCTTATTATCGCACGACGGATCCAAGTTTTGGTAATATGATGAAACTCCTTTCATAACCCAGCCTACCTACCTGGGAGGTACCTAACCTATTAACTCAACTAAGTTAGTTTAAATTCGACCTCCGTCTCTCGGAGATGCAGTGCTTGTGGAACAAATGATAAATACCTAAACCTAGACCTATAAACTCTTGTGGCTTAAGTTGCCCCATCTTCTCAGAGCCACACCCATTACTCATGATCTTGGCCTATCTATGACACCCGAAGAATCAAAAATGAAGTCGATTAACCTATTAATTGGTCGACCAACCCCGAATTTACAAGCAGCAGACAAGCTGGCAGCAGCATCTCAAATAATCCTGTCGCAGCCCCAGAAATCAGACTTGGCGTTGACATACGGCCCTGATCATGGCGAGGATAGTATTCGTGAACATATTGGGGATTGGCTCAGTCAGAAATACTGTCCCATATCTGGCCATATCACCCAAGATCGTATCATCATTACCAACGGCGCCTCTGGAGCACTTGCGGGAATTCTGCAGAAGTTTACGGACCCGTCATATACGCGTCGCATATTTCTTGTAGAACCTACTTACTTCCTTGCCGTCCAGACGTTTCTAGATGCAGGCTTTGGTCAGAAAATGCGAGGTGTCCCCGAAGATGATGAAGGTATTGACCTAGAGTATTTACGACATCGGTTGGAAGAGGACAGCAAGACTGATGATGTCTTGAATACTGGCGTACCTCGCACCAAAATTTCCTCTCAGGGGTATGGGAAACTTTTCAAATATATCTTATACGTGGTTCCAACACTATCAAATCCCAGCGGGAAAACAATGTCAATGCATCATCGTACGGCACTGGTCGAATTAGCACGCCAGTATGATATTCTCCTGATTGCAGATGATGTCTATGACTTTCTTGCCTGGCCAGCGGATGACAGTATTTCACATGGAGGCCTAGAATTTCCCCCGAGGTTAGTGGATGTCGATCGGCAGATGGCTGGATCGAGCGAATGGGGGAATACTGTAAGTAACGGATCTTTCTCGAAGCTGGCTGCTCCCGGACTTCGGGTAGGTTGGTGTGAGGCGATGCCGAACTTTATACAGGGGCTATCTACAGTGTAAGTCTACGGATCTCTCAAGCAATTAGGAGAGATAGTTTTGACAACCTAGCTTCTAGCGGGGCTACTATGTCCGGCGGTTGTCAAGCGCAGTACACTTCCTTCTTAATCGACGACATGTTAGTTTCTGGGGTTTTAGAACATCATATACAGAATACTTTGATCCCGACATATCGAAGAAGATATAACGCCCTTGTGGAAGCTATTAGAACTTACCTATGTCCACTCGGAATAAGGATATCAACGGGGAAGCCATACGAAACATTTGCTATAGACGGCGAGGGTAAGCGTGTGCCAACTATACTGTTGGGAGGATTCTTTCTTTACATAGATTTTCCAAACGGGAATCAATTCCCATCAGCGACCGAAATCATCCGCATTGGTCGTGAGGAGTTCGGCCTAACTATTGCATCAGGAGAGATTTTCGCCGTCAAAGGAGATCCCGAAAGTCTCAAGAGGGCCCAGTCAACTTTCAACCTAGGCACTAGGCTATGCTGGGCATGGAATGAAGAAACGGTATTGATTGAAGCAATTCAGAGATTTGCGAAAGCTATCCAGCGAGCACAAGTATCGCGATTATAGTTCATCGGGGGCATCTTGATGCATGCTTAAGAGTCAGCCATACTTGGAGTTAGTTGTTATCTACTAGGCAGTGTTGATTCTCTCTCTCTCTCTCTCTCTCACCCTAAAAATCAAGGAAAGGGGTTGAATAGTTAACTAAGAGCAATGATACCTTAAATATTTCAAGTACTTAAGGTAAACAATATTCGTATTTGAATAATTACGATAATTTGCCGCTCAACTTATCTATCTCCAACTTAGAATCATATCCCTTCTAACTAGATTTTATCATAACAGAACGGATATTAAAATCATGAAATAATAGCTTAGGCGAATCTTAGCTTTTCTGCCGCATCGGCATCCGTCCTCTGAGAGAAATGCTGCTGTTCGGGACCCGGCGAGGGTGTAGGTGTAGGGGCGAGATCTCCAGGGGTAGGCTGGTTACCAAGCTTGTTCATGATACCCTCATCGGCACGCTTGCCCTCAGCCGCCTTTAGCACCTCCATTAGTTGCCTTCCGCCCTCGGGCCACATCACAATATTATCATTGTTGTTCTTCCCACTCTGACTACTGTTTCCGACCTCACCCTTTAGAATCTTATCCACGCTGATCTGGCCCGTCCCGTAAAAGGCTGCATTCGCATCAGGCCGCTGTAAAATCACCGTCCCGTCAACCTGCACGCCGCCGTAAATGCCCCGCGACTTCATATAGCTCCATACTGGTTTAACCCCCTTTCCTACTGCGGCCTCGACGCTTGTCCCCACGCCCACGGGCCCCGCCGCGACGGCGACCTCGCCACCCAAGCTGAAGCGCGCTTTGGTAAAAGCTTCGACGGCGGCGGGAGTGTTGAGTACACACACGCAATCGTATATATCAAGCCCAGCAACAATCCCCGCACCTATCGTATGCACAAGAAATCCGGCTGGCGGTGACCAGCTACCGTCCGGCAGTCTGGCCACGACGAGCCCTGCACCCCCTGCCCCTGAGATATGAAACCCGGTCCGGAAAGTGGTAAAGATCGCCAGCCCCTTCGCGTTGGCGATTACAGACTGCGGGATCTTTACTAGTACTTTGGGCTTGCTGCTTGGGCCTGACGATGAGGTACCTTGCGTTGGTGCGGATGCGGTGGTATAAAAGCCGTCTTCTGAAGACATATATTAGATTCGCTTTGATTATTAAATAGGGGAATGAAATTTGAATAGCGCGCGGGGAAACGTACTGCAAAAACTCTTGAGAATGCGTGCCGCTTTATCGCATTCTTTATCCATGCTCGTGGGCATGAAGGCTTCAGAACCAAGCTTGTTCGTTAGTTTATTGATAGGGGTACCGACCTTCATACCCCATTCATATAGCTTACGCCCGAAGCCCGGTTTTGACGTAGAAGAAGAAGGAGTATCCGTGTTTGTTGTAGATGGTTGTTGCTGATGCTGCGGGTGCTGGTGCTGTTGGTCGGGATGAAGACTTGTAGCTATGTGAGGGAGTGAAGCCTCGGTAGGAGGTGGAGGAAAATGTGGCGCTGATTGCTCTCCTTGCGATGAGATGGGGCGTGGTGGAAGGACTGGTGGCTTTTCATCAGTCACTACAACCCCGGGTACGGTTTCGATTTCCGCATAGCTCGGCGGAGGGTAGCTTGGGTTCTCCTCTGATGGTGTATAGACCTGGTTCGGAGGGGGACCCGGTGGCGGAGGCGGGTAGTACGGTTGGTCTAAATTTGAAGGTGGAGGACCTGGAGGCGGCGGATAATGATCATGATGTTGAGTAGCTGGAGGAGGACCAGGCGGCGGTGGTGGGTAGTAAGTCGGGTCGGTGCTAGAAGAAGGCGGAGGACCTGAAGGGGGATTGTGTTGTCCTTGCTGAGTCGTACCAGGCTGGGATGGAACTGGCTGAGGATCATTCCCGCTTAGTTCGGCGTAGTAATTAGGATTATCACCTGGAATAGGTGAATGGCTTGGATGTGCGCTCATCGTAGAGTTAAAACGAGGTACAACTAGTTAGTGTGTAATCGGGTAAAGAATATAATGCTGGAGCAAAGTCAAGTATGGAGTTGTTGTAATGAGTTGTATAAAAGGGAGACGAGGTCAATTACATGTGAATAAAAATATAAGAATAAAGCGCAGGCCGCGACATGGACAAGATTGTCGTCACTTGATTTAAGAATACGCGTATATAATAGTGGCTTAGTTGTAGGCTTAACTAGCATTTAATTGGGTGTCAGCCCTTAGGAATAATGAATACCTCGTACGAAAATATGTTATATTCGTGCTGGAGGGGGAACAAGAAGACCTGAACGATATCTGATGTCATCGCCACATTCGAAGCTAGGCGCAGATGGCAAGGTACCTCTCAAGGTAACATAGGGGCTATAACCAATGGTATTTACCTACGCGTTTACCTGTATTTAGTTAGATCATGATGTTAGGCACTAAAGGTACATTTGTCAAAGCTGAGGTAACAGCTACATACCTTGAGTAGTCTCAAAAAGGTAGATAATATAAGAATACAAGTAGAGCTAAGTTAGAAAGCACCAATCGTAAAGGCACTCGAAATAAAGTACGAGTAATATTCGTAATAACTGTAGGGTCTCCTATTATCATATATTAACCGCTACAGCGCTGACAACGCGCATTTGCCGTAGCTCACTCTCTTCTTCGTAACTCTACAATACACGTAAATGGACTACAAGTATAGGCCTTCAGGTTCTCCCTCTTGTTTAGTACGAAGGACTCTCTCTCTTGCGGCCCTAAAATCCGCCATCTGCACACGCATACGACGTTCACGTAAAGCCATCAGGCCGGCTTCAGAGCATATAGCCTTGATATCCGCCCCGGATAGATCATCTTTCTGACTAATGAACTCATCCAGGTCGACATCTTCGTTTAGGCTCATCTTGCTCGTATGAAGATTGAAAATCTTGCGCTTCGTGTTCTGGTCTGGATTCTCGAAGAGGATTTTTCGGTCAATTCGGCCGGGTCGGATCAGGGCAGGGTCGAGAGTTTCGATCTTGTTGGTTGCCATAATAACCTTGACGTCACCACGGTCGTCGAAACCATCCAGTTGGTTAAGTAGTTCCAGCATAGTTCGCTGAACTTCACGCTCACCACCTGATGTTGAATCATAACGCTTCGTGCCAATGGCATCGATTTCATCAATAAAAACAATAGAAGGGGCGTTTTCCGCAGCAACCTATTAAAATATTAGCATAACACTATCTTGAGGATCGGTACGGCTATTATCATACTTGGAAAAGCTGTCGCACGAGTCGCGGCCCATCACCGAGATACTTCTGGATCAGCTCGCTTCCGACGATACGTAAGAAAGTGGCAGAAGTCTGGTTCGCCACGGCCTTTGCCAACAGCGTCTTGCCGGTTCCAGGGGCACCGTAAAGTATGACACCTTTCGGAGGCTTAATACCCATCTCCTCGTATAACTCTGGATGAAGAAGTGGTAGTTCAACCGACTCCCTCACTTCTTGAATCTGCTGTTCCAATCCACCAATATCGGCATAGGACTCGGTTGGTGCCTTGTCAAGTTTCATGACATTAACGGCCGGGTCCGTGTCATCCGTAAGCACGCCGACGATAGAGACGCTCTTGTGATGTAATAACACAGAGGCACCGGGCTCTAGTAGGTCCTTGTCAACGAAACTCATGATGCTGACATAATACTCAGGACCGGTGGTGCTAGAGACTATAGCGTGGTCATCATCAATCATCTCCTCGAGGGTACCGACACCCATCGGGCTTCCACGCATGTCGTCAACCCGACCACGTTCATCGGCCATGCGGTCGGGAGCGTCAAGATCAGGAGCAGGACCAGTGTTGTCTTTAGCGGCCTTAGCTTTTCTTAGACGCTCTTGATTCTCGACGAACTCTTCTTCGAGTAACAGGTGGTCATGGATACGTTGCATTCGGAGTAGACGAAGCTTGCATCGACTGGTCGGATAGACGGCGGGGAGTTTGGCAGCCGCAGAAGTACCAGCAGCCTTTCTCTTCTTACGTCCGATACGAGTGGTTGGGCGGGGTGGAGGTTCGTACTTTGGCTTCTCCTTCTGTTGAAGACATGCGAGTTAGAAATATGAATTAAAAATCATTAATAGTTTGAAAACGAAGCTTCGCTGCTGATAACAATGACGCTGCTGTTAATCTGATGATGGCGATGCTGTTCTTGTTATGATGTATGAGATTTCTATCAACGTACCTTCTTATCCTTATCATCCTTTCCATCCTGGCCGGCACCACCCATTCCGGATTGGTTTTGACCCTAAGTGCGTGCGCAGTGTCAGTAAAGGGAAGATATATGAGTAGCGGCGGTAATATTAAACTGACCATCTTGACAAGTTACTGCCCCGTGCGGGTCAAAGTAATATTCAAAGCGCCCTGTTATGGGCACTGATGAATTCTAGATGGACAAAACCAACGGCCACAAAGCGAAAGGCTGATGATGGTTAAATTCGCTTGTAGTGGTGATACTAAGTGCTGGATAGAGAATGAAGTAGTAAAGGTAAAGTTGACGTTTAAGTTGTTGAGTGGGTTTCGATGGCAAGTGGTAAACGAAAGCTTCGCTGACGCTAATTTACCTACTTGTATGTATGTACTTTAGTACCTAGAGCGCAGGAGCGTCAGTTTAGAAATCAGGCACCAAAGAGGAAACGCGTGCATGCCAAGATAAGAAGCTTTGGCCAGCTTAAGTAATTCAAGTAGGTACATAGATAAGATAAGTATAGATAAGATCAAGATATATATGTACCTAAGTACCTATGTACATAACCTAGGCAAAGCAAAAAGGTGCATGTGGCCAGTGCATGTGCAGTTACTGGGTCAGTGTCGATTTGGAAAGAACTGCGGCATTACAACGGGTTGCAATTTAGCTTTTGATAGACGTTGAAGCTTGAACCTTTTTTTTTTCTTATTCATCGTCTAAAATAACTCTTTACTACTAACTTTCTACCTTTCACTACCTTTTAAACGTACCTAACCTATATTCGTACACTCGAGCTCTTTATCTATCGGAAACTTCTCTACAGTTTCCTATAGGTCAATTGCTGCAGGATGCAAGCTTTCTCGAGACATCTGCGGCCAGGCGCTGCCATCTTGCGCCAGGTTTCCCGACGAGCCTATAGTTCTACGACCTCCCCTTATTCCCAGACGATCGAGAACCTGCGCATTAATGGAGACACCAAAGTTATATTCCAAGGCTTTACTGGAAAGCAGGGAACGTAAGCGCTCTCTGCCCTTTTTGAAGTTGGCCGCTCGTCGAAGACTATATCGTCTCGATCTCATCAATATGCCATATCACATATTGCAATAGAAAAAAAAAAAGCTCATGCTGATATTCGGATTCCAACAGCTTCCATGCCCAGCAAGCTATCGAATATGGTAACTACATCCTTTGCGCCCCCTTTCCGCGATAAATTTCAACGAGGTGAGGAATACATATCTAATAGAAACCTACGGATAGGGACTAGGGTTGTTGGAGGAACAAACCCCAAGAAAGCCGGTCAGGAACATCTTGGTCTTCCTGTCTTCGCCAATGTTGGCGAGGCCGTGAAGGAGACTGGCGCAACCGCCACTGCCATATTTGTGCCGTAAGTATTAGGTTATTGGTATGAAATACGACATTCAAATAAGAGTTGCTAATCACTGTTCGTATCCAGTCCTCCTCTAGCTGCTGCTGGTATCGAAGAGGCTGTCTCTGCCGAAATACCTCTCGTCGTTTGTATCACCGAGGGTATCCCCCAGCATGGTATGTCAAAGCCATATAGCCTCGAAGCTTTTACCTTTTCTAACAGACTTCTAGACATGGTCCGCATCACCGATATCCTCAAGTCGCAGTCCAAGACTCGTCTCGTCGGCCCCAACTGCCCTGGTATCATTGCTCCAGGCCAGTGCAAAATCGGCATCATGCCCGGCTTTATCCACAAGCGTGGTCGTATCGGTATCGTCTCCCGCTCCGGTACCTTGACTTACGAGGCTGTCAACCAGACCACCCAAGCTGGCCTTGGTCAATCTCTCGTTGTTGGTATTGGTGGTGATCCCTTCAGCGGGACGAACTTCATCGACTGCCTCAAAGTCTTCCTGAAGGATGAGGAGACAGATGGTATCATTATGATTGGAGAAATTGGTGGTTCAGCCGAAGAGGATGCCGCAGATTTCCTCAAGGCGAACAATACCGTCAACGGTGGTAAGCCCGTTGTTAGCTTCATCGCCGGTATCAGCGCCCCTCCGGGACGACGAATGGGTCACGCCGGTGCCATTGTATCAGGTGGTAAGGGCGGAGCAGACTCTAAGATCAAAGCTCTAGAGGCAGCTGGTGTAGTAGTAGAACGCTCTCCTGCCGCCTTAGGGCGCGCAATGAGGGAGGCTTTCGTTAAGCGGGATCTTTTATAAGAAGCTTGTCTCATACATAAATGTAGAAAGGGCGGGTCATTAGATACGGTATAGGCCTCGACGAGCCTCATGTGTTGTGGATCGCCAAAGTCCAGGGGTATTAAATACTGTTCCCGAATGGGGGGGTAGATATCGAAGCATGTGTGGCGGTTGGTAAGCTGGACTGCATTTATCGCCAGGAGAACATCCTGGGTGTGTTTTACTTAACTCTGATAGACGGAGGGGCGGATGGCGAATAATGCATTGTATCTTTGTTGTGTCTGTCCCCCTATCATACTTATATATATCATGAAGCCTCAATACCCCTGAGTATTTTATGCCTGGTTGTCTCATTGCATACCGGCGAAAGTAAAGTGAAACTATTACGAATATTTATAAAAATTAAGGGAATGAATAAACGAGCAACTATGAGACTTGGGTATGTTTACGAAAATGATTTTAAAATAATTAAGACAAGTATGAGAACTAATCTCATGTGCACTCGGAAATTGACCTAGTAATCCGTTCAATATCTTAGGCACATTGGAACAAGTTTAACTCTACTCCTATTTACAAGAGAAGGGGACGTAGAAACTTATAAACAGATTTAGTACATTGACGTCTATTTACGTTTCCTCTTTCAAAATAAGTCTGGAAGTAGAGCTCATATTTGAGGATGGAAAGATACGAGGGATATCTCACTTATAGATGTACGAAATATGCTTGCTCAATGGAACATAAATGCTATAGTGGCTAATGACTAGAGCATACTTCATATTTAACTTACATATCCAGCTGCATGCTCATATATACCTGTCTATATTATTCGACTCAGCATGAATTAACTCGGCTTTTTAACTTTTAGGATGTGCTTTTTATTCTAGTGCCATGTTAACCCCTTATATCAGAGAGCCATAGACTGTCGATTTCCTAGATAAAACCCGCCGCTTCCTAGTGTTCAGAGGTACGCTCTCTCATTTATCGCTTAGGAAGAGCAAGTAGGCAAGTTGAAGTAAGTTTTAAGAAATTTGCCGAATTTGTATACAACCTACCCGAGGTACGTGTATCTAAAAAGATAAAGCTCAGCTCGTGTAATATTAAGACCGTGATTGAATAACATTACAAGCTTTCCCCAACCTTTCCCCTAGCAATCTACGAAATACCATTGGCTCTACGCCGAGGTTATTGGTATCAATACGGAGAGAGCCCCAAAGTTCTAGATGCAACCCCGCATAGTATCCCAGCTGTCCATGAAAGCATTATAACTGCCGCGTAGAATCTGGGGTCTCCGCATTGATCCTCTAAAATGGTTGGACGATCGTCAGGGTTGGTTGGCGTACTATGCCAGGATTTGGGGCATAAATGCCTGGCCTTCTACAAATGCAGAATAGATTAATGGAGTCAATATTACCTATGCCTGCAGGACGTGAATAGTCTGCGGTGTGTTAATAGTATATATATTAATCATAATACCTACCTAGATAAGAATGAGCATTGCTATTCGAGTGATTCTTATGACATACCTTATAAAAAGGAAGCATTGAAACATCAATGCTTTATTATTGATTATTTGAGCACGCTGGTTTCTCTCCTTCTAGAGCCCTATTTCGTTTATGACTATGACTATGCCTACGGACGCGGAAAAGCAAGCCGCAGCTTTGGAGGATCAGAAGTCGGGGATGCACGAAGAACTTGAGGTAGTCCCGATCGACCAAGGAGTAAACCATGAATCTAATAATATTCATCTGAGCTGGAGATCATGGGTATGAATCATACTGAATTTCCGTTATATTGAACTATGTGTGTTGACAATTTACTTAAATTTGTAGCTAGTGGTATTTATAACTTGCTTCGCGTAAGTTCGATGGCATATTCGCTCATCTGTGACCCTCTCGCTAATTACACCGAGCAGCATCATGGCCCAAGTGTTTGTGGTAGTGGCAGCGGGCTCGGTCATTGCGTTCATAGCCCGCGATCTGGGGGACGCTTCGATAGCCGGCTGGGTTATCCAGGTACCTATCCACTGTTGCATTCTCCTAATAACGTGGGTATAACTAAGAGACTCTAGGGACCACTGCTCATGCAATCCGTACTATCGCCTATAGTTGGCCGTTTATCAGATGTGTTAGATAGGAAATTCCTCGCGACAGTGCCGCCACTCATTGCGTTCGTGGGTGCCGTTGTGTCTGCTAAGGCAACGTCAATGAGCATGCTTATCGGCGGCGGCATTCTCATTGGGACCACGTTAGCTACGATATCTGTCGTACAGGCAATCCCTTCCGAGATACTGCCCTTGAAGTTTCGCCCTCTCGCTAATGGCTTCGCTTTTGTCGGAGGTGCCGTAGGTGGATTGTAAGCATTCATCAGTCCTGCTGCCTTTATATCGTCTTTTGCAAGACTAAGTAAATGATGATAGGATCGGTTCACTTGGTGCTGGCGCGGTAACTAATGTTGATGCTGGCGGCTGGAGATACATATTCTGGATGCAAGCCGCCTTTCACGGCATTACCGCACTAGGGCTCTTCTGTCTCTACTGGCCACCGAAACATATCCAACATCCTAAGATGTCGTTACGGGACTATATATGGGCTTGCGATCCTATTGGGTCTGTACTATTTGTCGGCAGCGCAACACTTATGTTACTCGGACTTGATTGGGCCGGAGGAGCCTACGCTTGGTCAAACCCTCACGTCGCAGTCCCAGTCAGCTTGGGTCTGGTGCTGCTAGTTAGCTTTGCCCTGTACGGTAAGTAGGCAGTTAGTCTCTAGTCTCCGACGATATAACATGTGACGGGACCAATTGATAATTTATAATGAATTAGCTAACGATACTAGAATGGAGAGGACGATCTGATGGCCTGGTTGCTCACGTCTTCTTTCGGAAGAATGCCAACTTCGTTTACTCAATATTCGCCTTCGCAGTTGAAGGCTGGATCTTTTACAGCGCCGTGAACTCCGTCGTGCCTCAGATCGCGCTTAACCTGGGGTTCGAAAATGATGCCTGGCGAATCTCGGTCCGACAACTCAGCTACCAGCTCCCTGTTTTGTTTGCCTCTGTGCCTATTACGTGGTATGCTACTAGATTCAAGGACTTACAAGCGCCCCTCCTCGTTACTTTTACAATATTTCTCATCGTGTAAGTTAAACTCATATCGTATTTTCTGAGCTACCAAGGCAATAAGACAGCGGACTGATAATCACACGTGAAATAGAACTATCTGTTATGCTACTATCCAGCCTTCGTGGAGCTCTGCGCAACTCGGCTTCAATGTGCTTGCTGGCATTGGTCAAGCAGGACCCCTGACGCTCCTCGTAGCCTGTATCCAGTTCACGGCACCTCATTCTTTCTTATCGACGGCGACGGGCCTCGCTTTTTCTGCACGCGCCATTGGCGGCGCCTTCGGGTCCGCTGTTCTAAACGCTATTATAAATGGCCAACTCGCTAGCCATTACGCAGCAGGTGTTGGGAGCGCAGCTGTAGATGCAGGTCTTGCCATGGAAAGTGTACCAGCTTTGCTCGAAGCGCTGGCCGCCGGGCAGATAGGGTTAGGAGTTGACACGGCAACACCTGCGGTCTGGGCTGCAGCCATTGATGCTAGCAGGTGGCAATATGCTCATGCGTACCGACTGGCGTGGGCCAGCGTGATCCCATTTGTCGTGCTAGCTATCGTGGCTGTAGCTCTATTGAAAGGCGTGAAGGATTTGATGACGGAAGAGGTAGAGGCTACCGTAGAGCATGTTTAAACATGAAGGCCAGCTCGTATACTCCCTAGAATCTACCAAATAACGGGCAGGAACTTTGAACACGAAATATTAGAGTGTGGAAATGGTAACTCTCTCAGTAATAATCAGGACAAAGACTCGGCTTTAGATTAGTGGTTTAGTTAGATTCTCCAAAAAGATAGCTTCAAGTGCTGCATGCTGGAAGGTTTGGTATGGTTTCTCTCATATGGCTTCTGGTGACCACGCCCTTGAAGCTTTTACATGTAGAACTGTCGTTGCTAATTGGAACGTATTGTATGTTCGGACTTAATGAACAACCAAGATGCCTATTTCCAACTTTTACATCCATTTTTAGTGTCTTAATGGATACTTGATACATCTGAGTGTAAAGAGGCTGCGACGAGGCTACTCTGGCTTTTTGATGGTTGCATATCAGGTAGAGGCTAACGGGCTTTATGACAAGCAATTTATGAGCTTCTTCCGTACTCTTGTTTCCAAGGCCTCGCAAATAGCGTACCGTTATATTCGTTCCGCGCTTATGTTCAAGACTGCTTTTGCGGACGACCATCAAGCCATTTGCTCATGTAGGGCCCGTCCAACCAGTACCCAAGCTTTCTATAATAGCTTCTCACTCCGACACCACTGATAACGCTGATCTTGTCGCTTCCGTGCTCATCACGCGCGATGCGTTCCGCCTCTTCCATCAGGAGGGTACCGAAGCCTTGATGTTGGAACTTTTTGGGATCTCTAGCGTGTACCGGAACGGCAGTACCGTATACGTGAAGCTCCCTGACGAGACTAGTTTGCTGACCAGTCAATTCATCACGGTAGGTGTACTTTTCGGTGCATTTACGCAAACGAAGCAATGCGACTAAGATATCTTGCTTGGGGTCCTCATAGGCTAGGAAGGTCTCCCACCCACCATTGGCTGTATAATCCCGACGAATGAGTTCGATCTGATTCGGCCGGATCTTGTGCTTGACTTCGTTAATCCCGACCTCGCGGGTTCTTACATCGCGGCACGTTGTACCGAAATCCTTCATCCGAGCAAGTGCTAATTCTCGGAGATTTCCATTTTCAACACCTGAGGTGACCAGCGGCATCGGAATGTCCCTCTGAACTCGATAAATTCTAGTCCATGGCGGCACCAATGCTAGGATTCTAGCAACAATGTCGATTAAATCGTTAGGCGTATAATTCTGGTAACGGCCTGTGCGCCATAACTCGTAAAGCCCCGTACCACGAATAACTAGCGTCGGATAGATCTTTAAGCCATCGGTCCGGAATGCTGGATTTTCGAAATATTCTCTAAACTGATCTAAATCGCGCTCCATGCCCACATTCGGTAAGTCGGGCATCATATGCGAGACAACTTTAAACCCGGCGTCTTTAGCAAGACAGAACGTTTCCGCAACCGCTGCCACGGTGTGCCCTCTGTTGGTATCTCGTGCGACATCCTCATACAATGATTGAACCCCGACCTCTAGGCGCGTACATCCGTAGCGGAGCATATCCGTTAGGTGTGGCTGCAAACAGTAATCCGGTCGAGTCTCGATGGTAATACCGACGCATTTGACATTGCTCATCTCACCAGCCTCAACCGCCTCGTCTACGTTCGTCGTTTGATAACCGCTTAGAGCATTATGCAACTGGGAAATAAACTCTTCTCGGTACGGCACAGGCAATGACATAAATGTACCACCCATTATAATATACTCGACTTTGTCAACCGAGTGCCCGAGGGACTTCAGCTGGTCGACACGGCCACGAGCTTGTTCGAAAGGGTCATATCGAGCGCGAATAGCGCGCATGGACGTAGGTTCATATCCCGTGTAGGACTGGGTGCTATATTCGAAGTCGGAGTCGGGTCCACCTGGGCAGTAGACGCAAATATTGCCAGTGTAGGCGATGTGAGGGCATCTATGCGGCTTACACATAACAGCTACAACGGCAATTCCGGAAGAAGTGCCTAGATATCAGTTAGCAGGAATTGAAATATCATTTCTTAAATTTTTAATATAATAGCGGCATACGAATAGGTTTTGCGATCAGTTTTGGTAAGATATATTTCTTGTAGTGTTCGGGGACGGCGGCGATGATGGCAGTGAGCGGGGGCATGCTGGCGATTTTGTGTTTTCTAGAGAATTTGGAGCGCAAGCTATTGAGGTTTATATCTCGCTTAGGATTCTTGGGATCTTTATAAGCCTCATGGTCTTCGATAAGGGCGTTGGCAATATCAGCGCAGCAGCGCAAGAATCGCTCGTTCTCGGGCGGGAGGTTGGCATCCTTCTTCCGGACGGTCGCTGTTATCGTAGTTGTCGCCATGTTGGAGTTTGCATGTGATGATTCCGTACCTAGGTAGATAAACTGCTGGCAGTATATTGAGTACCTATGTAGTAGGGTGGCCACATAGGTAGAATAAAATAAAGTATGATAGAAATATTTATTCCGTAGGTACGTTAAATAGAAAGAAGGATGTAAATACGTATGAAACGAGTAATAGTAAAAAGTATCGATGGTGGGGTTAGAAATCTGAAATTATATTTTATCCAATGAAATTCAATGCAATGACTCTAGATCCGTGCTTGTGGGTACATACGGATTATATGTATGCATGTGTAACCCCGCCATGCACCTGACGGTCTAGCAATACTAAAAGAAATACTTGATATATGCATAAGTTATTGACAATATCAAGTACAGGACTGTACATGTACATAGTATGACCTCAAAGGTTACCTAGGCGAAAAGCAGTCGCGACCGGGGGGTCGCGGGGTTCTGCATACATGTACGTTTACATGTACCTTGCAACTCCTCTTCGTAACTCGCCGTCACTTTTGGTAACTTATCAGTTTTGTCTCCAACTCGTCTCTTCCCATTTTCAACTTTTCCATGAACATTGAAAGTCTCATGCCTTCTGAGCTGTCACAGTCGGGACTGTCAGGTTCTGCAACCTTTTTATTTCACTTGCAGCCTGCACTGTCTTATATCCAATAGGCATTTATATTTTGTTTTCAATAGTAAATAGAGCAAAGCGTTCTCTTGGCTTGCTTCTAGCCCATTCCTCATTATTCTTCTTTTTACATAACTCTTGCGTCCGTATCCCTATCAGCTTTTTAGCTACTTTGACGACAAGTTTACCACACCATATTCTCAGCCGATAGCCGCTGGAGCGCGATTCCTTTTATTTTCTATCTATCCAATACCCTCAACTCAGCGACACCGGGGACTAGGCAAAAATGGCAACAAGTAGGATGCGTAGGGTAGCTAAAGAGCTCTCCGATATAAAGGCCGACGCGGATTTATCCGGTATCACTGCTATGCCTGCCGACGGTGACGATGACTTCACGCACCTCAAGGCTCGGATACCTGGTCCTCCAGGCACCCCTTACGAGGGTGGGAGGTTTATCGTGGACGTCAAAATCCCCAACGAATATCCCTTTCGCCCTCCTGTTATGAAGTTCGATACCAAAGTCTGGCATCCAAATATTAGCAGTCAAACTGTAGGTTTTCTTGAACATTTATTTAGACGTATAGCGGTATTCTCTGTGTCTATCAAAGGGCTGGTTTTGCTAATAAATTGAACGCGCAGGGTGCTATCTGTTTAGACACTATAAGTTCCGCCTGGTCTCCCGTTCTCACTATAAAGTCCACCCTTTTATCTTTGCAAGGCCTCTTCGAAAGCCCTGAACCCAAAGACCCGCAAGACGCTGAAGTAGCCAAGATGATGATAAACGACAGAGAAGCTTTCAATAATAAGGCTCATGACTGGGCTGTACGCCACGCCCGTGCCCCTCCAAATCCCAAATACCAATACGTGCAGCCGCGGCCCACCATGGCGCCACAGCAGGTCGACGATAGCAGGTACGATCCTAGGAAATATACGATAGACATTGTAACAACTAATTAGCTAACCGGTTGTGTAGATACCAGGGCTACAACAAAGATCTCATTGATAGATTCGTCAGCATGGGGTTTGATATCGAGCGAGTTGTAGAGGCTTTCCAATTTGTTGGTATCGACAGACTTGACGGTCAAGATTATGAGCTGGAGGAAGCATACATGGGTGATATCACAGCTCGATTGTTAGGAGAACCTTAGGTGCAACAAGACGGTTCGACGACACACATGCCCAAATCTCACTTTACCGTTATCATATACTGGCCCATCTCTCTATTTGAGGCGCCATATGTTAACCCGCATACGATTCTCGAGTATTAGCAACAGAACAGGGTTAAATTAGGTGTACTCAGTAGTCAGAAATGTCTTCACAGACTTGCATAAGGAATTAGGCGTCGGGGGTTCTCGGTTAGGGTGCGCTACGCTTGCATGAATCAAATTACATGAATTAAATTATTCCTTTAGCTATAACTACCTCAAGGCTGTGTTTATATGTTTTAATTATACTCTCTTTGTCTCTAGTGTGTTAGTTCCTTTTATTTTTTGCGACTGTAAGCATACCTATTGTATGAACATTTCGTTCTCGTCGTTGGGGTAGTTAGTTGGGTGATTTCTTCTACCATCTCTAATCCAGTAGGGACAAATGTAACCACCACTAAGAGCTTGACACGACACTTTGGCTGAAACTCCAGAATTCGAATTCGGAAGTCATAGAATATAAAGATAATAGGTATGTAGTATCTGAAGGTGATTTGGATGTCGAGGAACGGCCCGCAAAGCGCAACCAAGATGGTGGGCTGTACGGGTAAGGTTCTATCTTAAGTAATTCTAGAAGTGTTAGTGGGTACGATCCGCCTACGATCAGCCTATGATCCGAACTTCCGAGCTAAGGTTTCCCGCTACTTTTAGCTAACCAGAGCTACCTATTAAAGCTAACTTTAGAAATACCTAAACCTTAGAAATATAGAAATAATCACCTACAACGTCATTCTTTACCTTACCTAGATATACTCTTACTTCATCACTACCTATCAGTAGTTACTTCTACATTTTAATATTTGCGTACTTTCACGCGCCATCACGTAGGTAGTGCGACTTACATGTAATAGTTAACATTTGAAAAATTTAAACATTTCTCTTAAGTACATCTACATATCTTCCTGGAAGGTACCTACCTCTTATCCATCCTATGGCTCAATCTTAATATCTTCGACATTGATCCCCTGATCTCCTGGTCTCTTGATCTTTTCTCTACTGTCTTATTTTCTCCCCATTATCTGGTCTTCTATGCTATGTTCCCAAAGACGCAATCGCAATAAGTTATCTCTATTAAACAAGTTATCTAACCATCAAATCCATCGTTACCTAACTTTCCAATCCCTTGAATTCACCATCACAAGTCTCTTACTTTTCATCTTCCAATCCAATTCGTGTAATCTTCTAGTCATCGCCCTTCGTAGCCAAACACTATCTATTGTCCACCCTTTATTGCCCACAGCTCTTCCACAATGGCAGTCGACGACGTCTCCTCCAGCGCTAAGGCTAGGGCCAACGAATTGCTCGCCTATGGCCAACATCATGTCGATCGAGTCGTGAGCCCGCCTACACGACAGAAGGCCTACGACTGGATTTACGATTTCTCAACCGAGAAGCCTATTCTATTCGTAAGCTTCATCTAGGAACCTACTAACTTATAAATGATGAAGTTGACCCCCTTCAGTCTTTCGTCGCCTTTCAATTCACCCTCTGCCTCGCTCCTCTGCTCCTCTTTGCAGGCTTTGCCGCGACAACTATCGCTGTCTCTTTGATCTCCGCCGTCCTGTTCTCGCTCTTTTGGATCGGTGTCGCCACGCTCTTTCTTGTGCCGACTCTCTGCCTTACCTTCACCATCGCTCTACTACTATGGGCATGGGCGGCCGCCACCTTCTTCGCTGGCCGCTGGGCCTACAATAGGCTACCGTTCAGCGTTGATGGGCATGGCAGAATAGTGGCACACGACAGCGGCGAGAAAAAGATTATATTCGATCGGAAGAACGATACTGGCGTTGACTTGGACATCAAGGCCGAGGTGGTCGAGGTCAAGGAATAGATTGCCGGCGAGGTTATATGGATGGCGATGGAGGTTGGCTGGTTTATGATACACCAGGGCACCATGGCACTGCTTAAACTCAAATTCTGGGTCTAGAATTGCATAGGCCGATTACACCTTGTATCAACAACGATTGATAAATCATTGTTATGTGCGTTTGCGTTGGCGTTTGGTTTTGGTACAGATACCCGTGGCAATATGAAAAGGAAACGGCTGGTGACTGGTCGAGGATTGTTGGGATGGACCTGTTTCTAACACACGTAACCATCGGTATTAAAATACAATATTATCGGTATACATTACGGCCTAACTGGGTCTTGTCGGCGAAAGTAGTTCACTTGTCTAGGATATCTCGATCGTGGCTCACAGCAATGCACCAAATACCACTTTATCATCGCAGTATTTTGCCACTTAGGTATCTTAAAAGTTGGAGGAATTATACATATTTTACGACGACGGAACCTTGACAACTCAACCAAGGCCAGTGAAGACGTAATCTATCAAGTCTAATGTTTATCTACACCCTTGACATAACCATTGGATATTTATTTCCCTTCCGAGAAGGACACAACAGCCCACTTACCACTCCACGCCCATTTCCTAGCACCGCTATCTCCACCGCCGCCCTCCGTAGTCCGGAGTTCTTCATCCTGTCCCGGTTTAAGCCCGACGACGACATCAGCTTTGCACGTTCGGAGAGCAAGTACGTTAACCCCCGAACCGGGACCGAGGGGTCCAATTGCTTTAGTAAACGGGGTTGATGGATCCCACGCGGCCTATTTTAAATCAGTATGCTTAAGTGGCTAATTAGCAAAGGGGCAGCTATGCTTACATCGCCAGTTAGCTTGCGGTAGTTCAAATCGCCCTTGAATATGACCACCTCGCTACTCTTCAAATCTTCGTATAGACTCTTCTCGACCGACGGTAGTCTCCAATAACTACCCGGGTAAGTCCAGAAGCGGTTTGGCCTAAGGATAAGCTGCCCTTCGGTGTACATTTGAGACCATTCCTGGAAGAGGAACCAAAGATCCGCAGCATCTTTATCGGAGAGGGCAGAGGGGGTTGTATCCTGCAGCTTATCGTCGTCGGATGGGGTTTCGTAGAATTGCTTGGGGTTAAACAGTGCATTGAGGAGAGCAGCAAAGTCTGCTGGCAAAACATCCGATACAAACCAGGGAATCGACTTTGGATGAAGGACAACGAGCGTAGCTAGTCCCGATGACAGCAGGAAGCCGGCGAGAATAAGATCGACGTATAATTCGAACCCAGCATTATCCAGCACAATGTCTACGCGGCGCTCTTTTTTTCCTTCGGACTTGGCCTTTTTCAGCACATCATACGTCGCACCTAGGTCATTGACGAGGATGTTCTTCTCGGAAGCCTTTCTGGCCTCGGAACCTTGCAGCTTCTGAATATCTTCATAGGTGAGACTAGTCAGGAGAGATAAATCCGTGGCATTTCCCCATAAACAGATCTCGCACATCTCAAAGAATAAAATCTTCTCGGCTTCGTCGTGCTCAGCGGTAGTCGAGTTCCTATCATGTTTTATCTGCGTTACCAAGTCCTTGTACCGAGCGGCAAGCTCGATAACAGCGGGTCGGGACGATCGGAAGGTCTTGATCTTCTGCCGGTAGAATACATCATAGGTCTTCCAGTGCTTAGAGAGACTGAAGGACGTGTTGAGACGTCTATATTTCTCGTTAGCATCATCTGTCACGAGTCTCGACGAGTAAAAATGTAATCATTATATGTTCTAGTACCTATAAAGATAGCATTCGGAGAATAGCCAAGGGATGTTGAACCAGCTAGGTGTTCCTAGCTGCTCCAACTCGCGATTGTATATAGCTACATCGGCGGCGCCGTCGTCTCTTATGGGTCTAGGTCGCGAGTTAACATGATTCCGTACTTGATAAATCGGTACGCTTACGCGCGGTTGGAACATACGTGAGCTGTCGATCGTGTTGGAGTTCGTATTTAAGACGCGCGAGCTCTTCTATGATTTTCTTGCCCTCGGTCTGCTTTTCGGGATCTTCACACTCTGATACCGAACGATATAAATCGTCAATGGCTTGAGTCTTAGCAGTTTGAGGTTAGTCGAGTATCACCGATAGTAAATATGTTCCTGTTGTTATAAACTGACTATTATAACAGGCCATCGATCTCGAGCGGATATGTAGGCGAAAGAGGACTTGTCGCTCGTTAGATATGGAGCTAGTGGAGGATTGAGAAGGTTAGCCTTGGAGTACTATAAAATGTAGGATTAGTATTCAATAGAAATGAATCAAGATTCTTACGGGTCTTTGTGTCAAGCTCCATTTTGATAGTTGAATAGTTTGGTATCTTGAGCGCGTCTCGGAAAATGTATTGAGCATTATGTCAATTATTTCAATTATGTCACTTATGTCACTTATAACGCGCAGCATATAAAGTTCATGGCGGGGCATTCTGGCGGGGTACTAAAATGGACTACTAAAATGAGGTACATACCATTACAAATGTACCTAAGTACCCCTGATCTTATGTAAATTAAAACGTTACTAAGATCCGACAATATGGTCCAGCTCTATTTATAGCCAACTGTTTTCCTACATATATTTCATAAGTACTTGCTCTATGTATAAGGCTGTAAAGTTCCATTCTAGTATACCAAATGAGGTGGTTTACAAATAATATTTCTAATAGTAAAGATATAACTAACTCGAAATCTAGATACTTTGTGTAACTACTTAGAATTCTAGCTTCTACCTTGATCTAATAGAACAATGTCTTCCACAAGCTTTAACCTTCTTCTTGTCCTGATACTATCTTATAAGTGTGAGGATATACACAAAGGTCAATGTAGAATAATCAAGATGCCCAGAATCTAAATAATATTAAACCAAGAAGTTAATAGGCGCGAAGATTTCTATAACCCTTCGATTCCATAGTTTTATAAGCACAGGACGTCCAGTTTACCATAATAGTTTACAAGTACACCATCTTTCCTCTTTAATGGGCAGGTCCCAATAGTTATTTACCTGTCCAATAAGAATAATCAGGTGACTCGAATTCGTAATGAGACAACTAATTAACAACTTTATCTTCCAGTTCTATTCTCACATGCCAAATGATGGACGCTCTAAATGGCTCACCAAGGAATCAACAAGGACGCCTCTCGGACTACCTATTATAGGACTAAGATCAAAACAAGTATTGGCTTCCCGTCTAGCATAGCCTTTTATACGAGGTCGATTTAATCCATGTCTACCTAAGTAATATACTTAAACCTGGCTATTTAACGCTGTATTTGTATCCTATGTTTATTATAATAGTTAACTCTCACAAAATAAAACGCTATATAACATATGAGCAATATAGAAGGTTGAGAAAACTATTTGATCACTAATAAGCATTATAATGAATAGGTAAACATCTCAATTACATCCCTTACCATTCGAAGGCATAATGCTCGCTCAAATTTCGGGAAGGACTCCCTCGCATAAATATCAAACCAAACAAACTTGTTGTCTACCAAATCGAATACCAATTATGACTAATGCCAAGGTAGGTACTAATACAGCAGAGGAAGAAAAGAGTGTAAGTGCTACTGTAAGATGTAAGACCAAGACCCATACGGCGTCGAAGCGACGTGGAGCGGCGGGTAGATAATGCTACGTAGTATACGAATCAGGGCACAGACCAGATGTTAACTATGATAGGTCACAGACGCCGCTTACTATCGCATGCAGCAAGGATTCTCCTACTAGCCTCACACAAAGACCACGGGAAGACCCCCACTCCATCATCTTATCAGATGATCTGATAAAATTTTGCAGTTCTCGATCGTCGGGGACAAACGAGAAGATTTCGGAAGGTGTCAAAATATCTCTTCGTCCGCCGGCTTTATTACTTTTTCAGGGGAAGCGTCTTCGACAAAGTTGTCGTTCGGATCCGTTCTTCGGCCGTCGGCCGCTGCCAATAGGGCAGGGCTAGTTGTAAAGCCTAACATCATATGTTAGTCTTCCAGCTGAGATCCAAGTAGGGATTCTAGATCCGAGCCAAGTAGGGATAAAATTATATGGTGTTACGACGTCTGTACATATAATCATAGTTTGTATTAATCACTACTTAATAAATGTTAGTGACCAGCCTTCCCCTCTCGATTTAATTCCTCTTCTCCTTGCGTTTGCGATTGGGATAGGAAAATAGGATAGATACGCACGATTTACAACGGCCCGGCTTACAATGTCGACCATCTCTCCTACCGAGGCGCATGCCTCTACCGGTCGCGATATCGAGAAAGACCTTTTCCCCGTCCAACCTGCGACTGAGGTACCCGAAGGCTCCAAGACCGAGTCAGACGACGATTCAACGCACGTACAAGATGGTGTCAAACGGGTTGAAGCTATCACTACTGTCTGGTCGAATAAATCCTTATGGTCTACTTTCGCTCTGTAAGCTACCTACCTATGAACTTTTACATAAAACCCGTATAGTCGACCTCTAATAATTGTAGCCTTTGGCTCGTATCCTTCGTGTCCGCGCTGCTCTCGTCTATCGATAGCTCCTTAACTCCATATGTCACGTCCTCCTTCTCTAGGCACGGCCTATTAGCTGTCATCAATATCGCCGCCAGAGTAATCGGTGGCGTTGTCACACTTAGTCTCGGCAAACTTATCGATATTAGGGGGCGTATGGAAGGGTTTGTTGGGTCATTACTTTTGATCACCGTCGGCATGATCATGAAGGCAACCTGCCAGAATGTTGAGACGTATGCCGCAGCCCAGGTTTTCGCCTGGGTCGGCAGCGTAGCTCTTGGTTTTGTTATCGATGTCTTCGTAGCCGATATTACTACGCTGAAGAACCGTATGTTTATCTTCGCGCTCAACTCGACTCCTAACCTTGCGACCACTTTTGCTGGCCCTCGGATCGCCGAGCTATTCTACACGGAAGTCAACTTCAGGTGGGCATTTGGTGCCTTCACCATTATCTTACTCGTGGTATCTCTACCAGTGGTTGCTATCCTTTTCTATCACGAACGGAAAGCAAAGAAGTTAGGCCTGCTGCGTCCGAAATCAGGTCGCACAACGATACAGTCTATTCTACATTATATCATCGAGTTTGATGGTAAGTCAAATATGGATTTAGCAAGGAATATTTTCACTACTAACTAGCTGTGTCTTTATCTAGCTATGGGCGCGATTCTAGTTTCGGCGGGATTCACACTCATCCTCCTCCCATTCAGTCTTGTGAGCTCGGCTTCACACTCGTGGCAGAGTGCAAGCGTAATTGTCATGATTGTGATGGGAGTGGTCAGTCTTGCTGTATTCGCGATTTGGGAGAGATTTTTCGCTCGTGTCAAGTTCTTCCCTTTCGAATTTTTAAAGGACAGAACCTTCTTAGGCGCTGTAATGTCGTATTTCATGGTTTTTTTGACTACGTTGTTAGTTTCCTCTTCATTCTTACCCGATCGACTTGATGCTAACGCTTAGTACAGCATATGGGATGCTTATTACAGCTCTTACCTCCAGGTTGTCCAAGGCCTCAGTATCAGCATCTCGAATTACGTGCTCAATGCTTACTCTCTTACTTCGTACTTCGCCGGCCCATTCGTCGCCTTGTAAGAGCATCAGAGCCCCTATTTGTCAAGAAACTTGCTGATTCTATTATCTTTAGATATATTCGCTACACCGGTCACGTCAAATATCCTGCTCTAGTCGCTATACCCATCTATTTATTAGGTACCGCTCTGATCATATATTTCAGAGTTCCTGGCGCTCAGGTCGGCTATCTCGCCATGTGCCAAGTACTTGTCGGCTTCGGCGCGGGCGTAATTAATCAGATGTCTCAGCTTATTACCATGGCATCCGTAAGGCACCAAGACGTTGCCGTTGCGCTTGCTATTTACGGTCTATTTGGCTCTGTCGGCTCTTCTGTTGGTTACGCCGTTGCGGGCGGCCTTTGGACGAATATTCTTCCAGTCAAGTTATACGAATTCCTCCCCGAAGATAGCAAAAATATGACTGCTGCGATTTACGGAGATATAACTAAGCAAATGGAGTATCCAATCGGCACACCAATTCGAGACGCCGTCATTGAAGCATATGGCGATGTAATGAGGAAGATGGTTATCGTCGGCTCTGCACTTATTCCTCTGACAATTATCTTTGTCGTTATTTGGAGGAATATTAACGTTAAGAAGCTTGAGACAGTCGAGAAGCGATCCAGGGGAAATGTGTTCTAAGGCTTGAATCTCTAGACGTGATATCATGGACTAATTTTTACAAGTCGTTGCTACACGCGCGAAGCTTATTTTCGGCATTATATAATTAACATGTCGTCTTGGGATGCAAAGATTAGGTAGAGACATAGACCCCTTACCATACACATATTTAATTCCCCCAATTCTATCTAAAATCCGGCGCCAGCACAAGAACGGGCGGGTAGTTAAAGTATAGCATCTAGCATGACTAAATCTATAACATGATCATAGAAGACCCCTACGCAAACTTATAATTTACCAGTTATGAGACTGATATTTGTTCTCCGCGTATAACTAGAAAAAAGAAGGATTCACGACTGAGAAAATCCATCCGAAATATCGCCGGGTCCGTGACTTAATTAGGCCATAAGTTTCTTCATTACATTATTTTATTATATCATTCCATTAGGGATACGCGGTCGTAACGTGGCTCGCGGCTTCAAGCATTGTAGGTATGATAGAACTCAATATAAAATGTAATATCTATCATACATGGCGTTTCCAGGGCATGTTAGTGGTAGATAACAATGTGTAACTATTACATGATCACGGCGAGATACTGTCATGTTTCACGTCAATGTGTTCACTTGAATATAGCTTAAGTTGGTCGCAAGGGGCCACTATATCAATTGTCTTTAGGTTATAGCAACACATACAATTCGGAATACGGAATACTCGGTGGCTACAAAGATGGTATCACTAGTCATTTATGACTCAGCTGGTGAAGCAAGACAGGAAGTATTACATAAATAACTACTTTCCTATTTTCTTGGATCTTATGAGATGAGTCTCCATCTCAGTAAGTCTACCTACCCAAGGTACGTTCATTTAAATTCTTTATTCCCTAAGATTAAATATATTATTCGAACTATCCAAAGCTTGTTCTTCGCAGTATTGTCGCTAATTTATTTATATAATATTCTATAATATCTTCGAAAGTCCAATCAGCTCGAGGTCGCAGACATGGTAGCTGATATCTGAAGAAATTTATTTTTATCTTTATTTCATAGACGCTTCCGGATCACGATCTATGAATGTCTTAAGCTTGTCTCGGGCTTCATGTCTATAATAGCAGTGGCTCCTTATTAAATGGGTTCCCATGAGAAACTACCCCGTGTGTATATATGTGGCGGCCAGAAACAATATGTTGGACAGTAGTTAGCAGTTATTCAGATAGCATGCGTGTTTTGGGGAATGTATCATGTGAATATCATCGTATGGGATGATATTGGCCTTGGCTACTATAAGGGAAGTCTGGGAGTTTCCTCGTTTGAGGTCGAAATGGGTACACGAACAATTCAGCTTTTGAGAGGAATCCAACCGACAAGAAGCCAGTTTAGGTACCGAGATATCAATCTCAAGCCGTAAAATCCTATAAAACCTCCTCGATGGCCATGATGATGTTCTAGCTACTCAAATCCTCCAATCCAGTTACCATATTCTTCCTATCCCTCATCTTTAAGAAATCTACGCAGGGTTAGCCGTCGAGGCAAGCCACCGCCTTTGTGTATCACAAAGCTTCCCGTTAATCCATATCATGATCTTATAATTCCTAGCATCTTATTTCGACGCTAAGAGCCTCAAAGACTGGCCTAGAGCGTCCAAGTATCTAAACCGCATTTTCGTGCCATGCAATAGTCTAAATCGCCAAAGGACCAAGAATTGGTCCTAGAGGGAGCCTTTTGTTTACCTGGTCCATACTCATGATCTAAGATATCTGTACGCTAATCTGAACTGAGATTGACGTTAAGCACTCCAAGAAGCAAATATGTGTACTTATCATTACCTCCATTATCACCATTTGGCCCCATGCACCCGGGACATCGAGTACGCAGTGCATTACTCTTTCTGTCAAAATTCGACACCTGTTACCTTGGATTTGAGTTCCCCAAGTCCTGTTGGGACCAGCAATGTCGAAAATGGCGAGCAGTGGATTCAACAGCCATGCGAGGCGCTTACTTACGCCCCGGAGTACAACTTCATTGAGGGCTCAGACTACAACAACCCTTGCGTTACTGGGGGTTGCCTCATCTCGCAAAAATGCAGTACTGGAAGCTGCAGGCTGGAGGACGTTGGTGGGTGTTGGATTTGCTGCCAGTGTAATCGGGGAGGGAATACCCTTAGGTGGTGCATACGGCCAATGAAGAAGATCCCTGATGCTCTTTGCTATCATTCCATATGTCAAAACTGTCGTCCGGATCATGGATAGAAGGTATTCGTGAAAAATGGAAGTTTGATGACTCGGATAAAGAGCTTGTCGTTTTTGCTTGATATAACCCTCTTGCGGCATCCTCTCCATCACTTACAAGATTTCTTTGAGTCTTTCTCCCCTTCTTATCGAAAGGTTGGGATAGAAAAGCTAAGATTAACCTCCTTATTGCTAAGGGTTAGGAGAGTGAGACCCGTGTCGAATTTAGGAAGTCATGCTAGATTATATTGGTTGCATTATTGGGTTCTCATTACGAGATCGGCGACTTCGCCACGTGGTAGCTCGATCTTATGTATGACAGCTTTTGATAGTTGCGCTCGCCTTGTAGAGCACCTTGAAGAATAATTTTGCTTTTCTAGAAGTAATCTGTCTTTCCACACAAATGTGGCTTCCCGAGCGATCGTACATCATCTTGCGTGTACCCCAAGCGCCCCTGGATATTGGTACCGCGCGGATGGTTGCTTCGCCCAGGTCTCTGGATCGTCCGCCGCGTGGACCAGAGTGTCGGGACGTGATTCGACTACAGTAGGCGAGCACACAACGCTATGAGCAATGATCGTAATTTACACGTGGGTTTTAGTTCAATAATTCCAGATTCATAGAATAGATGGGTACGCTAGATTTGGTCGCCGACGTCAGCAAATAAACTTTGACCGGTCTACAAGTATATTCTGAGAAGCAGATACAAGGAGAGTTGGGCACGTTCCATTGTACACTACGCAAAAACTAAGACGAAGCACAGGTAGTCCCAGAAGATAAGAACCACGCATGTGCCAGCCGTCCAAGTACCAACAAGACTCGACGTAAACAATATGACCTAGTTCTATTCCATTCTCCCCTTTCCGTCCAGTATCCGAAGATTCCCTCCAAGAAACCGCATAATCATATCATGTGTACCGAAACAGCCTATACGCTCCGGTGCGAGCACGTCGTTACCCGAACCCTCTACTGCTCGGATGCTCCCCCTCCATCTCGACAGTCACGAAAGGAACGGAGGACCTGTAATAGGGTCATTCGAAATGCCGTGCCTTGGCCACCCCCACCGCAGTTTGGGACACAGGCCACATGTCCCTTGACAAACTGTCCCTTCGAGGAACGAGGAGGTTATTGGAACTGTTGCTGGTGTGGCAAAGAGTGGAATGACCAAGGCAAGTCGATACCATAATTCTAATCAAGAATCAAGGCTTTCAGCGATTTCTAACGTTGCCTTAGGTCGCTGTAGTTGCGTGATGATCATTGATAGACAGGAGTATCGCTGTGGGCATATTTGCTGTGAAACATGCGAAGCGGCTACTGAGGCTTAGTAGGGGAGGAGGGTTACCGCAATAAAACAAAGCTGTGTATTAGCGAATCTGGGAAGGAAAAGTTCACTGTTTGGGAACCAGGCCTCGATATTCAACTCTACGAATAGGGGGAGGCCACCTTTGCAAAAAAAAAAAAAAAGATGACTTCAATTCGTGGATTAGTTCCGGCATATCTTCATTGAAGCTGTGTAAGATACGATGATTAAATGTGGCGGACCTGAATGAAATATTAATACTTTGTTACGGGAGCCACAGAGAACAGAATAGGAAGGTAATTTAAAAGCAATATCATCGCACTCCAAGAGCTGTACAAGAAAGAAAAGAAAAAAGAAAGGGGAACCTGAGCGTTAGAATATGACGGACATATTGTTCATAGCCCACGATGACCTTAAGTACCCCCAGCGGGTTTAATAAAAGTAAAAAATATCAACCTAGAAGGGAGTTGAAAGTTGAAGAGAAGGTCTATTTAGGAAGTAATAGATGCGGAAGATTGCCAGTCAGCAAGCGAAAAAAGCAATGATCCTCGGCCAACCTAATCCGGCTCCCTGGTTGCTGGTCGATCTCAGAACCGTACATGACGCCACAGTAACCAGAACACCTTCCGGGTCTCAGTCGTGAAAAGCAATTAGCTGGGTCGCCCAGATCGTGTGAGATCTATATCCACTCAGGCCCACCCGCTCGGCAATATACGGTGTCGTACATGATGCACATGTGTGTCAAGTAACCAATAGTGAGCCCGGCTAAGGGGGAGGAAGAATAAGCATAGATGGGCTGACCTAGTAGGAGCGCGAATATCGCGATTGGACTGTAGGCTGCTGCTGGCGGCGTCATAGTCGCACTAATTCACACTGCTACCCGAGACAAAGATCTGTACCTCGCCCAGGTCGCTGCCATCGCTCCTGGATCAAGGGAACACGCTCGCCAATACGAAGGAGAGAGCTGCTGATCCTTACCCTCGGAAATCTTTTTCACTCGACGTGTTGCAGAGTTGGGGCGTCTTTCTTGTGACGCACCAGATAGGGGGGGATGTGTGTCTTCCTCATTATCGACACAAGGATGATCGAGGCTGGAACTTGTGCGTGGGAAGGAAAAAGACCCAACAGGCTACCAGTACTCACGTCGCTCCCGGAGAAATACATAGGTTCCTAGGTTCCTACGAGCACAGGTAAGCATATATAAGAGGTTGAAGATGTCCGGGACTTGGGTTGAGATCGACCAATTCGTCCTCTTCGGCAAAACACTAGCCTCGTAGTCGTGTGCCGTTATATTTTCTAAGTATTCGCACCAAAAACCGGCGAAAATGTGCCACGGACACCCTCACTATCATCCCTGCTCTCACACATCGGTCAAATGGCTGTACTGTCCGGAAGCCATGTTCGATCTGGACACGGGATATGAGACACCCTGCTCGAACCCGATCTACTCAACACCGCAGCCAACCAACGTCGATTGTCCCCTGCAGAACTGCAACTTTAAGGCCCTAATGGGGAGCTGGATTTGTTGCGTCTGCGGAAAAGGTCCTAATACTCAGGGGTGGTGCACCTCATTAGGCCGGAGGACGGACTGGAATCCCCTAACAAGAAAGGTTGAGGAGATGGAAATGCCTTGTGGGCATGGTTGCTGCAGCTCATGCAGCCCATCCTGTGAGGGTATGAACTACACTGCTGTGCATATGGGAATAGATCCTCCTGACTATTCATAGCGACGTCGCGAGGCGTAAGTCCAGAAATATCGTTCGCAGAAGTTCGAAAAGGGAAGAGCAGCCGCAAGGCTCATCATACCGCGCGAGGCTCCGTACACAAGCGAGGAACGGCGTACGACTTCAGCCACAACAACGTTAGTCGTCCTGTCATGTCAGATGAAAGCGAACCAGTCACTTCGTCGACAACTTCAACAAACTCTCGAGGATCCCGTCGACTAAGCCACGACACGAGCGCCGAATATTCGAAGAAGCCAAAATTAACGAACGGGAAGAAGAAATCACACAACAAGGGCCGCATCCATCATTGAACTGTATACGCGAATCTATACCAATGAGGAAAGAAAAGGACCATAGTCTCTACTGGCTTTTGGGTTGACAGTAGGCCACACTCACTCGGTATAACAGTCAGTTACGGATGGAAACGTTGTTAAAAGATAGTACACTCATATAGGGCTGTGTCATATCCATAGCATACATGCGGAGAGAAGGGGATATCTGTGAAACGTACCCTATACATTACTTCATCCTACTAGCATGCTTGACAGGTTGATATCTTGCCGCTCTCGGACCTTAGCAAGAGTCGTACTAGATATACGATTAGTCATTCTTGGTATAATGATGGTGCTTAAACTTGTCGCCTTAGCGATCCCAAAAATGTATTATGTTTTTTCGCTGCCCTCGCCGCTTGGAGTGTGTCTCGTCCGTAGAGATGTCATTAGCATATGTGGTCAGCTTCTTCTCAGCATTATCCTGTTGCGTGTGAGATAGGATTACCACTAAACTACCCTCGATCCTCGCTAATTTGAACCAGGTATGGCCAAAGGAACCCGTGACAGTTTCAACATGAGCACTACTTTCGTTTAATATCCACCAGCTGAGACAATAATTCGTCTTTGATAAAGGAGAGTCCTTATTCGCTCCAAGTAGCGGGTCGCTACTGACTGTAACCAGCTTACCGGTAGCAGAGTGAGACCAGATGAAACTGGGGCTGCTGCCAGCTACTCGGGTCTATTATGAAGTGTGAAAACTTGTTGATTTCTGTAACGTAGAGGCAAATGTCCGCCAGATGAGAAAGTAAGCTGTGTAGAACACAATATCTAGCAACGGACATGAAGTTACATTGCCTGCACGAATATTGCGTCTTACCTTAAACAGGTACCTAGAGATAGATGCTCAGCAAATAGGATACGTTTGGCAGCGGTTCAATTAAGAATTACAGCTTCGCTCCAAGTCTCAGCCGCCGGTTAGGGGCTTAATAGGTATAAATAACCGAAAAATATATCTGGTTCGGGTCTCACGGCAAAGCTAACTACTTTACAAATAACCTCAATCTTTAATCTTTAATATATTAGTTACGGACGTTAGTTAACAGACATGGCGGGTCGAGGCATTATCAGAAGCGGGTGAGTGTAAAGGGCGAGTGTAAAGAGTGGCTGTCAGGCTGTCCTACAAGTAGGTAAATGTGAAATGAAATATGATTGCATACCTCATCTCCTATTGCGCGATGTGTATAAAATACCCTTGCCATCCGGAAGCTACCCCAGGGTTACATTCAGCTTACCTTACCGCCACGTGCGCAACATGCAGGTCTGACGAAAGCTGTGAGATAGGCTGGATCAGACAGGGATCCCTTGGCCGTATGTTTTGCAATTAGCAACGATCCAAACTTTTGATAGCGAAAAATGGCTATTCCTTAAGCCTGGTTGGCGGGTTGACGAAGTGATAACTCTCCCTGCATGTGTCTGCAAGTGTGATACATTACATATTCAGTATCATTTTCGTTTATGAGAACGCAAGTCGCATATCATGACCTATCCCGCGATAGGGCCCCCTCAATTAGGATTGGGTTAGAGCCCTACTACCCCTCGAATTGTCTTCGGCTAGAGTCTAGGTCGATGGAGAGTCCTTCATTACCTATTACCTAGGTTAGGTAGAGAAACGGGGATTCCTTGGCAGATCGACATGATGATCAATTGGGCCACGTGCTGGTCTCCATGGAACTCCTCGTCAACAAAAAGATAACGAGGGGGGAAGAACCTTGTAGACACACGTTGCCAAGCAAAATACGTCCGGGCGTTAAGGCTATGTAGATAAATCTGCCTTGGCTGCTTGGGCCGTTTAGTACGAATAATCCTAGGTTAGTAGACTTGCTATTAGGTATGCTAGTATACATAAGTAAATACCTACCTAACTATATTAAATATCTACACTAGGTATGTATAAAATGACTCAGGGCGATAGTTAATATTTTTGGGTATAAGTAATGAGTACCTATTTACTTTAAGGTAGACATGCTTTCACGCGTGTAGCAGTAACTGCAGGATCTAATAGCGCAATCGTCATGTTGCATGATCAACAGAATCCGAGCTCAAGAGAGACTTTAAGCGGAGTCAACCAGGTACCATTTTATCTGAACTTCCATTCCTGTACAGGAATCCGCGGGGGTATTGTGGCAAGAATACATATATTATGAGGTAGTAGTTTATATGCATGTAGAAAAGAACGGCACGCGAGGCCATGACATTGTTGAAACAAGACAAGAGAGCGGCTAAGGCTCCTGAAAAAATCTACTTTACTACCTTACCTACCTACTCTTAAGTATTTCTTCATAACATACATATGTATCAGGTAGATAGCCCAGTCATAAATCGGTGAGCCTCCCTGGCTGTCTGGTAGCTGACTGCATGCTGCATACATGTGGCCGAGCGGCGGGCTCAGAGCCATGTGGCCGCCGTTACTCCTAGCGGGATGGGATGGGCTGGAAGACGATACATAACTCCAACTTCCAACTGCTTTCAAATCTTACATACCTACATTATATTTGACAAACTACATAGTTAATTCAAATAGTTATAACAGATAGTATAGGAAGTAGGTAGTAAATAATAAAATTAATCAATGCAATACGTCCATGTCTACGTCAACTAATATGTATTAAATCTTTACAAGTTAGTATTATGATGCAAGGTGTTACAACTGTTATTATTATTATTATGATATAATACCGCTCTGATCGCTTTATGATGATCTATCAGCTTGCCTCGCAGGGTTCCTTAGGCTGGACAATAACCTTGCAGCCTTTGCATTGTATGTACAATTTACTACCTTACCGCTAACATGGCACTTACATAGTAGCATTCCCACAGCTCCTACGAGTAATCTGCATTTTAACCACTTACACAGGTACCTAACCTAACACACTCCCTTCCCCCCTTTTTTTGTGTGTGTTTGTATGTATGTGTGTCTAGATTCTGTCATTTTTTTTCTCTTTTCTTACTGCTTAGCAACCCCTATTCTTTTTTTTTCTTGTTTTTATTTTTGTTCGTAACTAGATTTAAATTCTATCGTGTGATATTTACATAGTCCCATACCAATCTATTTTTTTTTCCCTCTTACCACAATCTACTCAATTGAGAGGTATTAGATCCATTCATATCGATTCAATCCCGTCTTCATCCGTTCCATCCCTGCATAGCGCGGTTTCGAACTTCGAATCCACCACACCATTACTACCATTAACTACCATTACTACTTCGTACTTACGACTTTATCACTCCTACTATTCTGCCACTACTTCTAAAAACCAACGCCGCTTTTCAAGTCAGCATTTACAGTTAAATCTGTCATAAAACCCTGCCTATCATAACCTACCTACACACCACAAAGAGAATTCGATATTTAGTATATACATACCTAAGTAGACCTCGAAGAAACAATGCCTACTTCTTTAGATTCATCGCGCCCTATCATGGCGCCTTCTACTGTACGTAATAAAATCCTTTTTTTATTTTTATTATCTCATTCTAATCTTACCTGGCTCGTGTTTCGCCAGCCTGATCTATTAACATACGTAGTTTGATCATCGGTCTTGCGCATTTATTGTTTTGTAGCATAAAAACAAAAACAAGATACAAAACAATGAGAGACATGAAGAGCTGACACGTGCCATTCAAAATACAGGTCGGCTCTCCCCGCGCATCAGTGCGCTATAGCACATATAGCACAGCTCCGTCATTGACGGCAACGGTACGAACGACTGATTCGGCGCATGCTGAGATTCGAGAAATCGAGACCGGGCTCGCGCGCATGGAGAATAGGGCTCTTTCAAGTCAGCGCGTCGTCTTGTCCGAAGAGAAGTCGGCCAACCTTAACAAGCTCGCCCTCGGTGCTAAGCTCGACCGTGCGCTCGAGCGTCGTATGACTAGTCAAGATGCCGTCATGAGGCCAAGGAACCGAAGCGTCCGTGAGAAGGATCCGGAAAAGCAACATTAAAGTCTACTTATAAATCGAGAAGGAATCAAAACAACCCGAAACGAGAAACAAGTAATTCAAGGACATTGGAGGATGATACCAGGCGAGCGACAGCTATAGGCTCCAAAGCATTTCCTGTTATTTTTTTTATGTTGTCATCGTTTTATCTCATTGTTAGTCGGTCTCAAGGATGAATTCGAGAGGCCGATATATCATTTCTATTCAGGTCTTTACCTACGGGCCAGGACACGCAGGCTGATCCAGCGTCTGGTCTAAGAGGGATGGAGTTTGCGACAGGATCACATCCTTTCACAAATCCAAGTCAGCCTACTAGTTGTCTATGACGGATACGATAGACGAGGCGTATCTGGGGGTGGGGGGTTCGGTTGGAGCTTGATATTAAAAGGTAATATCAGAAGTCCCGGGGATCATCTTCCTAGGTTGCAGCCATCACTAGATGGTTAGGAAGCATGCAAAGGAGTAGATTGTGTAAGAGGCTAGAAAGGGAGATACAAGCTAGAGATTGGCATATTTTATCCACCATATTTCAGCAGGCAATCCACTTGCATGCCAAATTTACCCTTTCTCCGACCTCTCGTGTGATTCAGTCCTTCAGGTATCAGCAAGGTTTAACCAGGTCCAAGTCAATAAGGGACGATATAACAAAGTCTGAAAAAGTGATATATACATAGCCTACCAACCAACTCCTAGACTCCTTTAGAGTGAAAACCTGATGCATAGAAACATGACCCAATCTTCATGAATAGGTCGAAACATAAAACTTGAAAAAGCAACGCCAGTGTACGTTTTAAGAAGAATTACTCTTCTCTCCCAGTTTTACGTTAATGTCTTTTAATAAGGCGACCAACTCGCCCTCATCGCCTTCCATCTCTAAACCCTTACTAACCCATTCCTTGGCCTCGATCAGCCGTCCCATCTCCACCAGACACTTGCCCCTCCTCCACCAGGCCTTCGAGTTACCAACGCGCTTGGCCTCAACGCTGGCCTCGGCATCGGAGGCGCCCTCGGCCCAGTTCTGCAGGCCCATATGAGCTTGGGCGCGGTTGGCGTAGAGGGCAGCGACCTCCTCGCGCACCAGCTGCTGGGGTTCCCACAGCGGCCGCGTCAGGGCCATCTGCAAGCCCAAGGTATAGAATTTAACTGCATCGGCGTGCTTTCCCTTGCGGTATTCGGTGTTACCGCTATCCCGTAATTTACTAACGTTGGCCGACCGCTTCGGGTTCACGGGGAGTGGCGGGGGCGGGACCTGGTTCGGGGTATCGAGCGCGAGGAGAGAGCGGTGCAATGCGTTTAGCGAAGCAAGCTCGGATTGTAGAGCCCGTGAGCCGGACGTTGCTGTTAACGCCTTGGTCTGAGGGTCGATCTGCAAGGGCAGCATGGTGAAAGTTTCGAGCTCTGAAGACATGTTGGCGGTGCGAGTTTCGGATTACCAATAAAGAATCGAGGTTGGAGTAGTTATTCGGTGCAAAGTAGGAAATGTAATAGTATATAAATTGTAGAACTCTTAAACTCGGATCGCAGATGACGGAAGTGGGAGCGGCAAGAGAGTTGCTAAAAGGTGGCAGCGGTTGGTTGGGTAGAGACAATGATAAATTGGCGATATTCTTAAAATGCGATCTGGCGACTTTTACAATTGCGTTGCACCTCAGGTCCACCTGGTATGCGTGACAGATGTATTGATAGGAGGCCACCTGGCAAGATAAGAGCCCTAGCTTAGCTACAGCCTACAGGTACCTTAGGTAAGTTACCTGTAAGTTACCTGTAAGCTGTGGCTACCGTGGCTTGGTAGCTCTTAGGTACCTAGCTACATGTACCTAACTCTTACATACAAACCGCAGACCGCATTTTAATTGAAAGCTACACCTTTTCTTCTACATTTTTCTTCTTAAACACGTTAAACTTGATATATCTCCTAGTCGTGAGAGAATGTTCGAACTTATTCAAGGCATGTAGTCAATATAGTATACATGATTCATGAAAATCTTAGTTGCTAAGTTTATGCCGAAGTATGCTAGTAGCAACTATCGTCACCTTTATCCCCCTTAGCTTCAAGAGCGCATCAATACAATACCCAAGATCCATGATATATATAAGTGTAGGTGCATTCCTTCTTATTTCTACCGGCTAAACGTCTTACGTGGATGCCAGTTCTCTTCAAACATCTGCGACACAAAGTAAAGGTCGTGCTCCCATTCCAAGTTCTGCTCTACTACTGTATATTATTCGTCAGTCAGCACGAAGGTGTAGTAGGTTAGGTACCTGAATCACTGGGAGGCTAAGATGCTCACCTTCTCTATAGGCCTCGTGCGTTTCGATTAGTAACTTCGCCTCCTCGAACTTCAAAGTTCCCCAGACCGCGTTCTTCCTGTCCTCGGATTCTATTTCCTTCATCAATGTATTGACATCTCGTTTATAATAATGCCAGTGGCTAAGGATATTATTTGCTCCCTCTTGGAGCTCTTCCATAAACGTCGCCAGATCGTATCGGTGTTCCTATACATCGGATTAGTCAAGCTAGTAATTAGCTGGTATCGCTTTTCAGCACTCACAGTATAGTTATTGTCCTTAGCCCGGCGTAGCCTATCGGCAGAGGTGAACGAAACTTCGTGGAGAAGCATGAATACGATCAGATAAACAAAGTAAAAGTGGTGCGGATTCTTGCCCGCCATTACCTTCCATAAGCCCTCGAGTACAAGCTTTCTTAATTGTACAAGCACCCGGTGTCCGAGGGAGTCGAACTGCGCCGGAATCATCCGCGGTATTGGTATCGTCCCACGGTACGGACATTCGGGGTCATCTATTGCCTTCATATCCAACATTTCTTCTCCCACGATGAACGCCGATCTTAGAGTATTTCCTGCTCATACAAGTCAGCCATCCCATCAGGCGCAGAGAGACCATTCACGAGCTACTAACTAGTTGCGAACCATAAGTAAAAATATTGTTCGAGTAGAACTCCATTCTTCAACTCTTCTGATACCGAATTAACCGAGGTATTCTAAGAGTAGCTCCTTAGTAGAATGTTACGCGACTCGGGTATATAATCTCACTTTACACCTCTGGGCGTATTCTAGCCTGTAGAGACATTGTAAGATTTTTTTTTCTATTTGACGGGGTTCATGACAATGGAAAGTGAAATCGTCCAGACACTGAGGAATCGTTTACTTACGCCGCCCGGTAAGTCCTTCGTACCAAACTATCGACCTGGCGATCTTGAGAGTATTCTCGTACGGCCGGGTGTGCATAATCATATATGTATTCCTCGTATTTTTTAGCAGTTTCCCAGATGCTTGCGAGGGCATAAGGTTCGATATCGATTTTTTGTTTGTTCCCCTTCTGATCAACCCAGTATTTACACGTTACATCCCCTTCGATAGGCGTGAACTTTTTGACCTTCAACACCATCGGGCGGCTGCTTCCCATGATCATATGAATCGTGCGGACGTCGCTGCTGTTAACCCAGTCTCGCGGTCCAAGATCTTTCATCTTGGTCCCATCCCATCGTTTCGTTAAATGAAGACCACCCGCGCGGAAAAGGGCCACTTCGGCAAGCTTCCATCGCAGACACGGAAGCCTATGGATTACTTTCTTCGAATCCAATTTAATGTTACGACAGGTCAAGCAATCAACCCCTCGCGGGTCTTTCGGATCTGCCTTGCACTTGGATAGGTGTGAGTAAATAATGCCTCGCAGCATCACACACGCTTAATGGTTGGACCACCTACTTTTATTTTCTGCATACGACATCGAATGCAGGCCCGTAAACACGTCAGCTAATGGCAAGACGCTACCATGGTACGGTGTGTAAGAAAGGGGTGGTTTAAGAAAAAGAATCTACCTTTAACTTTCGGGTGCTTCCCGTCTCCTTACGATTCTGATCACTCAGGTGTGACCGGGAACGCCTCTCGGGGTGAGACAATGGGCTGTTTCCATCAATGGCAGCCTCGTCTCCAATGTCATCCTCCCAAAATTCATCCTCTTTTTCCTCTGGTATGGGAGTGCTTTTACCTGAGAGGTTGGAAACCTGTGCGGAGCCGTCATGATGGTTATCACTTTTCTTCACCGATGGCCCCAAATCTACCCACCCTTCATCTATAGGCTCGATCAGACTCTTTTCATCACCATCACGCCCCTCCAGGAGTAAGGGGCTAGGCCCAGGTAGCCGTCGCTCCGGAAGAGAGGTGCCACCATCAAGACGGGGTCGATATTCGACGAGCATCTCTGGCGTCTTCACCGGGTTCCAAGGGGGGAGGAAAGAATAGACAGGATAGTTGGACGTCGGTAAACCCGAGTAATCTGTCAAATAACCTCCCTGAAGATTGTAGTACGATGTAGGTTCTTGTTTAGGTAGATAAGGAAGTGATGGGGAGGATACTGAGGGCAGACTGCTGCTACTTGAAGTCAACTGAGCAAAATTGTTGTCAGACCAGTCATACCGTTCCGGACCTTGCTCCTGAGTGAGGGTAGTAGGGGACAGGTTGAAGTGATCTCTCGTTGCATTTGATACGATGGGTTCTACACCGTAATTAAGAGGCCCCGACGGAATAGAAGAATAGCCCCAGTTAGTATTAGAAGGGTAGTGGCCAGGATCGTCTGATGTTGCGGTGACGGCGGCGGCAACTGAAGTCACAAAATCGGCAGCTGTTTTTCGTCTCTTGGGTGACGGTTTAGTCAGCGAGGAAGGTGACGACTTGGGCCCATATTGCTTAGAGCTATTGGATTTCGTGATCTGTAAGGAAGGGGGAGGAGGACTGGGGTTATAGTTGGTTGAGGAAAGGGAGGATGTGATCCGGGACCGTTTCCCAGGTCTCCATGACGTCTGATCAATTGGCGTAACCCCGGTAGAGGTCGAATGGTGGACTGAGGAGGAGTTTACAAGTGTGGGAACAGGTTGAACCACGGAAACAGTAGTTCCATCCATCATGGGCTTCTCTCTATATCTCTCTATCTAAGTGATCTGATCTCATTTCTTAGCTAACAACGTCAATGATCCTAACGCTAGGGTGTGTGCATGTGTGCGCCGCGTATGAGCGTATGAGCGTGTGAGCGTGTGCGCGTATCAAAAACTGCCGGTTACTCAAAGATTCGCTGTATTGCCTGTACGTCACATTCACCGTCGTCGGCCGGTGAAGAATAGCAAAGTGGCGCAGGGGGGGGGGGGGGGGGGGGGGGGTGATAATCGTTGTTCTCAATTATTTCTAAATTCGAGACCGGCGAAATTTACTGTGTAGCAAAGAACCATGAGTGGATAACTGCTGGTCTCGTAATACGCAATATAGGGTACCCGGTCAGCTTGGTTCTCGTGGCAGGACAGGATGGATGCAGCACGCAGCACGCAGCACGACGGGGTTATCTTAAAACCAGGAGTTTCTCACCGGATGAAAAAGAAAAAAAAGAAAAAAAAAAAGACTAAAGAGAAAAAAGATGTCTACTTTTGGACGATCATCAAACCGGAAAGTTATGCAAAGCTCTCCCCGCGATGGTCTTCTAAAAGTTGTGTTATGGTGATCTGTGGCAAGACGTTGTAGAGAAGTAAGCTTACGCATTTTCCTGTACGTTTATGGTATACACAAGACGCCCGACCAGAGAGCCGACCCCTCAATGGTCATTGGAGCGGTCTGATTGTAGAGACTAACAAATTATTCGCAACACACCGAGGCCAACAAGATAAAAGCAAAATAAAAAAGTCAAGCCACTATTTAATGCCACTTACTACTACATATATGCAAGACTTTCAAATCAATAGAAAAAATAAAATAAAATTTATTAAAATTTTAAGGCACTCCATCCTCTCATTCCTGAACTGTCTATTTATTATTAATAATATCATTATCATTATCATAATAATCATCATATACGTTCATAATAACCTCTATGCGTGTGTATATATTTGATAGGTATATGATTAACAGACATACCTATAATTGCAACAATATAAACAATTAGCATACATCTCCGTATACTTGCCTGGGTACCTGACACATGACAGAAGTAGACGGGGAGGTAATGATGCAGGGCTAGCCCGTGTCCTCTCGTACGGCATACAGCATGCTGCAATGTTGTCTTGGACTGCACATTACATAAGGAATAATGACAAGGGTGACGATTGAAACCTGCATGAGGGCCTACAGCCTGACTTCTCGACAGCCGCCGGTCGAGTTTTGCGGGTCATCGTCATAGAACTACTACATAACTTATATTCCACTTATAACAAAGATAGGGTACATACTTTTAGATAGATACATAAGGCAGATATAAGAATCTAAACCGGTCATATAGTTAAAACTATCTTCATCCTCATCCTCTTATTTTTTAATGATTCGCGCGGACTTGTCGCCGTCTTATGCCGTAGTTACGCGATCCTAGAGATCTAGGCTTAGGTGCCATATGTTCCCTCGCCGGTCTCAATCCCTGCTCGTCAAAATGCTGGACCGCAACTCCCCTTCGACGACAGCCTCATATGCGATCGACAAAAAGGAACAAATAAGGGCCAATAAGGGCCAATCGCCATAGTGGTCCTACTAGACGCCCCCTTTGGAAACTCATCCGAGAGGTGCGTTACCAATAAATAGAGAGCCTTTATGGAAAAGTCCTTGTGCCATCTTAGTCTTGCCCTACAGCAAAGGGCATCCTTTCCGTTTTTCCCGGGCGCCACGTCAGGCACAATGTCTCCTGAGGTTCGTGGGGGAAAACGCGGGAGTGTGCCTCCGGGGAAGCGGTTGCTCACATCATCAAGCGGAAATATCGTACTACGTGAGCTCGGTGCTGTCCCTTAATAACTTAAAGATGCCAATGTTTCCGTAACCCTGACCCATGCCCGTTGTAGCCCATACACCATTAAGAGGCTTCGTCTTCGTTGGGATAAGGGAATTGGCAGACTGTAAATTTGGGCGGCTCTGGCGCACATCAGACGAGACGTTACCTACTATTCGATGATGGGCTAAGAGATTAGTAACGAAGCTTCTGGCGGCTTTCTCTCCTTTTTCTTCTTTTTTTCCTTTTTTTTTTTTTTCCTTTTCATTTTCCTTGTGAAAATGCCAAACCGTCTTTCAACTCTGGTATTAGGCTTCACTATACCCACCATCCCGCTTACCGCGGCGAGGGCCATCCCTTCTCGAAGGAATGGCAGTCTACTTCTACAGCGATGCAGTTTCTTTCCGGGAATCCGGCCGGATGAGACCACAGGAACTCACCGTGTCTCTTATAGTGTTACCACATCTATTGGCGTCTCGTTGATATGGCCATTAAGGGGTCTCGTGTAAGGTCGATGCGATTAGTTTCCCATCTTGTAGCTCAAGTCTAAATGCCCTATTTTTATTCCAGGAAAAAGAGGAGTTAGCCCGAGCCAATGATAGGTAGCATGGAGCACAGATTTGTGTCATAGTTGAGTCAGTCGTTATGGCTGGTATTCTAAGAAAAAACGCCATAAGTAGATGCCACTATAAGTCGCCAAAGTGATGACGGTTTCTCATCCTCAAAAACAACCCTCGAAGCTCCTCTAAACGCACATATTATACGAATCAAAATGACAAATCACACAGTCCCACATACCTCTGAAAATCCCGTCAGCCTGCAGCCTTGGGTGCATCACGAGGACCATGGTCCTGTCGCAGACCTTTTGTCCCGGCAGCAAAACGGCATCTCCCAGCCACCCGAGGGATTTCCGCCCTCTATTCATGAAGCAACGAGGTGGTCTGGATTAGATACTAACAAAATACAGCCACATACATTTATCCTAGATGGCCCCGATGTAGCGGCAATGGAGGGGACTTTAAAGTCGTTCCATGGTAAGCTCCTACCAAACTTCGCGTCCCTGCTCTACGTGACTTAACTTAGGATCTGCACAGAACTCGAGCTTGATGGCGACGAGGTAACACGAGAGTGTTTCCCTCTTCCAAGTCTTCAAGATAGGCTTGAAAAATGTGCTTTTGAAGTCCATCGTGGCCACGGGTTGTGCATTATTCGTGGACTAAACCCCGATAACTATACTATTGAGGATAATATTGTCCTCTTTCTCGCGATTTCAAGCTATATTGGAGACGAAAGAGGTCTTCAAAATGCTAAAGGCGATATGTTATGTAAGTTTATATGCATCTTGTTTGGTTCTAACGCTTGCTAATTCATAGGAAAAGCTCACGTTACCGAGTCAAAGTCATGGACGGTACCCAAGGAGAAACGACACGGGATACATACCAACTATAGTTTGGTATGTAACTAATTCGCCTCATTAGAAGATACAAAGACAATTTGGGACACAAGCTGATAGCCTTAGCCATTCCATAACGATATGGGATGCGAAATCCTGTCTATCCAAGTCCGAGACCGAGCCGATGAGGGTGGGCGTACATGCGTAGCGTCAATAGCCGCCATTTATAATGATCTAGTACAGACGAAGCCTTGGGTTATCCATGCCCTGGCAAAGCACGACTGGCCAATTCAAACGTAAGTAGAACCTATAATCTATACCTACCTCTATAAATATGAAAACAAGTATCACTGACATCGCTTAAGGAGTTCTAGAAGAGAGCCTCCTTTTGTTCTATGCCCCTTAATAGAGTACCATGCCGGGAACCTATTAACTTCGATGGATCCCTCTCGTATAGGACCACATCCCTTAATTCGCAACGGCTCGATTCCGAATCTTACGCCAGAGCAACAGGAGGCACTCGTAGTGCTCGAAGAGACAGCACAGAAACACCAGATACAGCTTGATACACAGCCTGGAGACCTTATATTTATCAACAACCTTGCCCTTCTACATGGCAGAGAGTCTTACCTAGATAGTAATACTTCATCAAGACATCTAGTGCGACTATGGCTACGCAATACGCAACTAGGCTGGCCTATCCCCCCTTCGATGCACATGCCGTGGGACGCTGCCTTTGGAGAGAGAGCCAAGAGGGTAATTGATAGATATTATCCCATAATGCCAATGCCCGAGTATATAGAGTGCAAGTACTCTAACGGGACAGCAGCGTTCGTCGCCGACGATGACAATTTTGACGACGGGGGTGACTCTGGGTCGAACTACGCAGGAAGATATTTCAGCTAGCTGGCATCTCGGGTGATTCAGAATCATGGAGGGAAATTCTGAAATTTACGTTGGGTCATACTGTTATGACACAATTTGACCATGGCTTATGGTTTACGGCATACAATGTCGAAAAGATAACGTTGAATTGGTCTAGCAACCGAGGTATCGATCTGTTGTAAATACAGATACGGCTTTCAGTCAAATTACTACTCCTTACTAATATAATATTGATAATAAATATTGTAACTTTCATTCAAGTCTTATTATTTTTTTATAGAATTTATATTTCGTCACCTAGTCGCTCGGCCCTGGTTGGATATTGTACTTAAGTATGTACTTAAGCAAAGCCTTGTAGACTAAAGGGAATAATAGTTACTACCTGTTTATCAATTCATCGACTGGCTACTTACCTTATATGAAGTAGGTAAACAATCATATGGAAATCACAGTTAACGAATGAGTGTTTAGTGCATGGTGATTAACTTGACCTTGACACTGCGGTAAGACCCATTCTTATGACGGGTAACTCAGCGCATTATAACTAATAATGAGAGCAACCGATCCAATTTCAAGACGTATGTAGTGATTTCAAGATTTATCAAGATGCAACGAGCTAGGGATCAAGGGATAATAAAACATGCTAGGCCATCAAGCAAATTGGGTGTGGATTATGAAGTAGATACTGGTTGTATCACCGAGATGAAGATGAGTAGTCATTTTAATGCGACCGGGGGACGGATATCACGGTCTGCCGGCTTCAACTGAAAATTTATATAAACGATCATCGGCGGTTCCACAATAGCTAGAACGGAGGTGTAGCCGTGTAAGCAGGTAAGATGTAACAAGACGTGATGATTACTGTTCGGCTTCGGAGAGCGGCTGTGGTCGAAGATCCTACCGCGTACGGAATAAAATCCCGGAAAACATTTATCGGGGCAGTGAGATAGCCAATCTATTGGTAACGACTGAATGAGTAGCGGCCTCTTATGTCATAGAGTGAGCGGGTAGGGACAGTAAGATTATCTACTGCTGTGTACTAACAGCTATTAATAGTTATGCTGTTAGGTGTGCCACTTTTTTTTTTTTTTAACAATATTTCCGCCTCGCTCTTACATACGAGGTCACAGAAACGGACGATTCCAACTGGTATCGTCTCTTTTATGTAGAGATGCATACACCACTTGGTAGGAAGATAGAAAGAGAAAGGGGAAAGGCTTGGGTCGATACGATCTCGAAACAATCCTAGGCTTGGCGTATGCACTGCCTATCGGTTTCCTCTATGGAGTTTACGATACATAATATTTGAGTATGTATTTGCGCGTTTAACTAACAGAATAGAAAAGATGTGTTTGTGCGTAAAGGGAATTTGACGATCATGCGAACAAGATAAAAAGGAGAAATGCAAATCGAGGAAGATCGCTATCATTTCGTGCTGTTCGTTACCAAGAAGAGATAAAAGCAGCTAATGACTGACGTGACCGATTATCTTGGAAAGTACCTGGCATAGCCTACCTCTTGTAGGTAGCGTATATTATTCACTACAATGTACCTCATATAACTGGAGAATTGGCACAAGGAATGATAAAGCTTGGCTGTTTGAAGAAAGGAGTACCAGAAGCAATCAACCAATACAATGTTAGGAAAGGCTGTCAGTTGCAAATATGTTAATTATCCTGGTTGGATGGTTGGTTGATACCTATTCTCACCTATATTTTTATGGTAGACAGCAGAGGATCTATATAAGTAGGATTCGGTTGAACAAAGTAAGACAATGGAAGGCATTTGGGAGGAAACAAGTGGCAAAACAGGTAAATATGTAACTAATAACAGAACTCGAGTTGAACAAAATAAGTAGGTGTTAATGTCTCACTATTTGCTGCTGCGCCTCGCTTGGATATGGGACTAGCAAACCATCAAGACTCATTCAGTCTCGGCATGTTACCGACTAGGTACGGTAGTGTTATGTACAGAGAAGATGGGTCGTGATTAATTGGTTAAACGGTTCTAGCAATTCCCCTAAGATCGACAGGTACAACACGATAAAATGCATAGTAGCGCCAATCTAATAGGCGTTTTAGTTAACAGGTATGACATGTACCTACATGATGTAGCGCATATATATATCTTGGTACATTAACAATGATGTAGGTTAGGTATTTATTGAATAGGTAGGTACCTACATATTCTGGCGCTTCAAGAGGAATTCTCACGAAAAGCCTCAAAGGTTTGAAAACTCCTAACTAGCCACCGGGAGGAATATCACATGCATCGTGTAAAGTAGGTTTGGTCAAAAATAGGTAATAATATGTAGGAACAATATGTACCTACATACAATAGCTTCCTCTGGAAAATCTGGATTCAGGAGAGCCGGAAAGTCAGGAGAAACTCCCTGTATTCCCTCCCCTCCCCCCCCTTAGCTGTAACCCCCCTGTTCATCTGTCCATCTACCCGCAAAAGCCCCAGTATTCCACTAATCTACATCGGTCTTTTTAACTGTGGTCCCATCCAATCATAACCAATTAAGTGAATAGCCCCATTGGCTAGAACCAGTTTTAATCTCTCCTGTTGAACCAGGGTCCCTTCTCCTTTACTGATATCTCGTACTACTTTTTTTGCTTCTCTTCCCTTTTTTATGAGACCAGGCCTTTCATTTTTATGCCACATCTTTTTCTCTCTTACTCCCTCTCTCTCTGTCTCTAACAGTTCTCTCATTTTTCTAGCCTTTGTAATTAATTGGCACGCGAAGGATAAGAGGTATCCCGGTTATTCCAACTACGCACATTCATTGACGCGTTATTCGTACACTCATTATATTGCATTGTTCAGTCCATTACTAGAAGGAAAATAGAAGCAAAAGAAGCAGCAAGGCTTATACCGAGGTTATCTCTACGTCATTCATTAATCGTCATAAGAGACATCAGCGTAACTCGAGATCCCGGTGATCAAGAAATAATTAGCAGATCAAGATGGGTTTCATACGATCAGCTCTCACAGCATCATTGCTGATTGCCAGCAATGCTGCTGCCTTGGACCCTATCATCATGAAGGTATGTGTAATACCCATTGGTCCTTCAGAAACGACCGGTAACCCAGCCCACGAATAAGGCGACTAACATATCTGGTCTGAATAGGGAAACAAATTCTTCACCAAGAAAGGCGACCAATTCTTCATCAAGGGCGTTGCCTACCAACAAGAGGCTGGTGGCGGGCCCGGAGGCAGCACCGACTCCAAGACTAAGTACGTGGATCCTCTGGCCGACGAGAAGACTTGCGAGCGTGATGTGCCGTTACTCGAGAAGTTGGGAGTGAACACCATCCGAACATACGCCATCGACCCTAAGGCCGACCACAGCGCGTGTATGGCTCTGCTAGAGAAGGCCGGTATCTACGTCGTTGCCGACTTGGGTGAACCTGCTCTCTCCATCAACCGTGAATCCCCCGCTTGGAATGTCGACTTGTTCGATCGCTACAAGGGCGTCGTCGACAACCTTGGAAAGTACGACAATGTCATTGGTTTCTTCTCCGGAAACGAAGTTACCAACAACAACACTAACAGTAAGTTACCGTGTCGCCATACTGTTCGAGTTTGTTCGTAGATCTAGATGATGCTAACTTGGGTTATCATAGCCGGTGCTTCGGCCTACGTCAAGGCTGCTACCCGTGATGTTAAGAAGTACATCTCCGACAAGACAGCTAAGGGTGGGCGATGGATGGGTGTTGGCTATGCCGCGAACGACGACGCCGATATTCGTGCTAACATGGCCCAATACTTCAACTGTGGTGAACAGGAGAGTGCTATTGATTTCTGGGGTTACAACATCTACTCCTGGTGTGGCAAGAGCAGCTTCACCGAGTCCGGCTACGATGTACAGGTTAAGTTCTTCTCGAACTTCTCTGTTCCCGTCTTCTTCGCCGAGTATGGTTGCAACACTGTTAACGGTGCCGAAGGCCGTCTCTGGGATGATACCACTGCCATCTACTCTAACCAGATGACCGGCGTCTTCAGCGGTGGTATCGTCTACATGTTCCACGAGGAAGAGAACGACTATGGTAAGTTAACTATCTGTTGATCTTTTGTTTCTGTGATCTAATAGCTGTTTAGGTCTTGTCAAGGTTAAGGGCGACACTGCGACTCCCATGAAGAACTACAAGGTTTTGCAGTCGAAGCTTGCTGATGTCAAGCCTTCGTCCACCTCTATGGCTGCTTTCGACCCTACCAACTCTCCTGCTGCCTGCCCGGGCATCTCCAAGAACTGGAAGGCCGCAGAGGCTCTCCCTCCTACCCCTGACAGCTCCCTTTGCGACTGCATGTACAAGTCCCTCTCTTGTGTTCCTTCCGATGATCTCGACGAGAAGGACTTTGGCGACATCTTCGGTTACATCTGCGAGAACGATGCGGATGCTTGTGCTGGTATCAAGCATGATACTGAGAGCGGTGTCTATGGCCCTTACGGCATGTGCAATGCTAAGGAGCAGCTCGGACACGTCCTCAATGCTTACTACACCAACCAGAACAGCGCGTCCACTGCTTGCAGCTTCAAGGGTGCCGCTCAGATTGTTGATGGTACTAAGGACTCTACGTAAGTAATTATCCTACTGTCTTCGTCGTGCCGATAAGCTAATACGTATTAGGTGTGAGGCTTCTTTGGCCAAGGCTAGCTCTGCTATCGCCGTCGCTGCTACCGCTACAGCAGGTTCCGCCAGCTCCTCTTCTACCGGTGAGAGCAGTGAGAACGCTGCTGCACCTGCATCCGTCCGTATGACTCCTCTTATGACCATGGGCGATATGGTTGTTAGCCTGTATGTGTTGGTGGCCATGGGCGTTGGTGCTGGTATGGTTATGCTATAGAGGAGTTAATATCACGCGGTTGAATATGGCTTTTATATAGTATTTTCTGTCCCTGTATTCTGGCGTAATTCGGCCGAGCTGTTATTTTCGAAGAGATTTATACGTAGTGGCTACGTTGCATGGCATTAAGGAATGCTATGCTTTTTTTCCCGTATTAGACTCACAGAATAGCTAATTGCAACTATCCGTATTCACGAGTTTAGTATATTGTAGATATTTTGATGCGAAAGTTTGGTGCACAGGTCCTTTTGTATTGTCTTTTATTCTGTCGTGGTCCACGCTCGAGATAAACCTATTGCCATTTGGTCTTTCTATTGCCATAATTCATGATTTTATATTCCCCCTCTCGCAATGCCATGCATGCCTTCCCCATGAGTCTAATTGTTTGAAGACGTTGTTGTCGTATCTACTTCTCTCTCCCAGCTAGGACTGTATATTTGGTTAATCCATAAACTCACCTTTTCCGCAACCACTTCGCTATGTCCTGTATTTTATTTTAGCTCCTTTCTCAGTACCAAGTTGAATTTCACTTGCTTACTTATACAAAACGCGTGAGGGATATTTCCTTCATCTACTATGAGTCTTGTGCGTTCGACTTGCTTCTGCCTCTTCTGGATGAAGTCATCCCTGTAGTGATTCGCAACCCAGTGGTCGTGTTTGCCAAAGAAGAAAAAGAATTTCGGTATGACTTTGTGGTGCGTCTCTGCTTCGTAAGCAATTTCCCACAATTCTTCATCCCACTTGTCCTCTCCGATGACTTGCATTTCGTCCATGCCCATATGCAGCGCCTGCCACACCCCGTCTCGGCTCTTAAGCCAACGTGTTGTTACTTCTGCTCCGTGAGCTGGGAATCCCATTACACTGCTCACGATCCACCGGAGGGCGCCTTGGGGGAACAGGCGCAGGAATGCCTGAGCGATCCGGTAGGCATTGTCGCCTAGTATGGGCGTTCGGCGTAGTAAGTCAAGTTTCTTCCCACTCGGGGAGTTTGATATATGGTGGATAGTTGGGAATAAGAGAATTCCGGAACCAAGATTTAAATGCGGAGCTAAATCCGGGTCGCGTAAGAGCTGATGAAAGAGCTCGAGGGCAATATAACTGCCTACAGAATGTCCAATGAGTAAAACCTCATCGTATGGAAGACCTTTTCGTGATCCTGAGTCGACGCGAAGCTTTTTTAGGGCTGCAAGCGTATGTTGGATCTGGTCGTGGAGGTTATATGGTGTCCTCTGCGAAGTGAAAGGTTCATGGTCATCGTCAAGGAATCCGGCTAGATTTTGGCCGTAGATATGAAAGCGTATATGTTCAAGTGATTTTGCCTCGTTTAGGAGTTCCCGAAGAGTTGATAGGAAGGGCTCATAGTAGTCAATGAGTCCCGGATTCCCGGGAATGAAGAAGATGAGGATATCACGGGATCGTGAGTCCTCGGGTCCGTTGTCGAGCGAACTCGGAGGAAAGGCTAAGAAGTGAGTAGTGGTCATTGTATAATGTAATTGTATAGTGTACAGACGGTTATACTCATAGCGTCTTCTTAATGGATCTTCTATTGGTCCCTTACATGTATTATAGTATATAGAACTTTAGGTAGGTACTTACATGGAACCTGTTTGATGTACCAATCAATGACTTGATGTAATGGGCCTCTTAGATATACCTAGAAAAATGTAGCCACAAGAAGAATTGCAGCCACAATTTCTTGTGGATCGTTTTCTATTTGTGTCCGTCTTCTAAAGTAGATCTGTCGTTATTAGAGAGTGCTACAAATATTAATAATTTGTAGGTAATTGGTCGGATGACCCCATGCAAAATGCACTAGGTATAGGTACCTAACCTAAGGTAACCCTGGAAGAATACAGGTACATGTACCTTAGGGCAGGTCCTATTATTCACATGCTCACATGTGCACCTGCACTTGAAAGTTACAGACTTGCCTTAAACAAACCAAAGGCACGTGTCGTCATTGTCAGCCTAATCGTAGACTTACACAAGTAGTCCGACGCAACCGCAACCGCAATCGCAACTGCAACTGCAACTGCAACTACAACTGGGCGCCTACCACTGACTATTACCTGTTCTCGCTTGCCCTATCTGCTTACCTATTTGCCTACGTGACCTAAATTCAATTAAACTTGACCAGTTAAATCTTCTTCTCTTCTTAGTGCGAATCCCACCCACTTCTTAAGACACGATGCTCTTACTATAAACCCACTTCTTATATTCATTCACATAGGTACATGTTCTTATCCAACGACTCTACTCTAAAATATAAAAAAGGTGGCATAATACTTGCGATAACTTCAACATGGATCTCGGAGTTTAATACTCCATTATTTATTCTTCGGAATTGTCGGTAAGTACCGTATCTAGATCTATATGCCTATCACCTATCTAGATATGTATACCTATACACACATTCCATCTTCTTCTAAAAATGCACGAGGTCGCCAGTATTGCCAGTGTCTCGGTCTTAAATGGAACCTAAGAATGTTGACTATTCTAACCTCCCCGCCTTGCCACTAGCCATATTTATCCACTTCCCTTCTCTTGTGTCCACTACCTATCTACTCATCGCCTCGGCTCTAATCTAACTAGAATTCTACTTTTCTAGGATGTCGATGCGACCCCACACACGTTTGCTCGTGACAGTCGACCGCGGTGTTTGAGGTTCTACTATCTACTGCCGTTCTCAACCTGCTTAAGCTCTAGCTAAGCCCTTCGTTATCCCTCCCTACGACCCTACGACGACCTCATCCCTCCATATACTATTAACCTCTTCTCTACTCTCATATGCTGTCGCGTTTTATCACCATGAACTCCGCGGAGCTACGGCGACGTCCACCATTACCCGGCGATGTCTCGAACCTGAAATCAGCGGCCGACGTTTCCGGTCCGACCCTAGATTCGAACACTGGTCACCCTGCAGGCAAGGCTAAGTACGGCCGCTTTAGGGCGTTCCTACGTGCTGTCTCGGTCTTCGTCTATTTCGCAAGTGGTTGTTTGTCGTATGACTCCTCATCGTATAGCCTAGGTAGAAATAGGAACCTCTCTGATCTGTATACAGCATACACCTTACTCAAATAATCGGTTCCCCGTTATACTACGCCAACCGCGACCTCTACTATGCGTATATGTCCTTGACGAAGGCATCTTTCGGCCTATTGATAACTACCATGACGCAGTGGTGGGCGCCTACGGTGATAAGAATGAGCGGTGATTCTTCTGTTGCCGGACAGCTTAGCTTGTCGCCTGATGGCAGGGTCCAATGCGCTTTTCCGGAGCGCATGGTTATGATTGCGAACCACCAGGTCTGGAACCAGATTGATGGCCTACGCCAAAGAACGTGAATGGCTGACAAGTACATTTTGTCGCAGATTTATACCGACTGGCTGTATCTGTGGTGGGTTGGATATACGAACAACCCTCACATGCACGGACACATCTATATCATCTTAAAAGAGTCTTTGAAGCGAATTCCCATCCTTGGACCAGGTTGCATGTTTCTCGGCTTCATTTTCATGTCACGCAAGATGGCCGTTGATCAACCCCGTCTAGCCCACAGGCTTAGGAAGCTGAAAACGAAGCACACGGACCCTGACGGCGAAAGCTATCTGAACCCAATGTGGTTACTGCTTTTCCCTGAAGGGACTAATTTATCTTCAAACGGCCGAATCAAATCAGCTCAATGGGCCGCCAAGACGGGACTGAAGGATACGGAGCATTTGATGTTACCTCGAAGTACCGGCATGTTCTTCTGCCTTAACGAACTTAAGGGGACCGTGGACTACGTGTATGATTGCACCGTAGCCTACGAAGGTGTTCCGTATGTGCCGCCCTTTGCTATTTCTTGTAATTCTCTATGGTCTTAAGTAATTGACATGCCACTTAGCCGCGGAAAATACGGAGAAAACTATTTTACCCTATCGAGTACTTACTTTCAGGGACGGCCTCCTAAATCGGTCAATTTCTATTGGAGGCGATTTGCTCTAGCAGATATGCCTTTGGATAACCAAGAGGATTTCGATAAATGGCTTCGTGAGCGATGGTATGAGAAGGATGCGCTGCTCGAGCAGTATGTTTCTACAGGACGATTTCCGGCAAATGCGGCTGGGATTAAGGGTCATATCGAGACGGAGGTTCGAACTCAGTATTGGTGGGAATTCGGCAAAATCTTCGTCATGCTTGGTTCGTTTGGGCTGATATTTAATTTCATTCTGAGAACTCTGCGTACCCTCGCACGTAGTTAGTCGACTGATAGCGGGCCCTTGCTTGCTAATAGATAATCTGTGCGGGTATTGCATAAGATATGGTGAGAGACGAAGAGAATTACTGTTAGATACCAGCGACGACATACATCAATGATACCATGAAGAATATGTAACATAGGGGATGGGAGTTTCGGATTGGGTTGGCGAATGCATAGCTCTGAACTTTTGATAGCCTGATATTCTAACCCGTGTGGATTAATGGTTTGGGGTATGATATTCTGTAGGAAATAGTTTGTGTGAATATCTATTATATTTCCTCTCTACTAGCGTGAGTATCTACGAAACATCAAGATTTGGGTACGTACGTCGACGATCATGTAAAACTTACGACACGGGCAACATATGGGAAGGTCGGAATAACCAAGACCACTTTCATGTAAATTACAGGTAAATTGATAGAGCCAGTTTCAGAAACAATTATTATTGATCATGAAAATTGATATATTTGGGTTCTTGGAAGAACATACGTTATGGTATGTATATGACGCTCTCTGCGAAGCCTACTCAACCTAGGAACAAGGCGACAGAGGCAGCATATATAAATCGGTTCGATACTATTAAAGAAAGAACCGCGGGAGAGATATTTCACTAAGAAAGTTGAACCTGGCGCTGGCTTCTCGCACTTTCTTTAGTAGCCTCAATGATTCGTAAGACATCTCTCGCTTGCGATGCTGGAACTGGTAAATCTTCTTCGCGATTTCGAACAAGGGCCTCGCCAAAGAGCTCAAAGAGCTTACTGTAGGTTTCAGGCTCCACATTTGGACAGTCTTGTACGCGAAAACTACCATCATCGCCGACAAGAGTAAGTTTTCCATTCCACTCCGGACTCTCTCGCCCAAAATTAGCATCATCCGTCTTCAAGCCGGACCGGAGCTGGGGCTCTTGGGTGTCGAGACCATCCTTGCGGTAGCTACCCTTGGTACCTCTGATCCAGAATCTCGGCTGCCGCGTCTCGACGCTCACACCGGCGATACGCACGAAAACGACTAGGCCGTCGTCGTAGAATAGCTGTGCGGTAACGCTATCGGGGTCTAGATCCGGGTTCTGCGGCCCTAGCAAGACCCCGTCCCGCTGGCTGGCTAAGATGCCGAAAACGCTCCGTGGCATCCCGAATAGTACGTATACCTGGTCGATCAGGTGAGTGCCTAGGTCGTAGAGCGCCGAGCCGCCTTGATCCATACCCAGCGTACCCTTCCAGGTAGACGGCTTCTCCAGCCGGAAGCGGTCAAAGTGCGTCTCAAATTCAACGATCCGACCTAGCGTGCCGTCGGCTAATAGCTTCCGCACTGTTAGAAAGTCACTATCCCATCTGCGGTTTTGGTACACGCAGATCAATCGACCCTTTTCTTTGGAGAGTTTGATCAAGGCATCTGCCTGAGAAACGCTCGGGACGAAGGGCTTCTCTACGAGGACGTGCTTTCCTGCTTGCAGTGCCTGCTGGGCAAATGAGAAGTGCGTCTCGGGGGGCGTGGTGATGACGATCACGTCGAGATCTGCGTCGGCGAGGAATTGGTCCAGAGAGGTGAAATGCTTCACGTCGGGATGATCACGCGGGGCCGACTTTCCCGACTGGCTGGGGTTGCGCTGTAGGATGGAGTGAAGTTTTAGGGTTGAGGTGATGGTGATGAATGGGATGTGGAAGATGGTAGCGGATAACCTGGGGAGATAGGTAAGTGAATGAACTTAATAGAGCAGTATATAGGTAAGATGAGATGAGCAAAATAAAATGTCTTACCCGTAACCGATGACACCGACGTTGAACGGTAGGTTGGTGGTTGAGTTGGCCATGATGTTCCTCTTTTTGAAGATTTATATAGATTTATATAGATATGTGAGGTTGATATTTGGTTGTATATTGATTTTAAAAAGATGAATGAATACCACCTAAGGACATGTCATCTAACTTTGGGAGAATCGAGTCATTTATGTAGAGACAGATTCTACCTACGGTTACGCTATGTTAGGTACTTACAGTAAAAGTGAGTCGATCTAACCGAGTGATATTTCGTCATCTAGAAACTGCTCGCTAGAAATACATATAATAAAAACTTACATGTTGCGTGATGCTTTTCACGATGCTCTTCTCCAACTGGTCAACTGTTAAAGTTTCCTATTTTAATCATTAGCGGACCCCGAATGGTTCCCGTTTTACGTATTACATATTTGTAGCTTCATATAAATCGATTATTGAATATTGAATATTGGACATAAAGATACCGTGCGAAGTTTGATAGGATAAACTGTTCGGTACTCGGTCTTCCCCATTATTTTAATTTTCTTTCCTTTTTTCATCATCGGATCAAAACTACAGACATCCCTGCCTTATTCTCCTAATGACGACAATCATAACAATACTAACGGGAGATACAACGATAGAAATTTGAGATGGTATAATTCCACGTCTATTGTTTGCATCGCTACTGCGAGCTATATTGTGAAAAAGGGGAGGGTCTCGGCTGCTCGATCATGGGGTGAATTGGTAGATGAGTGTTATTCGCGATACTTCTTCTATCCGATACTTCTATCTAAAACCATGCGACTCTTGCGACTATCATATCTTGTTTAGTTGTCGTTGCATTTACTTTGACAACGTGAATCGCGACATACGATAGTTGTAGCGGCTGAGAAATTTCAAGTTGGAAAAGGAGAAAAGAAAAAACGAAAAGAAGGACCGTGAGTATTTGGTCCTCGGTCTAGGCAAAGACCCAAACTTGAAGATGATGTTCAGACGGAGCTTTTCCCGTATCCGCCAAGGTCTGCTTATACAACGCTGTCAGGATGTGAGATCTTTTTCTTTCACCTCCTGTCGTCGCGAGATTCGCGATGCTTCTGTACTTCCCGAGCGCATTCTGCCCGCGTATAAGGAGAGTTCAACCTCTTCTTTGCTATCTTTACAATGGCCAGAACCGCCACGGAATATCTTGATCATTCCAAAGCTACATGCTCCTAAGGTGACCGCTTCTGCTATCTCATTTGCGAACCACATTCACAGCGAATACCCCGATCTGAATCTCGTTTTTGAACGCCGAATTGCTTCTACTATGCACGAGTCCCTGCCTTTTCCTATATACACTTCTGATCCAAGCTTGTTTCCTCGCAAGATTGATCTCGTGACCACCCTGGGTGGCGATGGAACCATTCTACGCGCAGCTAGCCTTTTCAGTCTTCATGCGTCCGTGCCTCCCATCTTATCCTTCAGCATGGGGTCGCTAGGCTTTCTAGGCGAGTGGAAGTTTGAAGAATTTAAACGCGCTTGGCGTGAAGTATACATGAGCGGAAGCCATGTTGCTGTATCCGATTTGCAGGGCCCTCATACACAGTTTGCTACCAACGGCCGGCCTGACGGAGGCGAAGGCCGTCTTCATAGTAGCTGGGAAGGCCTCCGCGGGAAGAGCATGGGTCTTACTCGATCTAGCAAAATTCTTCTACGTCATCGGTTAAAGGTTGGAGTTTATAACGCTGCGGGTGTCAATATAAACGAGCAACTCATACCAACCCCGATCGCCGAGCCGCAGCAGTCCACCTCGGGGATACCTGCCGATTTAAATGTTATAGGGAGGAATAAGGGACAAACCGGGTCACGACCATTCCACGCCGTGAACGAACTTGTTATCCATCGTGGTCCAAATACGCACCTTGCCATCATCGACGTCTATGTAAATAATCACTTCCTGACGGAGGCCGTGGCCGATGGAATCTTGATCAGCACGCCGACGGGGTCCACAGCTTACTCACTATCTGCCGGTGGTAGTATTATGCACCCGTTGGTCAAAACGCTGTTGATCACTCCAATATGCGCTCGCAGTCTCAGCTTTCGGCCGCTTGGCCTCCCCTTGAACACCAAGGTAGTTCTTAAGCTGAGCGAGAAAAACCGCGGACGCGAACTTGAAGTTAGCATTGATGGCAAGCGAAGGGCTGCTGTAACCGTTGGTATGGAGATCCGTGTCGAAGGTGAGACTGTTGGCCGTACTTCTGGCGGCAGCTGGGCTGGAGGGGTGCCTAGTGTCATCAGGTCCCCTATCAAGGGTGACGGTGATAGAGATGGAATTGCGGAGGATGATGACGGGTGGGTTGGTGGATTAATTGGCCTGCTCAAATTCAACTATCCATTTGGTGACGGCCAATAAAATTTATGTCCGTATTGGGGATCAGAATCTGAGATTTATAGCATGAGTACGTGTTGACTAATGAGTTCGTTGAGAGACCTAAAGGTAATGTTACCCTGAGCATGTCAATGTCTAACCCCTTTTCCCACCCTATTATTTGCCAGGAATTCATCGGCTACTTCCTAGGTGCCTATCTTTCATGACATTAAAGACACCCGAAAAGAAATTACGTCTTTTATCTTGAAATCTCACTGTCGCATTGATATTGTCGGATTGTCTATGTATCATGAGCTGAGTGCAATTTAGCAGCTACCTAATCTACAAAGCTACGAAGCTGGAAGATACAATTATCGCATGTACTTGATCCGTGTCCGTATAGAAAACAGGTAAGCAAACCTTACTATGCCCATCCGTCAATGTTTGCATCCTCATCGTCTTGACTTAATCTCCAGTATCTCACTCAACTGGTTAACTACTAGGGGAGCCTGAAATCCCAGTGCTCTCTTCCTCTCTCTCCTTCTTACTGGCGAGGCCAGGGCTATCCCGCCTTTATTTGTATCTGTTGGGCCAACACCAAAAGCCCGCCTCTCTCCTCTCTCTTCATGTTACTAAACGCGAGCAGGATAAATAGCTCCCACCTCATTAAAGCATTTCCCGAAACCATTCGCCTTAGAAGCGCTCGCATCCCTAGAGTGATATTCTTGGATCTTTTAATCCAAATAGCCGCTAGTCTTAAGTGCGCTTTTAAGGGCTTTTGCTGTAGTGTTCAACGTTCCTGCGCCCTTAATCGCATTTAAGATGTCCTTCGTGTTTGCGCGCAAGTATAGCCGGGCTGTTTCCTTCCACACCGGCACCATACCAGGTCCGGCGACTGCGTCTTTAGTTTCATCCTTCGCATTGATTGCCTTGACCCAGGGTAGCTGGGCATACTGCATCGTCATGCTTCGAACATGGTTATTGTAGCTGTCCGACTTTGGTTTGTCTATGCTGCGCTCCCGGCCGGGCTCGTTGTACCACGGCTCCTCACAGAAAATCATGGCCTGTATGCTGACAAGCACCTGGAGTAGAGTAGACTCATCTCCCCTCCAAGGCTCCCCAGGCCACGTACCGAGTAAGGAAAGGCAAACTATTAACATCTGACGTTAGCAACTATCTCGTCGTCAATCGTCTCCGAAGCATTTGCATCCATGTCGATTTCGAGTGCAAGTATATAGTGTTTGGGGGTATCACTTACTTTTGCCATCTTGGTATAAATTTGGGTTGAAGCGCGTTCTGCTGCCGTTCGGGGTCTTGAAAAGCATCATTGGTGGGGATTTAGGATAGTCTATCGGGCAGTACAAATCGAACTCGAACAGGCCGTGCTCGTAGGGTGTACCACGAGGACCCATGATCAAGACTTTCATGATATCAAGCCGCGAAGATCCATGACATATAAAGATGCCTTCTGGTAGTGAGTTTTGTAGCGTAGTTATCTCCGTGATCAATCTCTTCATACGCCCACGCGCTCCGGGCCATGCGGTAGGTTCTCTATTTGCCTCTCGTGCGTAGGCGAAATTACGCAAGACCGCGTCGTCGGGGACGTCTCTGACACAGTTTTCGCGATGCCACTCGGAAAAGTCAATATCCGACTTGTCTTCAGTAATATCCATGGCCGTTTGAAGTTGTTGCATGTTTGCGATGTGCCGAGTAGACATCTCGCTTACACGTTGGCTAAGCTTTAGTAACTTCTGTCCTTCGGAGTTCAGGAACTCTGCAGGATTTCCCTGGGCATACCGGAGGAGAGTCTCTAATTGGGCCGTCATACTGCCTAGCAATTCGATTAGAGACTTTCCCGTGTCCCTCGGAACAATTCTGCCTTTGCTCTTCTCGGGGCTAAGCGAGGCCTCCAGAAGATTGCCCCCATTTTCGTAATAAATGTTACGGTCAGTGTATACTAAGTCGACAGTTGCTGGATGGCTTCCTAAAGCGTCGAAAAAGTCCAATACTGAATCGTAAAGTTGACTTCTAGATGATATTTCGTCAATGGAGCCGTTGCTGAGCATCACTGCAGAGTTTTCTAGCAAGGGGCTGCGCGAGATTATGTGCGATAAAAGGCTAGGCGGTGAGGTGTCAAACTGTGCTACTCTTTTGCAAGATGGGAGTAGGAGAGCTAAGAGCCTGAAATAAATTTCGCGCGTGAGGTCCTCTTTAGCATCCATGGACCTTTTTGGCATCGAACGCTTAGGTTGATGTGTATACTGTCCAAAGAAATAAGCATGAGGAGTATTCGTGTCGCCGTAGCCGACTCCTTTCCCAGTGGCCGACGGGTGGGGTCCTCGTAGCTTGTCGAGCACTGAGGCTTCCTTGATCTTAACCTTTCCGCGCACCTTTGTGATCATATAACCAGCTCGAGACTTCGACTTCGGGACTTTCCAACCGCAAGCAAGGGCCCAGATTGCGGCCAGTCTGCCATCATCACAGCACCACTGCACAGTGGCACTCGTTCCGGCAACCTTGAGAGTATCGCTTGGCTTATTTGTCATAGTGGAATGAATTGCTTTCCCACAACCGAGACATGTGATTACCTGGCAGTACTTTTCCTGACATTTCAGACCAAGGCTAACTTTCCCTACGTCACGTTAGAATAGAGTAATGCATGGAGGGTTGTATGGAGGGTATCATCTCAAGGAGAAAGGCCATGGCTCTGTAGTAGATAGAGTCTGCTCACACCAATGTGTCATAGATGAAAGAGGGAATTGTTGACACGAGAGGCTAAAAGAAAAATACCATTGTATTAGAAAACACTCACCATCACCACTAGTCCATGTTGCCGTCATATTCACAACATCTTCAGACCCCATGGTCTTCTTTTTATGACATCCGGCACAGGCATGATTAAGGAGTCCTAGGACGAATAATCCCAAGGGCTTCAAGTCAGCCAAAGTTGTTTCGACCATGGCTGTATTTTCGGGAGTTTGCTCTGGGTCCGTCGACTCGGTGCTGTCTTCGTTGCTGTCTTCGCTGTTGTCCTCGAGGCTTACGCCGTCTATTTCCATCTTGTCGTCTTGAGGTTCCTGACCTGGTTGCAGAAAGGGAGAGAACATCTCAAAATCATTCACTGCAAAGTACTGCGGTGCCGTGCCATATTGACCGAGATAATAGCTATTCCACATTTGCTGGTCATAGGCTAGTCCGGATTGGTTATTCAACGTTGGAGGTTGTTTGGACCCGGCTGCTAAATGGAGAGGTTGTGGGTGGCCAGTTAGGGGCTCTGCTGGATGGATGCCTAGAGGGAGAGGCTGCATATGGTGCGCAGGTAAAGGCTCTGAGAAATATGATGGTTGACCCCATAGCGAATCTATGGGATCATTGGAGGCTATGGGAGGAGCAGGTTGTGTGTGCAGATTAGGATTGCCCTCTGGGTATTGTGGAAACCACGAGATAGACGCTTGATATTTCTTAGCCGACGCGCCCGGTCCTTGAGATGGAGACGGCCCGGAATGGCCGTGGGATGCCGTAGAGCCATGACCCTTTTGAAGCTGTATGCTACTAGACGGGTTGATCTGAGTAAAAGGACTTCCAGAGTTTGGTTTATTTGCTGACTGCTTGCTCGCCGAGGGGTTACCTAGCGACATTGCGTGATATGAAATTCCACTTGCGGGTGGTTGTGCAACGACATACGGATTCAGTAACTGTGCGAGTTGCTTGCTCGAGGATGTTGATACGGCTCCAGGGATAAATGGATTCTGAGACGGCGGCGGCGGTAAGTTGCTATCATCTTTTTTAGGAAACATTGCAAACGGTTGGTTGCGTGGCCCATGCGATTTGGGTTGGATGGAATTTGACGATGGTTTCGCCATAGTTGAGTTGGGGACCTGAGACGGCTTGCCGTTATCAATCGAACCTTGATCTTTGGGGTTTCGCCCGAAACAGCTGATCCGGGCAGAGATATCCTTGATATCTTTTAAGTTAGGAGCCATTACGAATACCTAAGTATGTTCCGTATGGCCGTTAGGCTGTAAAGGGATTCATTCAGTTGGAGAATGCAAGTATCCGTGTCTGTGTTACCCGCTGGTCACGTAGGTAATATAAATACCTAAGGAAGGATATGGTTTGGTTGCTGATAAACGGGAAGGTTTGTTCGCTTTAATGTGACAACCCTTTTGAAGTATCTCAAGGCACAGGCCAGGCATAGGCCAGACATAAGTTAGGTACCTAGCCTTGTTAAATATTATCGTCGGGGGAGAGAGGCTGAACACAAATACCTGAACTATCCTAGTAAGATAACGCGTGTTAGTACTAACGAGAAAATGCTTGCTGATACGTGAACACGCATGAGTTAATGTAAACGGTGCGTGTCGACTTCTTTCTACATTCGTGTTTAAGACTATTGGTACTTGATGGTTCTCGTACTAAACTTGGTCTTTCTAGGCGGGGTACAGTGTAGCTTGTGAGCAAGTAAATCAACATATTTTATCTATTGGACGGTAAAGAATAAAACGACTCAGCTTGATCATGTGGAGGTACATACCTTTTAGTACTGTCCTACGGTTCCCTTAGAAACAGAAGGGGAGAGGAGTCAACCCGTAAGGCTGTAGGTAGGTATTCATTAAAATGTAAAACTCGAATGGCGAAGAGTAAATAAGTAAAGAATAAGACCTGCATATTTTACTTTTTTGCGGTCTTTGGTAAGAGGTGTGAAAGTATGAAGATATAATGTTTACAAAGTAATTTGTATTTATTGATTAAAAAAAGAAATAAAGTAAGAACTCGAGTCATCCACCAACGTATTGCTATGCTACGGACTTGGGATACCTTCCATACTACCTACTAGAATGATAAGGAAGTGCCTTACTTAGTACCTATGTGTATTGTGAGTAAAGTACTACGTGACGCACATATTTGTTTTGCTCCGCGTGTAAGTGGTAGGTACCTGTGGTGTTTGTCTACTTAAAATTATTTAGGTATTTTATCTATCTGTACTGTGTTAAAAAGGGATATATGTACCTAAGTATCTCGGGCAAGTTTACACGCATTTTATAAAAACATACCGCAGCGGGACTATCAGCATTTACACAATGATTGTCCTATATTACAATGATTGATTCATTACACAATCATTGTGTTGGAAACAATCATTGTGTGGGAAACAATCATTGTGTGGCCCGTGCACCACCAAAAGGGAGGGCTCTGATTGGTCAGATTTTGGTATATTACAGAAAACCTCGGACTTTAAGATATTCCGGGATAATATTGAAGAAAATAAAAATTTTATTTTTTTTTACATTTTTTTTTACATTTTTTATTTTTTATTTTATTTTAATTTTTTTATTTTTTTATTACTTTTTAAAATCTTTTACACATACGAGGAATTGAACTACGAGGTTTACGGATTACGGATTACGTGCTACATTATATGTTACGAGCTACGAGTTTACTAGTTACACTATTGGACAGTTGCAAAGCACGGATGTTTCAACTTATTAAGACAAAGCTTAGCAGCCCGGGCTAATCCCGATACGTACTAGATAAGTCACAATGAATGTTACCTACACAATGATTGTTGGCCACACAATGATTGTTGAACTTTACAATGATTGTTGCCCCTCGCATTTTCCCACTATGGTATGCAGTATGTAATAAGCAGTAAAGTAGCACTTGTGTTTTAATATTTCAAATTATTGCAGGTGTAAGGAAGTAAATACCTTTCATCACGTATATGATATGTCGATAGGTAGGTACTTACCTCAGCCGCAGCGGGGTAGATAATTTACCCCAAAAGGGTACTGTGAGGGGTATGTACCTATGTATCTTATTTGTTGACCGGGATGGATCTTAGCATCATGAGGTACTTACATGTAAGTACTTGAACTTACCTAAGGCTACGGATATCTGATTTTGGGTACGCGATAGATTAATTACCTAAGGTAGGTACCTACCTAAAACATAGTCCAATTAATGAACTGGTGCTAAGGGGCATCTCCATCAACGTAACTTCTTGTAATTATTAAATCCATCATGGAAAATCATCCATTATTTGCAGACTGCATTCCTAGTGCAATTGAATGAAGCCGCCAAGAATTTACTTCCCTTGTTTTTGGACCCCGTGACATCACTCCTCTTCCTAGCGCCACTTACGTTGCCAATGCCCAATCCGATATATATTTCTTGATTTACCTTTTACTACCTGTCAATTGTTGTTCTTCTTATCTTCAAAAACGATTTTTGATATATTCTAATAAGAACCGTAACTTGTCTCTGTAAAGAACTCCAAAATTCATTACTTTCATTATGGATTTCATCAATAAGATCACGGGTAGCAAAGACGAAAATGAGGAGAAGACCCCAGAGAATGGGCAGCAGAAGCCCAACGCCGGTTTTTTGGACAAACTCAACTCCGTAGCTGGCGGTGGTAAAGAAAGCGAAAAGAGCGAAGATGCCCTCGATAAAGGTGCGTGAGTTTATAATTGCCTGGCCCGTCATTCTATTCAAGTTAATATTTACCCGAATCTCGCATTATACCTGACATATGTTACATGTAGGAATTGATTGGGTACAAGAGCACGTACTAGGTCAAGGAGACCAGAGTAACGAGAGTGCTGTTGAGCAAGCCAAGGATGAGCAGATCTCCGATTATATTCGTGACCAGTACAAGAAGACAACGGGTTCAGACATCCCAGTTAAGGATAAGGAACGCTTCTAAACGTCTTGTGCATTGTGAGCCACAGGCACAGAGATATACGTAGCACATCCATTTATTTGAGATTTGTGCAAGGGTAAAGAGGTCGGATTAAGAAGGTTATTTGGAGTACTAAGTGTGTAGTAATGCCGAATTTATTACAATTCTGGTTTATTACTACTGATCGGATTCCACACAATGAGTCGAGACATCGTAGCAGAGAAGTTATAGAACATCTAGCCTCCTTAGGTCACAACATATCTTCTTGGTCTGCTATGAAACTACCTAATCTACATGATATAAAACCAACTCATTGTAAATAAATCAATAAGGCTTCGCTAGCATTTAATGTGATAGTTGCTTGTCCATTGGAAACGGATAGAGACTCGGTGCTCTCAGTCCCGGCAACCTTGCAGCTGCCGTCAGTAAATGTCTGTCCTCCGTAAGTGACCTTACCACCTTGATCCACTCTGGACATGGCACTCTCTGCCGTCAGTCTTTTGGCCTTTAGCGAGGTTCCCGATAAACCGCCAATGTTAAATGACTGGGAAGAACGGCTACCGCTTCCGCTAAAGTAATCAGAGTTATACAGAAGCGCTCGTAGAGGCGTGCCGTCGGAGCCAAATGAGACATATGCTGCGTAATTGTTGGTCCCGTCGTCAAGAGCCGTGAGGTAAGATGCTTTTGCTAATAACGCGGTTGCCGCGTACGCACCATAGTACGGAGCCCCCATGCTATATCTTCCCCAAAAGCAGTATTGGCAATTGCCAACAGTTCCATGGTGGAAGTATGTCCTTGATATGTTACTGTAACTGGCACGGAGAACATAATCCATAGTCCACAGCGCTGCTCCGAAGGTGGGTGACACCCCAGCAGCTCCCCCTCCGGATACTAAGAGAAGTTTAATTAATATTGTGCGAAATAATTTTGGCGATTGGAATAATATATACCTGAGTTGGTCTCGCCGAAAACGTATGGCTTGCCCTCTTTCAACGCCGCTGCTACGTCGGCGTCGAAGACATGTAAATTGCTGGATATACTTTTATGGCTCATCAGCGAATTCACGCTCCCTCCTGGATAATTGTGATGGGCATATGTCTTGACATAGCTCTTGACGGTTGCATTTTCTGTCGCGATCAATTCTGCCGCACCCCACGTTGGAGGAGAATCGTTGGAGTTGCCGGCTTGAATGATTGGCGATTTCTGGACGGCCGAGCCGACTGATAATGCCCAATTATTCTGCGAGGCGGCATCGATAGATGGGGACCAGCCGCCAGAAGCAATAGGCTGACCGTTCCTGGAATAGTCTAAGAAGAGATCAGCTTTGGTGATGAATCGTTGAATAGATCGAAAACATACACTCCGGCTCATTACCCAGTTCGATGGCAAGCAAGTTCTTCACTTCAGATATTACAATCTTTGCTGCATCGATCGTGTTCTGGATGTTATTTTTACCCCTATTCAATCCCACTACCACGCTCCCCGCGTAAGTTCCTGCTAAAGTCAAGAAGCTCGAGCCAAATGTCAAACTTGCGGGCGCGTCAGCCGGATTGGAAACGCTATACACGACGTAGGCCGAGGTCTTAGAGTCATATTGGGCTCTGTCTTGCGTGGTTCCGCCGATGCGTATCGGTGGCCAAACTCCTGTCAAGTCTTTCCAATTGGAAAGACACTGGGTTGTGGCGCTCACATTGGAAAAATAAGATGGAAAGGCAAAGAACTCGAAACTAATAGGGGTTTGATGAGTACCTAACCTATAGCGGTGATAAGATTCTGATTCTCCATAACTTACGATATACCAACTGGTGCAGGGTCTAGAGGTGCGTATCTATACCCCCCTGTATGTGCTTGCTTGGGGACGGTAAAAGTCACCGCTGCGGTCGCGCTTTGGACCGCAGTGAGAAAGAGTATCAACTTTCCGAAATAAGAAGCCATGATGCTGATAGAAAACATAACTAGACTATGTCGATCATACTTATACCCTGGGCAATTATTAGCCTATTCGGATACGTCAAGCATCTGAACGAGAAATTGGCCTGATTGGGTGACGGATCCTACATTGCTTTCGTTAGCTTTGGATGAATTTAGAAATAGAGTGGGAATGTTACATGCGCGCTTGTCTGTACAGCTGCATTGCTACATATCTTCAAGGGATAAACCGAAAGCTGCAGGGGCATGCGGATGGTAAACGTGGGAGTATAGATCTTGGTGGTGATAAATTTCCACCAATAAACAATCACCTAGTGATGAAATTAAACAAGATCCAACCTTATGTAAATTCTAATGAGACGATGCCTTAGTTTTCTTGCACTTTACACTCAAGAAGTAAACTCATTAATATTCTATTATAAGGAAGATTTCGCTATTAGGATACTTCGTAACAGTTTTGAGATAGCTGGCTAGCCGTAGTAGTACGATGAATCTCAATAATCGACCACGAATATTGAATGACCTATCGCGCCAAGATGACTTATGACTTATACTTGAGTATAAAAGGCACCGTTTCAACGACATCCCAATCATCTTCATTTGCGGCGTCGCCATATACTCTGACAGCACTAGTGATGAATTTATATGTGCCTTCTGGGATGATGGTTCCGTCATCCAATAAACCACTGATATAGCTTCCTCCTCCATTCCGGGGGACCAGAGTTAATGGGTAACCTGGTAGAGTACCAATAATTTCGTAACCTTTCCACTTAGTCGTCGGTAGGCTGGTGGCCGTTACGGCTACAACATCGGCGCGTAGTGCTGGCACGCCTAGAGTGGGCCATACTACAAGCTTCGGGTAGATGACGCCACTGGAGCTACTGTTACTCTTGGGACGATTAATCGTAAACGTGGTATTTGCGGCAACCGGAATATTAAAGTGACCGTTGGTATCTGTGAGGTAAACTCCACCGTCATAGCCGGCCTGGACGACGGGAGTATTGTATAGGCTACCGAGGACACCTAGATATGGCAGTACTAATGACTCCGACTTAGTGCTATTAATGGTTATATAGCCGCTGTAAACAGGCAGCAATGTTGCATTGAGATTCTGCGGCGGCGAGAGTATAACCGTGACCTCAGAAGTTCCGCCTGCAGGCACGGTGATCTCATCAGAGGCGAACTTCACTTCAGCCCAATCGTCCGCGGTAGGATTTGGAAATGTAGTGCTTTCAAGGACGGGACCAGAATTATCCGCAAAGGTGTACATTGTTAAAGCTTTTGTGTGCCCAAGAATATATGTCACATCTTCGCTGGCGGTATTCTGAATCGTAAAAGTCCTCTCGCCGACGAAGTGGTCGCTGTCGTTGAACGAAATGCTGCTTTCGCTAAGGATCGTATATGCGTGTGCTGCATCCCACGCCTGAACAATTCCCGCTCCCTGCTGTCCGACTGGCGCGAGGATGTTGTTATGCGCGGTCGTACCGTCAAACCAGACTTTAGGCTTCGCAGTAGCAGAAACTAAACTACGGAGGATTTGAGGATCTCGGGTCCCGCGGGCTTCGGAGATAAGTGCAAAGATAGCCGCCAGCAGAGGTGTCGCCATCGAGGTCCCCGATAGAACAGCGTAGCCACCTAAGGCTAAGGGATAAGTCGACAGGATGTCGCCACCCGGGGTTGTGATCTGAGGTTTGACTTGGACCTCCTGAGTTGGACCCCAACTACTTGATCTGCTCGTATATCCACCAGTGACTGGGTTATCTAGGTTTTGGATATATAAACCTGCAGACGTCCAGTCGTTGATATCTACGACGATATCTTTCCCTTCATTTAGTTGCTTTATAAACTCGGCGCCCTGACTAGAGGATATAGACCCGACACCTTTTATGGATTCATTGGAGATCCATATGTCTGGAACTTCCCTAGTTATGGTTTAGTTAAAGGCAGCTCTACTCAGTGAAGGATTCGGAGCTCAAATCCTATGTGCTTACCTATTCGACTGGCTATACCATAATACATACTGGCTTCCTTTCGCCGCAAGGTTCGCAGCCTGAATTTGTGCAGTACATTCCGAACTTGAAGCTGGCATGCGAAGTAAAGCAACTGTTTTGGAAAGATCTGGAGTGTCGTCAGGCAATGGCTGACACGCGTCTGTTTCCGAAGCTGTATCGTTGCTTGCGGGCCATAATGGTAAAGTAACATTCGTTTGATAAGAAGGGCTGCCGAACCTGAGACCGAATTGTTCGGACCAAGTTGAATTACCAACAGTGAAGGTAGCCGCTTTTACTAGCATCGGGAGAACGATATTTTCAACAGACCCAACGGCCGTAACATTAACACCAGATGCCGGCGTGGACGGATACCACAGGCCCAAATGTCCCGAATTCCCGGGAGCCACAACAACAGGAACACCAGCAGCAGCGATACGCGAAGCGACAATAGCCCAGGGGTCTGAAGCCCAACCAGAATCATCACCGGCCGAGCAGGAGATGATGTCACTTCCATCCTCGAACGCGGCGTTAAATCCAGCAATCAGCATCTCGTTAGTTGTCGTTCCTCCGCAGCCCGTCGCTTTATACATGCCAAGCTTGACTCCAGGCGCAGCCCCTGTAAAGTTGTGTTCATTAAGCTGAGCAGCAATTATTCCCGCAACGTGAGTCCCATGCCCGACGCAGCCATCGTACGGGTCCGCATCCGGAATTGGGACGGGCGACGTATCGTTATCTCCATTAAAGTCGTAACCGTATTCAACGAGGCATCCTTTACCAAAACAGCCGCCAAGAGCAGGATGCTTATAGTCGACGCCTGTATCAACCAACCCGATTCTTAAACCTTTACCCGTGTAGCCTTCGGCAAGGAGCTTGTCAACCTGAGTCATGAGATGCGGAGTGAATACTCCATCCGCGACTTCTTGTCGTTTAACACGTCGGAGGAACTCCGTCACATTGCTTCCGATTAACGTCGTGTCGGGTTTTGGAAATGCGATCTTTCGAACAGGCCAGACATTCTTGACTCGCGGTTTTGAGGCGATTTTTAGCGTATCGGCTTCGACGCCCGCAATATCACCCCTAAGATGGAACGATGCACCTTTAAAGAGCTGGAACTTTAAGTCCATCCGGTGCTCCACCTCAATGCCGTCGGCTTTGAGATCTTGATACAATACATCTGAACCCTCATTGTCATCGAATTCGACAATGTACGCCCCTTTTACAATAGACTCATCCGATAACGCCGCTCCGTCAGGGGCTGCGACGACACCAGCAACGAAAGCTTGAGCCCAGAGAAGGGTCGCTAATGCGGGTTGGACTCTCATTGCGACTAGGACTGAGAATATTGATTATCCTGCTGTGGCATGGCAAACAAAAGGGGTAACACTGCAGAGGAACTTGCCAACGAAGACCTATTTAACATGAGTTCCCGAATAGCACCTCGAGATCGAACGACTATAGATTCTCAGTATTCCGCCGCCAAGCGGGAACTTGCCGGACCCCGGCCTTCGCGATATGGACATGGGTAAGCGGAGGACGTCCTTGTTCTGTGCGAAGGACCGAGAATAATTCCCCACAAATCAACGGCTATTCTCTCCTCAGGTTGGAATTTCTCGTATATAATCTATGCCAAGACTCTTCACGAGATGTCTATAATTGAACCTTGCGGCTCCTCGTGAATTGTGCAACCTCATTGTAACGACTTTCCAGTTTGGGATATTGATACCCTAGAGCCTATAAATCGTAATTCTTCGCGTCTATTACTCCATCAATCATTGAGCAAGATTGGCTTTTTGTCGTGATAGTTGATGATGGTAACGCATTAGTTTACATATTCCCTTGTATTCTCAATGGGAGATATCACCAGGTAGACCGGGATTTTCCGAGCCAACACAAAATTCCTATTGCTACCTCGTATATAGCCCGTTAGCAAAAGCTTATACTCGGTCAGGTTAACTGCTTCTTCGGATGCCAGCGATAGAGACCAGATAGGATATATGAGACAAGATATGTGGACAGACGTCAGCCGGGAGGTTGGAACTACGGGAATAGAGGGTAAGCTACCTAACTAAAGAATTTATATTATTACAACTGATATTTAGCAAGATACACGAGTTTCTTAGAATAAGCAAGGGGGAGAGATACGATGAAGTTCCTCTAGTCCTCTTTTTAACTAGCAGATAACCACGCCGCGAAGTGAGTGAAGGGCCACGGTGCGGGGTACAAAGGATGGACAACCATTAAGGTCTATAAGCGGGTAACTTGCCATGATACTTACTATCTTACATTTTTCGAATGTGTCGAGTTATATAGCACGATTTAACTCTCGTTATAGATAAACGAGATGTTTGAGTTTTTTTCTGCCACTCTGCGACGAGATATTGTAAATATTGTTATCGTCTTCGTCGTCCTCCTTTTGTGGTCCTAGCGTTGTGTGGTCCGTGCATAGTCTAAAGAGAATAATTTATGTTTCCATCGTCCCCAACCTAAAACAATCTCGAAATGTAACTCAGTTCGTCCATCCTGGATAACTGGATTCGCCTCGCCGTTCACGATCTCCCACTCTTTGTCATCAGCGTTACTGATGCTGTTGGAGCTGGCGTGGAAAGGGGATGGATCTTGTGGCACTACCTCATCTTCTATTACTATTAGAAGTGCGCTATAGAGAATGTATATGAGCTATAGACAATACCTGCTGAATTATTTTGAATCTTATCTCCATCTTGTGCTCCGGTTGGAGTCATATTTTCGCAAAGCTGATTCTCTTTTTGTGTGGTAGCTGACATTTGAGGGAATGTATTTGCCTTTCTGATGTTGTGGTTAACGAAATAGCGATTATTAGGCACGCAAATCTAGATAGAGGGGATATATGCAGGTCGGCTGACTCAGAAATGCGTGTGAGTATGCCCTGTGGTAAATCGCTGTGCAAGAACATAAGATTACAATCATAGAACATTTCAAATGTACTGAAGAGCCTAGGAAGTTTCGACTCAGAAAGAAGGTAGCTTTGTAGAACTTCATCATTAAAATAATGTTTCTTAGAGATAAGGTAGCCACGGCTTTGAGAATATATTCTCGGTATTAACTGTGGATATATAACGAAGTGTTAGATGGAGTAGTGAGTTAAATAGTTCCTCATATCCTCTGAAGATATTTCTAATTTTATCGCTGATTTAATGACCCTATATCGACCAAGAACTGCTCGACGCCAAGTTGCTTTATAGCATAGGTACTTACCAGTAACGAGCTACTAACGCAACTACCTAATTATTAGACTTCTTAACACTCTTCCATTCTATTGCGAGACTGCCGATCAAAGTAAGCGCCGAGGTGCATAAACCGACTGTGAAGACTTTGGTTAGAGCACTGTTGTAGACTACCAAGACCGTCTGGAGGTATTGCGGCGGCGTAACAGACCGCAGTTGGGTTGCTCCAATGTTCGCGAGATTTGGCAGATCAACATCGCCGTTAGAAAATGCTGCCGCAAGGTCTTTGATAAGTTCATTTTGGAGCACAGATTGACCAACGGAAACGAAGATCGCTCCGCTGATTGTTTGCACCAGTAAAATAATAGATGTGCCCGAAGGTATGCCCGCCTTAGGTAGGACTGTCTGTATTGCCATATAGGGTTGTTGCTGGCCCAATCCTAAACCCAACCCTAACAGCGCCTGGTAGCCGACCCACTGGGAGAAAGTCGTATTCACTGTCCAGGTGGTCAGGAGGCCTGCTCCGACCGGGGTAATAATAGAGGCGAGTATCATCATCGGAGCATCTAACAAGAGTTAATCTCCAGAATTCAACGTCGAGGATAATATGCCTATTACTTACAGTATCCGAATTTAGTGACCAACGCTCCAGAAATCATAGCCATGATAACTACCCCCAAGACGAATGGAAGTAGTGCGATGCCGGCATCGACGGCGCTGACACCACGAACTACCTGATGCCAGAAGGGAATGTAATAGATAAACGTGAGTGATGTTCCTCCATTGCAGAAACAATTCCATGTAGCGGCAGCCATACTCCTCCTAGTTAGAATCCGGAGCGGGAACGTAGCTTCAGCACCCTTCCAATACTCAAAGATCAGAAACGTAGCCCCTAATAAGGCGAAAATGACGAATAGCGCGATGATTCGGCCATCATTCCATGGATAAGTCGAACCTCCCCACTGAAGCGCTAGTAACAAACAGACTATAGAAGGGATGAAAATCAAGGAGCCAACTATGTCAATCTTGGTCATTTTCTCCTTTAGAGAAAGAGAGTCAAGCTCAGGGCGTTTTGGAGGGTCAAAAAGAACCAGGATAGCAGCTATTGTGGCGCCACCGAATGGAAGGTTTATATAGAAGCACCAACGCCACGTGAGATGAGTAGAGAATATCCCGCCGAGTATGGGCCCTAAGACCGATGCTACGGCAAAAACAGCCCCGAGGGAACCAACAAATATTGGCCGAAATCGTAGAGGGACAGAGCTAGCAATGATGATCATTGCACCGGACGTGATACCGGCCCCTCCTAGGCCAGCGATGGCACGACCGATGATGAGAGCTGTACTGGTTGGAGCGAGGCCACAGACTAGAGAGCCGAGCTCGAAAATGCTGATCGCGGCGAGGAAGGTGTATTTGATAGAGAAATTCGCATAGACTCTTCCGTAGAAGAGCTGAAAGGTCGCCGTAGTTAAGAGATATCCTAGTTTCCCATGTTTAGTATTAAAAGGATTAATTATGTATATAAGAGTTTGATAGACACACCGCTACCGTACCAACCCACATCAGATAGTTTCTGAAAGTCATCCGAGATTCTGGGTGTGGCATTGGCTACTATTGTCTGATCCTAAGTATTTCATCATAGTCAGTTTATTTAAGAAGTTATAGAGAGAACAAGTAGCCAACTCGGGGTCATACCAACGAAACTAAGAACACGGCAAACCATAAACCTGCACCGATAGCCACAATATTTGCTAATGGTAAGGGCTTCTCGGTATATATAACCTGGTCATGGTCTTGTTCGTGTTTGTTTTCAGTATATTGATCTAGGCTATCCGTGACTTGGATGGGCTTCTCTTCCGATGCCATATTTCGTGATTGAAGTAAGATGGTAGTGAGTCGCAGTAAACAATAGACGTTCGAGGTAAAACAAGGTAGACAGTCAAGACTGGCCAATGTAAAAGAAAAAATCTCAAAGCATATATTCATATTTTATATATTACCTAAAGAGAGGAAGGGGGTCATAGTTGTATGGCTCTCATTAGTGGAATGGGAACTCGACCAATCACATAAAAGGAGAAGTCTGACAGGGTTCGCAAAGCCTTCTATATTGGGATTAGAACTACCAAACTAAGCATTTTGATTAGTTGAAGGGTATCTTTTTGAGTCTCATCTTTTTTTCTACGACGATTCTTGTTCCCTTTTCATTATATATCTCGTAATCTACGGTAATAGTTTACCGTTCGAAGCCTCTCGTGTCGCATAACAACCTCTAGGAGCTATATATTCATGCTAGCAACATGCTTACTTGTGGAGCTGATCCATCTCTACCTTCCGTCCCCCGTTCTAAGGGTTGTCTTACTTGTGTCTCTCGCAAGACGCGCTGCGGTTCGTTTTCACGTCATGTTACTACTTAATCTTTACTTTCACTACTAATGAATGACTTCTAGATAGAAGACAGCCAACTTGTAGAAACTGCGAGGAGAGAAAACAGGTCTGTCGGGGATATCGGAGACGAGATATCGTGTTCCTGAGTGATGGATGGCGAGCCCCGGGGGTTGCGGCTTCGGAACGAAAAAAGAAACTACCAGTTAGGATAGAGGAACGTGAACCCCTAGAGTCAGAAGTTTATTGTCCTGGGGTTTCTATAGCACATTCAAGTTTTCGTCCCCAGAAAAGTCCTAACGTAGACCGATGGCAATTGTACATTGCGTTTTTCCTCTCCGAATTTGGACCGGCTGTCCTGAACGGCCCTCATTTGATATTCGATCTATTTTATCATTATGCCTCGATCCCCCTATCCCAAACTTATACAGATATGATACACTACTTGTCACCAAGTAAGCCCGTCGTGCTTGCTGTCCACGCTCTTGCTAGGGCTCGCTTTGGAAGAGTCAACGCCGATTTAATATCGACACAACAAAGCGTCGAAATATATGGGATAGCTTTGAGGTTTATGTCGGCTAAGCTCGCAGAGTTGCATAATGGTGACCCGGGCTTTCGAGACCTCTCAGAGGGAGATTGGCAGCATCTTGTCTTCTTTTGTATTGTGATGGCATGCTGGGAGGTATGATCAGTCCCCCATATCCCTTGAACCTCATAGTTATTCTAACTTCAGCAAAGCTAGAAATGTTTCCTAGTTCACCTATGTGGCGTAATCATATATATGGCCTAGCTGCGGCCATTATGTCTAGAGGTACTAAGCACGCATACTCGGAAAATAATCTGAGGCTGTTAGCAGCTTCACGCTTGTTCATAGTAATACCCCTCAAGTTACTTTTAGTTAAGCACTAGAGCTGAGATGTAACAGATTTTGCAAACACTTTCATGGAGACGGCCTACCTTTCTTTCCAATCCTTCGCGACGAGGCCAGCCTCTTATCCACTCTGGATTCACGTTGGAAATAAGGGCAGCACAGCCTGAACTTAAGAATTCGATCGCGATCTTGGAAAATGACCTCTACGATCCATTGGATCTCCTAATAATGGATGTCGCTTCGGTGGCTGCTGTTGCCTCTAAATATGACCAATTACTTGCGAATATGTCTAGGGTAGCTTCTCATGGAAGCAGTGATAGCGGAAGGAGTCTAATCAATTTGCATAATGAAGCCGAAACACTATTAGTCCGAATTGAGACGCAGCTTGCGTGCTGGGACAAGACTATCTGCAAAACCCCACTGGCAGTCTGGCTTTTGAATTACCAAAAAACGAGCGCTGGGTTCTGGTCTACAGTGGAGTTAGGTCTTCAATATGTTGTCGATCCCGTTCTTTCATTCCGTTCAATGAGGGACTATCAAATTTTCACCCTCCAATGTACGGCTGTTATGTTTCTTCGGCTTCTTATTAGCGATATGCTAACCCTGACGCTCGCTACGGGACTACATGCAACCTTTATTGACCCATACGGAAATATTGAACGACATCGAGTTAAGCTCACGGGCTATGCACAGAGAGTGATGCAAACTATCGGCTATGGCGTACTCGAAGAGAGCAGGTCGGCAGCTCCCTTCTTCCTGGCAACTGCTTTCCAAATGGTGACTGTGATTACGGAAAGGGAATTCGAGATTCTTAAGGCACAAAACGGCGATAGGGATATGATAAAGAGATGCGAAGGTATGAGAGATCTGGCCATATATTATATCAACTGGGCCACGCGGGATAAAATTTCAATCAAGATGGACGTGAGCCCTCCTTATTAATCGGTACAAGAGTTGACGGCCTATGAACAAAGACCTCTTTACACTGAGTTGGGTACATACCTTAGGAGGTAGTCTAGCTTATTTGAAGTTCTGTTTTTCTCTACGAGAATGAATACTTGCTTGATGCTAGTATAGTGCACTTCAAGAGTATTTTTATTTCTAAATATGTTTTACATTGCATCTAAACCTGGTCCAACCTGCCCTCCATTTCCTAACTAGATTATAATTCTGCGCATCACGCCTTTTCCTTACCTAGAGTCTCAAGATATTGGGCAGCGACGTCGACCACCGCACTCTCAAATGTTCTCAATTTCTCGCCTAGCAGCTTCTCTACGTCGCTAGAGTCGTACTCAACGGGCAACGTCGGAACCGTACCCTTCTTAAAGACACCTTCTGCAACAGCCTTGGGGAATGCCTTAGCGACGTGATCAAATATTGTTCCGTAGTCTACCTTCGTCGCAATACCAAAGTCTTTAGGTCCATCTGCTTGTGGCTCGAGGAACGCTACGCGCAGATGGGCGTCCGCCACGTCGTCGATGTGCGCGAAGCCGCCGTGGATCGGGAATGGCAGCTCTGCGCCTACCATACCCAGCATCAGGAAATTGTTGGAGCTGTTCTGCGTCTGCATCATAGTGGCGTCGAGAGCGAGCTCGTTGCGACCAAAGACGTATCCGGGCACCACATGGGATACGGTAAAGTGAGGACTGTGCGTCTTGACGAATTCGTCCGAGTTGTGTATCTCGACTATCTTGCCCAGCACGTACGCATCAAAGACGTTGTCGAAAGTGGCGGGAACGGGGTTAGGTAGCGGAACGCGGGTTTTTGCCGAGACGGCGGTGGGAGGCGGCACGGCACCGAGATTCGCGACGATGGACGAAGTTATGATGACGCGCTTCACGCTAGGGGCTTTAAGCGCGGATGAGAGCAAGTTCGAAGATATTTTTATCGTCGGCTGGAATATCTCCGTTGTGGGCTCATAGCTCGGCAGGGGTACGGGCGAGCCGGCGTGGATGATATGTGTGACACCTTGCAGGGCCGTATCAAAGGCACCTTCAACAGTGAAGTCGGGTATGATAACCGGAGAGAGGCGTTCTCCAGGCGCAAGTCTCTGAACGGCAGGGTTTGAAGAAACTACCTTGGCTTTGTCTTCCGACCTAACCGTATAACGCACATTGTGGCCTGCGGCGAGAGCGGCAAGAAGAATGCGAAAACCAATCAGGCCAGTAGACCCCGTGATAAGAATTGTAGCTGCCATCGTGTCTCGGCTTGTATTTGGTGTATATATCTGATATGTAGTTCTAGGTATAATGTGCTTTTTTTTTATTTTTTTTTTACCGCAACGGTGGTGCTTGAGTTCTGGCCGGCTGGAAATGGTTCGTTATTACCTGGATATCACCAGCTCCTTTACTTTAGGAATACGAGTAAGAAAAGATAGGAGTTAAAAAAGGGGGAGCGATAGCGAGAGGCAGGAGAACAACCTCTGACATTTCGGTGTGCAATTGCAACGCTTTTAACGACTCCTTGTTTAGGAAATATTGTATATCCTATGCTATTCCTTCGAAGGGACCTCTCGGTAGCATCTGACGGCGCAGCTATGCAGAAGCTATGGTACATAGATCGAGGGGTCCGGCACATGCATCAAGGATGATGAGGTGCTGTGCCGAGTACGGGCGTCATGCTTTATTGGGCCAACTTGAACAATATAGTGGGTTGGTGGGTTGGTGAGTGCTTATATTTTCCTATATTACTTTACTTAATATATCTAAAGTACCTACCTTCAACTCCATTCTATTATGAATTTAATCTATTATTATGTATAACAACTCGTTGATTAGAATACAATATCCATTCAATTAAAATCATTTATTTCTATATTAACCAAGTCTTCCGTTTCAAATATTGTTAAGCTATAATAGGAAAACCACGTTTCGTCCCCACGTCCCCTCCTTATCCTTGTCCTTGTCCCTGTATTCGCCACTTTTCTCTAGACTTTCCCTCTTCGTCTCCATCTCCAGCCTAATTTTAGCGATTTTGAGCCACCCCTAGCAATAAGCGCTACAACGTCGAGTAGCATTATCGCTCTCGAAGGATTCACTATCGTATGCGTGCCTAGAGGCATTGGAGGAGTCTGGCCGACCTGTATCATCGCATCAGAAGGATTAACTTTGTGACGTTGCAATCATATCATCTAACGCGAACAGGACATGAAAGGATGGCTTAGATGGTCTTAGATGTTCTTAGGGTGGTCATCTTGAATATGATTTGGCCATTTAAATGCTTCAGCGTAGCTTACGCGATCTCGATTCGTCCTCCCCTCCTTGGGGTCTGTTCTACCGTTCTTTGCTATACCTACGTGTAGTCGTGTACCTATTAATCAAGCCTTCGGCCTGCTAGTAAACATCTGTCAGCAAGCCCATTAAATTTTTTCAAGACGTACAGGTGTTACGGTAGTTGGTCGAAAAACACTAGAAGCCTTACACAACTTCCGACGAAGCTGTTGTGTAATCACCAACAAATTAAAAAACACAATCGACAGCCTTCTAGAATTAGGTAACGTCAAATATGGCGGCGCAACCACCATCGCCAGACCAGTTTCCACCTGGGTATCTGGAAGAAGATCACGGCGGGAGAGTGATTGCCGCTGTCACCACTATTCTCGTTATAACCACAGTCCTTTTTGGGCTACGACTTTGGGCAAGAAGCCTAACAACAGCACAACGAGGATGGGACGACCATGTATTAATTCCGGCTTATATATTCTTACTGGCATTATGTGGAAGTCTGTATGGTAAGTTGAGAACCCTACTCTTTCCTCAACTCTATGCGTATTTCTCCTCGCAGTTATCATGCTAACTGCTCTATGACAGCTGAGGTATTACAGGCTGGGCTTGGTAGACACACTGTGGCGGTGGTGATGGAGGATCCCAACAAGGTGACCAAGTATCTACTGCTGCTGTATCTCTTGGATTGGTTCTACGTCCCATCCAATATGTTATCCCGAGTCTCGGTGGTCATCTTGTACCTACGCATCTTCACCGACAAGTGGGCGCGAGCTGCTTGCTGGGGCGTCATAGGATTCTTGGTCGCGAATTGCGTCGCTACTATCATCGCTGCCCAGCTCGAATGTACGCCCCTTGCATTTACTTGGGATAAGAGCATTCAGGGTGGCACATGCTTCAACCAGATACTATGGTATCAGCTTACCAACTTCCCGAATATCATAGGCGACATTATGATTATGATTCTACCCATTAGAACTGTCTGGGGACTAAAGGCCTCCGTTGGGCGAAAGGCTGGTATCGCAACTGTCTGCCTGACAGGCAGTATGTAAGTAACGGCTCTATTTCCCCTCACGCATCAGCATCTTGCTTACATCTTCTTCAGTGGTATGATAGCTTCATGTGTGCGCACTAGCGTGTTCTTTATTCACGCGGATGTGATTATGACCGACCCAACTTGTAAGAAGACCCCGACTCGTTTCCAACTCACCTACTAACCTCTCGCAGTTGCTGATGAGGCATTTTCATGGACGGCAATCGAATGTGGCATGTACTTCTCGGCCGCTTGTCTTATAGGTTTGCGGCCACTCCTTTCCCGCCTGCCGCATTTCGTCAAGAAGCGCGTTCTAAATGCCTCCGACAATGCCGGGGGCACATACGCTCACCAAACCGATAAGTTGCGTCTTGGCAGGTACTACAATAGTCAGTATGCTAGTATCATAGGCGATGACGAATTAGGTCCACGGAGTCAAGCTGAGATTCCGCTTCGGCCTACTATACCACCAGCGCACTTCGCTCGTGATCCTTACGGGAAGGATCTAAGTAAAAGCGAAATTCGCGTAGAGACGAATATCGAGATTAGGAGGGATTTCGATCGGTCTTATCCTTGATGTGTTTTCAGGCGGGAATTGGTGGGGTTATTTTCTGGTACTTTTAGCGGACTTGGAGATCGTAGCATCTCTGTATGTATAACATCCAAAAGGATATTAAAATCTCTAGCTTGGTATTATTCTAGAGTGGACTTTTTAAACATGAACATATCTTAAGACCCTTTCAAAGTAGTTAAGTTTAGGCCTAAGACCCGTGGTCTAACTGAAGCATTGCTAATTACTTAAAACCTGTGGGAAGGAGTAATGGTAACGAGGGGCATATGTAAGATTTCCACCACTTAAAGTGGGGTATTAGAATCGGTGGAGTATTAGAATCTTTTCCAATACAACACCATTCTACCCACACATCAAACCGGACGTGTAAAATATTAGGGAAGCAAAAACGTCTAGAAACAAGATGGATAAGGGGTACCTAATACGGCTGAACAGTCTATAATTCACTATCTATCCCTATGAGCTCTCTGCCGCCGCCTGCACTACTACCTTTGCCTCTTCCGGCTCCGGCTTATCAGTCGGAGCCGCGACGGCCAATTTTGCTTGGCGGTGTAATATTCTAGGCGGCATACTTCCACTCTTATTGATTGATCCGTTACGCTTCCACCGACTATTCCACACGCCGTCATCGCTTTGTCGAATATAATATCCCAAGTCTGCCGTGGGGTCCCATTCCGTCTGGGAAATACCATTACCCAACCAACTGAACCTATTCCCGGCATACTTGACCTCCCAATCATCCCAACGAGGCTCGCGGATCGCTTCAAGATAGTGCAGCGTGCTACCGGGCCAAGTAGTAGGCACACGACCACCCACCTTATGATTGTTGTGTGAATTGCGACAGTTATCCGTCCACACGGCTTTATCCATGAAACTAGCTACGTGCGCTTTGAAATCAGCACATGCAGCTACCTTCGGTGCCATGCTATGGATCGGCTCTGTTTGGTAGCGATCGATGAAGGAACAAATATAATCTGCTTGGGCTTCGATGGCAATAAGTGTGGGACCGTTAGAGACCGGCGTGTAAGGGCCTAGAAGCGTAAACGTGTTGGGAAACTCGGACGCGCCCACACCCATGTATCCCATGATGGACTCGGACCATTCCCTTTGTAAGTTTCGTCCTTCGGGACCATATATCGGATAATGCGATATATATGATGTATCGAAGCCTGTGGCGCATATTATCACATCGCCGTCGTAGTGAGACCCCTCGTTGGTGATAACACCGGATGATGTAAAGGATTCAACACCGCTATATACAGGTGTGACGTTTTCTTCTTTGAGGGCCTTATATAACTAAACTTAGCAGGATCTCCATTGAAAGAAGTATGTAACTTACCCTAAGATATCTAAAGCCAGAAGGGACCACTCGCTTGCAACCGACCGCAAAATCGGGGATCAATTTATTCCGAGACTCTTCGTCATCGAATATCTTCTCCATCTCACCCTTAAGCAGAGTCTTGCATTGCTCCTGCAACACTGTACCTTTGAGGTAAAGACCTATTCTCTATGGTTATTGAAGAGCACTGTTATTCATGTAAAGATGACATACTGAAAATACTATTCATAGTCCTTTCGTTGGTTTGTCGCAGCTCCAAGACAGTCTCGGGCTCCTCCTTGAACTTCTCAATCTCCTCTCGGGTGAACTGTCCAGCCTCGGTAGAAATATCCGGGAGTACCCACGTAGGGGACCTAATAAAGATCGTAACATTCTTGACGATGGGTTGAATGGTGGGCAGTATCTGTACGGCCGAGGACCCGGCCCCGATGAGTAGCACGTTTTTACCATCAAGCGGTATACTCCTATCATAGTTCGCACTATGGACCTTGACGCCTTTATAATCGTCGATTCCGGGGAGCTTCGGCCATGAAGGCTTATTAAGGTAGCCGCAGGCGTGGATCAAGATATGACAGGAATCGTAGGTAACCTCTCCGGTGTTCAAGTTCTTGACCTCAACTATCCATAGTCCTGTAGCCTCCACCCACGCTGTCTTCTGGACGGCATGGGATAACTTAATGTGTTTGTTCAAGTCGTATTTATTCGCGAACTCTTCAAAGTAGTTTTGGATCTCATCCGAACCGGCGTAGACAGAGGAAAAGTCAGGCTTCTGTTCGAAAGAGTATACGTAGTTGTGCGAAGGGACATCACAGGCACATCCCGGGTACCTGTTCTCGTACCATGTGCCGCCTACGCTCGGATTCTTTTCGTATATCTAAAGATTCGTCAGACTTTTGATATCATTTTCGCATTTACATCATGTTTCAAACCGTTAGAGAATAAGATCTGAACGACCGTTGGAGCTTGTATGCCAAGCATAGCCCTGATGCACCCGCTCCGACGCATATTACTTTAACATGGCGTTCGTTGTAGATAGCTTCCTCGCGTAACGGATCCATGATTGTCGCGTATAGACTAGAGCCGACGGACGAATAGGTACTTACTTTACACCCTTTACAAACCGGTTTATGTTTATACAACTTAGTTATGTAGTATTAAACCTTACAAATACTCAAGGCGGCGTAGCAATTTGATATACATATCACAACCAAGCCTGCCGGGGATATACAGGATTAGATTCATATTGATAGCTCAAAGCTTGCGATTCATGTCTTAGGCAAGAAGGATTCAACAAGGTAAACGATCCTAATGGTATATCTACTGGGTATGGTACGGCATTGGTCGAGCTAGTATATGTATGTGGAAAATAGTCCGGAATCCTGGAATCCTGGAATCCAAGCGGGTCGTTAATCAGATGTCATGGTCCCATAAAATTTCAGCAACGGATAGTAGATGTTTATAACGATGCTAGTTTAGATAGTTACATCGTTTGGAAATTTTAATAATAATTGTATGATAGTACATATCCACCTTCCTAAATCCAATGCACGACAAAGTAGATATCTACATGGGGAATCATGAAAGCTATATCCGTAGCTAAACCCGTAGCTAAACTTGTAGCTAAACCCGCTACGCCTTGCCCTGCCTCGCCCGGAACTGAGAAGAAGAAAAAATAAGGTCAGCCCACGTGTAAAGGCCTAGGCCCCTGGTAGACGTTGGAGAATGTTACTATGTGCATAGTAAGATCAGGTAGAGAAGGTAACACGGCAGATGGAAACCCATAGGGCTGAGAGCTCAGGGGATTGTCCTTGGTCGTTTTGTGTATATATGCAGAATGCAGGGATGGATCAGCCGTTGAATCCATCGTTAGTCTGCTCATTTGCCCCTGTACCTTGATGGAGACCTTGCAAGGATAACGAAAATAGAATAAATCAATTCTCATAATCCAATTGGGCAACTCGTTCTACAGCCATGCAACCTAAATGTCCTCGGGCGCATGGGCAAACTTCAATTGGCGAGGATTGATGTACGAAACAAGGCGTAGCTCACCACCTGCCTCTACGGAACATCCAATGTAGGTATGTAGTCCGCTACGCGCCCTTAACGCTTCTCGAGAGCTGCTATTGTTAGTGATAGGGTAACAGAGAATAGCGAGAAAGGAAAAAGAATGCGATGGGGTAACTATGTAAGGTACTTACAATATCGTCCCCATAGCACTCCGATAGTTAACCATGTTTACTTTAGACAGGGGGCTGACTCCACGCAGATGCGCATCAACCGCCGACATGATGGCTTCCTCGCTTCGGGCGTAGTGCCGGACAGGTAAGTAAGCCTTAACCTTGGGACTTTTGCTTCCGTACCTGAACTCCACATTATAGAGGATACCAGCTGTTCGATGATCCTTAGCGGGGAGTTGCGCGTCATCACCATCTTGATTCGGACCCTTGCCCAATAGTGCATGGTATATCGACCGTAAATCCTCTAGGCCTCGCTCCATATCCGGTAACCGAACTCGATCCCCCAAAGTCATAGCAGCCCTGACAGAGGCAAAGCTGGTATCGCGGATCCGAAAGTAGATCTTGAAGCGGGACTCGGCTGGATCCACGAGATCTATAGCCAACATGTCCATCTCTAGATGCGGACTCGACGGATCACAGACGTACTCTTGGAACACCTTCAGAGCTTGAAGCTTTTCTGGTGAGCTGCCAGGTGCAGTCTGGATCGTATCGGATATGACATCAAAGTTGGATTGTCGCGTTGCCCTCGCCTTGAATCCGGGGAAGAAGTAAGCTTTACTTATGACGCCCTCTTCTCCTAAGTCAAAGGCGTAGAATTCCTTCGACTGGTGACCTTCTACCGAACCCATTGCCTCCTCGCCGCTTAGCCTTAGCCGGAAGTGGGAAAGCCACTTCATGTTTGCTTCGGGGAGTAGCTGCAGCATCGACTTTAGGAGCCCAGAGGCGGCGTACTGGTTATTGGGATCGAGATAAGTGCCCGCGTGAACACCGACAGGTTCGATAGAAAATCGTATCTTGGGCGATTTACCACCCGTACGCCAATCCCAGCTCAGCTCTATGGGATTGTGATCATCCGTCATGAAGCTCTTCCAACGCTGTCTTCCAGGCGCGTAAGCAGCGCCTAGGCTGGGTGTAATCGCCTTGACGAATTTTAATATGTCGTACTGCGCATGGCTAGAGTATCCCGCCTTTTCAAGCAGAACAGCCAGTGCGTATCCTGAAGATCTCCACCAGTACCGCGCATGATAATCTAGATCAAGCTGAGCTTCCGAGTCTACCCTCCGGAATGCTGTTGTTGTCGGACATGAGGTTTTCGTAACTATCTGAGTCTGCTTTTGACCGTTTATCCGTAATATGAGGTTATGAAGGTAGAAGAAATACGAAAGGAATGGATGGATAAACCCCTTTAGCGGGCTGCTCCTCATAGAAATGTGCATATAAGCCATCGTGGTGAAGATGAATCTTAGCTGCGGAGAGTGAATAGAGAGGTCGTCAACATGCACCGCGATGGGTAGAATAATACTCGTAGGTCTCCCAAGGCTAAAAAACCACTGCCGTCATTCTACCTATGACCCCAGCCAGCTGGGGCAGAGCTGGGTAAGTTATATGCATCACTAGGTCTTAGCTACGGCACAAGTCCTGGATGCGCTACTGCGTTGGCGTGGCTCCTACTGCTACGTAATGTATTCAAGATCATATACATGGAGAAAATGGTCAAGATAGCTGAGCCACAGGCGAAGGAAGCTAAAAATAAATCCATATGATGGATACCCACAACCATCACCAGTCGCGTTTAGAGTGAATACGGCAATGCTCCGCATCCTTGTTACATACGACAAGGTATCTCGCCGAAGGATCATGGCAATCGGCATATAAGATCGCACTATGGCTAGGAATCCTGCCGAAAGTAGGTATTATTTAATAGTCTCTAGATATGTTACAAGAGCTCTAAACTCGCATACGCTAACTGCGAGACTCCATAGTAAAGTAAAAATGGCACTCGTTTCATTTGCCCTCGGGGCGATCGTTTTGATCGTCTACTTCCAACTACTGTATACGCGGTATCGGAAACAGCTAAACTCCATTCCCGGGCCGTTCGTCGCAAGTTTTAGTAATCTTTGGAAACTTGCCGCCGTTTACTATGAAGATATGCCCAGATGGAATATGAGCGTGCATGAGAAATACGGCCCTGTCGTACGCATCGGTCCCAACCACGTATCATTTGCTAGCCCGGATGCATTTCAGATCATTCACGCTTCACGGCAGGCATTTGCAAAGGTGAGAGGGTATTCGTCTTCCTTTATTATTAACATAAGCTAATTGTGACCTGTGGTAACTAGTCGGACTTTTATGAAGTGGGAGCCCCTGCCTACCGTGGGGAGCCACTAGAGAACTTGTTCTCGCTCAGAGATGTTCAACGCCACGCCACTCTCAGAAGGAATATAGGAGGACTATATACGAAGGCTGCAGTTAAGGACTTTGAACCTCAGGTAGACAGCTGTATCGATTTATTTATGAGGCAGCTAGCAGACAAAACTCGAGATGGGCCTGTAACTCTCGATATGTCGGTATGGCTACATCTGTTTGCCTACGACTGCCTCAGCGAGATGAACGTCTCAAAGAAGCTGGGGTTCTTAGAGAGGGGCCAGGACGTAGGCGGTACTATCGAGTCCTCCGACAAAATATTCTTCATGGTCGGACTGGTATGTCTGTTGCGGCCCGTACTCTTGTTATCGCGTCTTACTAAGGTGATCAGTTTACCCAGGCACCCATCCTCCAATGGCTGTTAGGATTTCTCAGATCTCTCGTGCCAGCGGAAGAGGCGGAGCCAGTATTAAAAGTAAGTCTACTTGGCCCTACTACCGACTTACGGGAAGTTAGCGCTTATTGACGTACCCCAGTTTACACTCAATGAGGTAGAGGCCAGGAGAAAGTCACATCAGACACAGACGGATATGCTGGGTAGATTGCTCGACCTTCATCTAGAGCAGCCAGACAAAGTCTCCATAAGAGACCTTACAGCCGCAATATTCATCAACCTGTACGTACTATAGCATAATCCCATAGTTAGGTACTTACACATCGCTAGCACGGCAGGACATGATGTCTTAGCAATTACCATCCGCGCAATATGGTATCACCTTGCTCAGAACCCTCGCGTCCTAAGCAAGCTACGAGCCGAAATACAAGCCGCTACTAACGAATACTCGGCCTCTTCTATCGTCCCTTTCTCCGCTGTTGCTAAACTACCGTATCTGTAAGCTACCATTCTTCCTTTCCGCCTGACTACGATGATTTGGAATGCTAATCACCGGGATTTACTTGAAGAAACGCCGTCATACAGGAAACATTACGCGTTCATCCCAACACCGGTACGATCATCGAACGTAAAGCACCACGAGAAGGAGCTACTATAGACGGGTATCATATCCCCGGGGGCACCACCGTTGGCGTTAACGCTTGGGTCCTTCACTATAATAAAGAAGTTTACGGCGAGGATGCCGACCAGTTTCGACCCGAGAGATGGATAGAGGCCACCGAAGAGAAAAGCCTAGAGATGAGCCGGTGTCTATTTTCTGTAAGTATAAACCAATACCCTCGAGTCCTGATATTTACATTTTCCAACTTACTATGGGTTTGAACTAACTCGACCCTTTATGGATAGTTTGGGGCTGGTACGCATACTTGTATCGGAAAGAACATAGCCATATTGATGATAAGTAAGCTGGTGGTCGAGTTTTATCGAAGATATGATGCCAAGTTAGCACATCCCGATCAGGGATGGAAAGTCCATGGTAGCTGGGTCACCAAACAGACGGGGATGGACATGATAATTAGCAGCCTATAAATAGATCCGAATATCTACTTTCCATTAGCCCATCAGTTCCCCCTCCCTATCTTCTTGTTTCTAGTATTCTTGTCGAAATGGCGTGGGCTACTATATTGTCCACCAGCGGCCTCTTATTGGGGACCTCCTCTTGGATACTTCGTTGATAACGCTTACCTTTATCGTCGCAAAATTAGTGAGCTTCGTAAGAAAGGCATTTACCCTCCATTATTTACAATCTTTGGCCCTGACTCCATCAACCAGATTTGCAATAAAACTTACCAAAGACGGACGTTACTTTCATCTTCATGGAACCGATGACCGGAGGTCCTAACCTTTTAACTATGAATGGCGAGGAGTGGAAATACTGGAGATCTTTGTTTAATCATGGTTTCAGTACTGGAGCCATGCTTAACAACGTTTCTTATATTGTCGATTCGACGCTCGTCTTTCGTGAGAAACTAGTGATGGTGATTGGGAAGGGTATGTTTTCCTTAGATGAATTCACTACTAAGATGACAATGGAAATCATTCTGAAAGTTATGTTGTGAGTATTAGAAATTGATTTTCCCATATTTCGCTAATAAGAAAAGACATGATGATTCAAATTACCACGTATCACCTCACGTCCTCTCAACCGCACTTGACTGTATTGCGACCTGGCACTCCTCGACCATTTATCTAGAAGTATAATGGGTATGTCATGGACAGCTATATCCGTAAGTTTCTAGAGAAGCGGTTTGAGGAGATCAAGAAATCCCCATCTGTAGATGACTCGAATGGAAATTCTAAGTCGATTAAATCTGTCATCACACTTGCCCTTGAAGCATACTTGGGTTAAATGCGAACTACGGATTCTCTTCGAGTAGACAAGCTTGATAATTGGTTTGCTGTGACACCACGGTCTTCATAGGTATAATACAAGTTACTTGATTTACCCCTTTTGTTTACCCTGGGCGCTATTAACTCATCCACAACAAATTTCCTTGCTTTTCAGATGGAAGTTCTCCGGTCTTCCATATCCTTTACAACAGCTTAGAGCTTTTCACTTACACTTCTACCATCTCGTCTCATACAATCCCAAATGGCTACTCCATAATCTCAGCAGAAAGGGGTGTCCTTTTGGTTAGTCATTGCCTCTCCATGTCTCATCGCTTTCACGTCGTCCCTCAACGAATCAATCCTCGCCATCGCCCTTCCGGAAATCTCATCTTCCCTGAACATCGGTGACAAATATGTCGAAGTGGCCAATTGCTTTGTCTCTGCCCAGACTGTCGTCTAACCTGGAATAGCTCAGCTACGTAATATATTCGGACCCCGTTGACCCATGATTATCTCCGGTTGCGTATTCGCACTTGGTAGCGGAATCGCCGGGGGCGCCAATGACATTGTCATGATGATTGCGGGCCGCACAGTCCAGGGACTAGAAAGTGGTGGAATTATGCTCCTGGTGGAACTGATCGTTTGTGATTTGGTTCCGTTACGAGAAAGAGGATCATATCTTGGTATCGTCTTGTTCATTGCTGCGCTGGGAGCAATCGTGGGACCGGTGGTTGGCGGTGCTCTTGTGGACAGAGACTGGCGTTGGTGTTTCTATCTTAACCTTCCCGTCTGCGCCTTAGCTCTCCTGGTTCAGCTCTTCCTTCTCAGAATTAAGCACGTCAAAATTGGATGGAAATATATAGTCACACAAGTGGATTGGTTTGGTAATTTTATCTTCACCGGTTCGATTACCTCTCTCCTCATCGGCCTCACTTTTGGCGGGACAGTATATCCGTAGTCATCCTGGAGAATCATCGTCCCTATTGCTGTGGGTTGCGTGGGTTGGTTATGCTTCCACGGGTATAAGTATCTTATCAAGGACTCAATTCCCTGCGTACCACCGTATGTCTTCTATAATAGGACTTCAGTCGCCGCGTTCTGCATGATCTTCGTCACCTCTATGCTGCTCCAGTGGATCTGTTTCTTCTGGCCAGTTTACTTTCTCGCCGTCCGCGGAACGGGTCTTACGCAGACAGGCGTCAATCTTTTGCTTTATTCCTACTCATTCCAGGGTCTGCTGTCGCCGGTATCGTACTCTTTAAAACGGGTTATTACCGCCCCTTACACGCCATCGGCTTCGTTCTGAACACCTTGGGACCCGGATTGAACACGTTGCTGGATAGAAATACGTATGCGGGTGTATGGGCTATGCTCCAGATCGTAGACGCGCTAGGTCGTGCAATGATCCTTCTTACAACACTTCCTGCGATCTTAGCAAGCCTACCAGAGGAAGACGTCGCCGCAGCTACAGGAGTGTCTTCATTTCTACGTAACTTTGGCTATGTTTGGGGAAGTACAATTCTGGGAATCATATTCAACAATCGTTTTAGTCAACTTTCTTACCAAATTTCGGATCCTACTGTAAGGGATGCCTTAGGAAATGGAAGAGCATATGAATTTTTGAGCGGTTCGTACGTACAGATGCTGAAGCCGGTTCTGAAGTCAGAGATTCTAGGTGTGTATTTGGAAGCGCTGAAAGTTGTTTGGTATGGGGGGCTATGGCATTTGGCGCTTCGGGTTTTATCGCAGTGCCGATTGAGAAACATGTACCACTGAGAATAGAACTGGAGACAGAGTTGGGACTTTGGGAAATGAAAGAAAAAAGGGAAACTTCCGGAAAACCCGACGATGCTAATGAGAGAGGCCGTTGTAACATATAATTCACTCAATAACTACCTTCAGGGTAAGTAGCTAGCCACATGTGTTTATCCCAGACACCTATGTCCTACAATCACAGTATTAGTAGAAATAAGCGACGAAGCAAGTCACAAGGAGCACCACGAATGGCGTGGGAATTTGTACTTGAATGTAATCCGATTGCGCTACCCCCCCCAACCCAATCCAAAACCCCCGTCCAAACGCCCATAGCCTATGCAATAACCAGAATAATATATCTCTAAGCAAGCCGTCATTATAACCGTATAGATTTTCTGCTCGACTGAATCTGACAATGATCAGTGGATAGCCCCATCACTATTTTTGCCAACGGTGCTTGGGCTGTTCAAATCGATGTCATCATCTCTTAGTTGCCTTGCATCGTCGTCCTCGTCATCACTCATTAAACCTTCCAACTCAAATTCCTGAGCATCTCTCACTGGTATATTTCCGTTTACTCGAGGCCCTAATCTACCATTTGCTACTTCTTTATTAGGGAGGCTCGGAGCACTATTCCGGTCGTAGACGCCGACAAGGACATTTACGAAGAGGAATAGTAAGAAGGCGAGCGAATACAATATTAAGATATAGGCAACATGGTCCATGCCCGAAGAAGCGACCAGAGACATCTGCTCCTCCGTAGCACCCATAAATAAGAATCCAGAGGCGTAAAGCAACTTGATTACACGTTAGTAAGACAAGCCCTTTTATTATAGTAAACTGGAAGACTCACAAAGACGGGGACATATTGGAAACTAGTTGTTTCGCGGCCATCCTCAGACGAGCCAGGTCGATCCCGAAGCACAAAGGATATCTCAATGATACGCGTGACACCAGCCGCCATGAGGGTATATCCGAACATCTTATGGGTTTCGGCGCTGATCATCAACTCTTGGGGATGAGCACTCATCGCCCATCCGGTGATCAAGAGGACGAAACCCGGGATGAAATTGCGCTGAGGTCGACCATCACGGTCTCTGCTCAACCAAACTCCAGCCAATCCTGCAGACCACCAGATTATACCCATCGCGGTATGCTGCCAGTCGTTCTTCACCCACTCAGTTCCCCATCGGTGTTCAGTAAAGGTATTAACTACTCCCCAAGCGGCGATAACAGCACTGTCGAAGAACTCTTGAGAACGTCCGGTACGCCTTAACCAAAGCTGCCCGACCAGCAATAGCAATGTTAAGAGGATCCCGTAAGCGACGAAAGCGCTTCCCATAATAAAGTGCGCTAGGCATTGGCCGACGTGATCGCCCTGACAAAAACCGAGCGCCGTAATACCGCCGAAGAGCATCTGCGTCCACGAGAGGACAGGCAACGCCTTACCAAGTATCCCATGCCCAATCTTTACGAACCGCCTGATCTTCCCATTTATACCCTTCTCGAGATGTAACTTCAGGTAAATACCCATGAGAATTTGCAGGAAAAGCAGCAGCGAAATCGGCGACGCGAACTTGGAGTGGACGTTGGAATGCCGAAACTCGCGGCCGCCGTGCATATGGCCTAGGGCATATCCGACGATCGCCAATGCTGTGCCGAGCACCTGGACGGGGACGTGCCATCGGGATTTGACGATCTAAAAATGGAGAATCTAGTCAGAATTCGGATTAACGGCGGAGGGGAGTTCGAGTATATGGATAACGCATACCCCAAGAACCATCCCTAAGGGAAAGATGATGCCCCAAGCAAACATCTGCAAGAAGATATGAATCCATAGCGTCGTGTCCTATATGAACTATCAGTTTCCGGCGCTTCCGCCATAGCCAAATCGATCTTAGTTAATTGACAGGACATACAATCGGATCAACCGAAATGGTCTGGCCATCTTCAATATGCGTGGAACTGTGATCGTGCGCGGAAGCCATAGGTAACGCAGCTAAAACTAGCAAAAATGTAGGTAAAGGAGAAGACGAAGTCATCTTGGCTTTCTGAAGGAGCCGCAATGACATGATGCGTTTCGGAACTATAGTCTGGGTCCAAGGCTGATCTGAATCGAACCCCTGGAGGGAACCGTGTTTCGACTATCAGGACAGGGTATCTAAAACGATAGCTGGACTCTAAATGATAATTGGACGGCAGTAAGAGTCTATAAGTAGCTTAAATCCGCCCATTACGAAGGCCAAAGTTTCGCACATCTGAACTTGGTAAAGCCACGTGAGAGTAAAAGACTACGCGGTCCTTTTTAAGCTATAGTGGCTAATATCATTAAGGTAGTATTAAACTACCTAGATTTAATGGACAAGCCACTATCCGACTTTTAGTTTAGCATGTGGCTAATACAACATTAATAAAAACAAAAATCTATAAAATCCAATGCCAGGATTTTAGACATGTGTAAGACTTTTGGCCCCAACCTTTGTAGAATTCCCAAGTATGGGCCGCAGTTTTTCGAGATGTTTAGGTAGTTTAAAATGTTTGATGATCTGATTGATTGTGTTGAGATCGTGGGAACACTGAAATTAGGAATTCTAGGTCACCTGATACGGCTGATTAATCTTACACCTAGGTACCTCCTAATCTAATGTGTTTTACCTATTTTTATGTTCTCGCCTACTTCCGTCAGTAAAGATGGTATCCTCTCCCTATCCTCTTGTCCTGCGCTACTTGTTGCGCGTGTTCATTCCTATACTAGTATCTTTATGATTAGTCCTGTACTAACTTGTGCCTTCCTATTCATCGTCTCCAGTGTGCTTACGCTTCTATGGCCGAGGACTCCTCCCCATTAGAGGAGACGGGGGCGTATCTAAACTCACGGACAATCCTTGTCGTGTTGGACGTTCTTTGGGAAGGGTATTATCTACGAATTCCGCATCGTCGGTAGGTTCCCCGAGGTTGCTTGTCGATCCGACTCTAGTGCTAGGATTCGAAGGTGCTAGTAAATTTTGCAATGGAGGACTGGAAAGTCCCAGCGAAGTTCGCAATGGAGATGGCGCCATAGGTTATGATAGAGTGAGACGATAGGTTAGGTGATGGTTGATGTGGCTCCTAGGGCAGAGGTTCTGTCCAAGTGTGCTGGGGAGGCTGCGTCTAAGGTGGCGTCCAAGCTTGCACCGAAGGCTGCTGCGACTGAGGTCGTGTTGGAGGTCGCATCTGTATATTCAGGTCTGTTGCCATATGAGTCACGAATTACTGTCGGGTTTTCAGAATTGGACTCGAGACCTTTCTTCTGCGGACTCTATCCCTTGCCCATCTTCGCTATTCGCTGCTGGAGGAATATCCTAGCTTTCGTAGAAGGCGAATTATGTCAGTCGGACTCGACCTACTACCTTAGGAACTTCTACGGGTCTAAAACTTTCAGTGGAGACTACGACTAAGAAAGGCTTATGGAGAGCCGGTGTATCAGGCTCGTGGCCGCCCGAAATGACATGCTTTGCCAAGATCTAGCCTACGACACGGCCGGTATAATAGACATACTGACCGTCCTGTAGCCTCACCCTAGCCATGGGTGACGCTTCTTGGTTCTGTTGTCGAAGAGGGCAAAGATGAAGAATTGGTATGATCCCTTCCTCGAAAGGCCGGGTATCATCTCGACGATTGAGGTAGAAGTGAAATTCTACCGAAACCCCTTAGTCTGTTGGGAAAGCTATCGCCGTAGTGTCCAGCTTGATCAAGCCAGAATCGAGCGTTGGACATGGACGCCTTAAAAATGAGCATAGAAACCCACGATCCTGTACTGGTATAGCGTCCGGGCCTGTAAGACGAGGTGCAGGCAATATTTTTCACACTTAGTATTACTCTTTTCCATATTTCTCGTTTGGCTGCTACTTACTTCTGGATACTCGCACCTGACGCTGTAAGTAGCCCTTGCCAGCTGTCCGTGTTCGTTAGTGTGTCTCGTGGTGCTGTTCTGAAAGACCAGGGACTCAGGGAGCCTGATACGTGGACGATATCGCCCTGCTCATATAGAGAAGCGTTTGCAATCCATATGTAAACGTTTAGAACGAGTTGGACGGGCTCCTTAAATTTATGAAGTGAAAGATCAGTTTCCACGTCGCAAGGGCTACCCCCAACACAGAAAACCAGAACAGAGTTACCATATTTAATGAATTGTTCGTCTCGAGTCTGCGACACAGCAGGGAAATCGTGGATAAAACTAACATCCAACGCCGAGCCGGTATACAAGGATGCTCTTCGATCAGATCGCGTCGGGATAGAAGGGATAGTTATGAGAGATCGAATATGTCTAAGTGTAGTTGTGTAAGATGTTCTTCCGTAAAAGTTACGGTCAATCTGGTATCAAGAAGTGATAGGACCTGTTTGGGATTTCCTGCAGATCATATATCAAACTATCTGACTATATTCTTTCTCGGGACACTCGCCACGCGGACAATCCACGTTCTGCTATATGAGCATCTCTGTTTGCTTCTTTGAGATCCCAAAATCCACCCCATCCGTCTGTATTTTATGTCGGTGTGTCGTTTACGAATTGGGTTGCAAATGGCGGCTTGGGCAGGTGTGAGAATGATTAAGCCATACCCTCGAGAGGGCAGTTCTCAGACGGGTGCGATAATGGTGCTCTATTAGGCCGATGTTCTTTAAGGGAGATAAATCAGGTATCTTAAGATCGTGCAAAGTCTACAGGAGAGGCGGTCTGTCGTGTCAACTTCTCCTATGCATGTCGTCTCTGCATATAATAATCGTAAATCTTAAATATCGTATCTATAATCATGCCTTATTTTACATAACGTATCCAAAACTACAGAAATGCTTCGCATCAACTTCCAGTACCATCCAGTAGAAATATTGATGCGTATCTTGATTCCGTGACATTTCCTATCATAGACAGAGACAATAATCTTGCTACTGAAACGATAGACAAAGCCACTCACCACCTCGACGCACATTTCCAGTCCAAGAAGGAATCTTCGGACAAGAAAGCATTTCTGGAACCTGTAAGCAACTCGTAGAAAGAGGAATTCATCTCGGACTTTTGGAAATGTCATGATCTGCTTGGCTTTGTTCATCCCTTGGGAGGTCTCTCGCGAACGAAAGTCACCCCCTTGAAAGTGTGGGGTAAGCCTCTCGAGCCTCTTCCTAGTCGATTGAAGTTCATCAACAATAACCTGGACTTTCTCCGAAAATCTAAATAGGATGCAATTCGAGATCAAAAAGTTCATGAAGCTCATTTTGGGGAAGTAGCGGGTCTACGTTCGACCTAGCTCGACGAGAATTATGCCGGTTTTGACGAGGAGGGGGGAGGAGACGACCTAGCCGAGGAGCAGAGCGATGCCGAGGCGATGAAAGTATTTCCGACCAAGTCTTGAAGTGTATTCGTGAAATACAGCTGAAAGGCACGCCGGTCTTCGAAGTGAACGTTACGCACCTCCTCAATACCTTCAGGGCCGCCGGTTTGGAGAATATACTAGACTTGCGTTTTATAGGGCCTTATTTTCCGAAGCAACCTAAGGTTGTTTGTGGTTAGGGTGGCATTTGAATCAAGTCGTCGGTATATATAGGATCAAACGAAGCAATGGAGAGATCTGGACAGGTTAAATAAGTAGAGATTAAAAGAGGTTTCCCGCGAAGTAGATGACAAAAGCCCGTTTCCCGCTCTGAAGGACGATTCGGACATGCTTGGCATGAATGATGACCCGATCGCACCCTGTCGAGCGGCGCAGTGACACCCCGAAGACCTCGAGCCACGTCCGACGACATTGAGTATCGAGTATTTCCAAGGAAAAATTAAGGAGGCACTGGGAAAAGCGTAGTTGTTCGCACGCTCATCGAAACGTTCCACTTAAGGAACGAACAAAGGCAAATTAGAGTTACGGAGACTTTGGGTAGTGCCAACGCCAATATTTCAACTGTACGACTATTCACTCGACAGTCAACCTTCTTTCTACACGCACCATGCCGATCAAACAATAGATGGCTTAGAAAGAGGGGGACATTTTTATCGTTAATGAATGCAGTATGATGTTTAGAAAGAACCTTTATTCTATATATCGCAAACTCTAGCAGGCTCATGAACAGTTTGATTTAAATTTTGGAGGTCTTGATGTAGTGGTTCTTTGCGGGGACTTTTACCAGTTCCAGCCTGCTACCAGTACGATCCTCTTTCCGAGACGAGTTACGAGCATAGCTACGCTCGAATGTACGGGTCAACTACGAAATCCAAAATAATTACTTCCTCAGCGATCAACTTTGGAGCTTTGTAGACCGCTTATTCTATGATGGATGCGTCCATTATGAAAGTTTCAGCTTATTTTACCTTTACGAAACGCATGCCTATTGCAGTTATAGAAAACGACTTACAAGGACTCAAAATAGTCAATGGGATAGAATACATAACTACAGGCTTCGTTCCGAACCCTCATGCTTCTACGTTGTTGGATCAGATATCCTCTTGATTACACGTCTACCAAAAGTCATTTTCGTGTCGTCGAAAACGATAAAGGTCATGCGATTACACGGTCTAGATCTTGGGATTTCGCCGCTGTTTCCAAAGAACATCAAAGCAAGCCAAAACCGTACGTCCGTACGAATAAGTTTCCCTTTCACTCGCACGCTTACCATAATCAAATTCAAAACATAGGGGCAGATTTTGCAACGAGCGTATGTAAACCTGACGTCCCGTTAGTCAGGTAGGAAAGGGGCGGGCTTTGTGGCTACTTGTGTCCAACTATCCAGGGCTATCAGCCTCGAAAATCTTTATGCCCTACCAATCCAGACCACTGGTGCCAGTTGAAGTTACCATTCCGGATATTCCAAGAGATAGAGAGACTAGGTAAGTCATATGAAGAAACTATGGGTTCTTTGGCATAACTTTGAAACATTCGTCGTAGCTATTCAACAGCAAAATTTACTTTTAGAAATCGTATTCCTGTTTTTAAGCACGTAAAAAAGAATGTAATAGTTTTATTATCCTACAAAGTACTCGGCCTTCCTACATGACCTACTATAGGACCTCGATACGGTGTTTAATCCAAGGTAATCAATTCGAGGCCATGGTTTTCATACGTATCTCAGCACATGATAACCGGCCTCGGCAAACGACTCTCGTAACTCATGAATTAAGTAGTTTAGTGAACAGGGAAGAAGGGGGAACTGTTACCTCCATCAGTTGCACGTTCTGTATCGCGTGCCTTACGCTGGTTGCTTGGCAATGCGGGATAGAACCCTAATGGGAATCCATTGCCTGGTTCTTGTACGGCATCCGGATCCGTCTTTATCGTCTCAACGGATTTAGATAAGTTAAGCATACGACTTTGATCAAGACTAGGCGAAGAACTACAGCTTCCTTCTCGGGCTCGTCTAGAAGTTATCCTAATAAAATCCCTAATACCGACATAAGAGAAAGACAATCGTCATTTCTTAACTGGGTAGTGACGATCTCAGGTGTCATATGTGATCTTGGGACCTTTTCCTTACTCGTCCTTCGGAACGCTCTCGTCGAGCTCGTGACGCACTTCGGTCGGGGGAGAAATATCATCGGTATCATCGCATTCGGAAGCTTCGTCGCTGGACCAGTCATAATCATATATGCTGCTCGAGGCCATTTCCGACGGAGATAAATATCCGTCTTCTTCCATCTCACCGAACGCAAGGTATTCATCATCTTCTTGCTCATCCATTCGCGGCCTTTTTCTACCCGAAGAGGCAGGCGGAGCGAATCGTGGCGAATAAAGGCGCGAGCTGCCGCTACGAGATATGCAAATTTCTGGCGTGCTTAACGTGTCGACGCGGTAATCGTACTGGTCATTTTCGATCGAAACCAGGTATTTCACAAGAAATTTTGATTGCGTTCCAAAAATAGTCATGATATGTTCATTATATATAGACCATGCGAAACGGATGAATAAGAACTTGGCAGGTACCCCTTGCAACTTCTTGATCAGCGTGTTCTGGTATTTATGGATATTCTCATAGCCTCCGCTACTCTCTGGGCCTGCGCGAGTGACGTGAACGGCCGGTACAAGTGAGGGATTTGGGGAAGAAAGTTAGGTAACCATGATCCCATTGGAAATGAAGGTCTTTTCGCAAGGGAATCTTATTCTTCCAAATCTCTAGGATACCTTTACTTTCGTCGATAACCGCATCACGGACATCTCTTCTGATATTGTTCTGCTTGGCCCATCTGCCTTCCGACTTGGGGATGATGTGAGCCTTTTCAACCGCGTTGTAAACGTTGGAGATGGCGCACGGTTCGGCGTCTCGGGCGTGAGAGGGTGTTACGTCGTTCGGATCCAAAGGAACTTCTACTTGCCGCCAGGGCAGAGGTATTTCTAGAGGGGGTTTCCAATCATCGAAAGTTGGGATGATAGCATAGTGCTCACCACGAGCGGATGGAGTCTCGGCCGCGGAGTCAGGGATTACGAAGAAGTAATCTCCGGCCGGAAGGATATCGTTTACGGGTACGGCGATACGACCATCTATCGTTTGCGTCGCAGATAAGAAAGGGCCGTTTGCGTTTGTGCAGACTCTGCCTTCATTGGCCTGCATACAGTTGTCCGCCAAAATGCAGCACGCATAATATACCATCAAATATTGGGCACCACCGTCGGTCGTTAGGAATTCCAGCATAGGGTTGTGCCCTTTCGTGTAAGGATAGTAAGGATGGTAGACGGAGACACTATCTAAGAGACGCATATTGACAGCGTAGCGAAGAGGTTCTGGGTCTCGAAGTGGTCGCATATCATCGGGATATGAAGCTTCGGTATCAGGCGCCGATATCGTATTTGCTTCTCAAGTATCCGCAAGGGTAAGATGTCCGGATGCATCAGCAGAACCGGATGCTTCCGCAATATCGCCCGGAGAGTCCGACGTTGTTAACCGCTTTTAAATAGGATGTTGGGATGGAAAACATGCACGATTTCCAGATAGTACGAGGTGGATTAGGTTGTATCTCTGCCAAATCACTTGACGTAAACTTTGCTGATATACGAAGTTATCACAATCTCTGGTAACCCCGAACTTTTTCCATTTTATCAACTTTAAGCAAACAACCGAACCTGCTTGTCCCTCGAACGCTGTAGATCCGTTGCATGTACGCACGGAGGCACTGTACAATTGAAACATGCCTTTAAGTATGAGGTACCTTTAAATATTCAAGTCATGGACGACTTGATTTGGCCCCGAAAATAGTCCCCAATCCCCTTTACTCGCTATTGACGTGTATCTCATGTTTTAAGACTATCTCCCCATCTAATTCCCGGAGGCATTTTGTCTTGAAAAGCCCCTTACTATCTACTAGGCTTAACTGATCTCTAAAACGTTCATGTAATTCCCGGGTAGTGTCTTTGTGAGGCCATATGCGATCATATCGCTTGATTTAACGTAATTGATATGCGTCCCCTTTCAGCCTCTTGCCGCAGCCAGCGATTGTATATCGAAGTGCCTCGGCTTAGTCCTCAGGTTCTCGATATCCTTATTTACTAGGCCTATCGTCTGCTTATTATCACAGCTAATAGCAATCGTGATTGGCTTAAATTGACTCCAAAATCTCGGATTAGCCGAGTAATAATTTGGCCTCCGCTGTAAACGGTCACTGTATCTTGTTTATTGGCCCTCCTCCTGAAAGATACGGTATATGAGCTGTAGTTGTATATTAACTTGGTCTACCAACTGTATGAGTGAGGAGGAAGGTCCTTCTTATACATTCCATGCCGAGATACCATGTACTGTACCTGAGAGTAGTCCCTTGACCATTCATTTCAACACCTCCATATTGTCCCTCCGAATAGTCTCATCACGTATGCCCAGGAGCTCTTCCGATCGAGGGTATTGTCGGCGAATGAAGCATCGCTAGCAGCTTCGAAAGAGTTACCTCCTCTTAACTGTAGCGCCTATCCCCTCGTATGCTTGAGATATCGGATTAGGCAATCGGCTGTTTCGTAATATTTCGGACCAGGATTATTAAATCTGGAAAGCCGTAAAGCTACGAAAGTTATATGGGGTCGGAAAATTAAAGGTAGCCTCCTTTGAGACTACCCCTTCGTAAGGGAGTAATTCCTCTTTCACCATAGGCGTGGCAGGGGCTCGACTTGAGAGTCTCGTAAGGTTAGTTATCTTGTCGATATACGCAAATAGACTTGGCCAAATTAGCTGCCTTTTGCGGTGCCTTATTTCCCTAAGAACCACTGTAAGTCATCACTCTCAGTGAGATAGCCTACTTGTGTTGCCTTGGCCTTGGGGTATATTACAATATCGTCCACATGGACAAACAGTAAGATCCCGTTATTCGTGAATGTCAGGATTCTAGATGAGACATCTAGAACAAAGAACAGGATTAGTATGTAGACATAGAACCTCTTAGGTAGTTAGAGTTCCTTGTAGAATAACGAATTGTTTCCATGATGTTCGGTTCCACCTCGTGACAGTGAAGACATAGGGTTCCTGGGGAATAGGCGTAAAACCCAGGTTTTCAGGGTCATAATAAACTCCTCTTGACAAAGTAGAGGGAGTCCCTTGACCCATATAGCGCCTTGAGTAGCTTTAATATATTGCCCGACTTTTGGTAGCTTGGAGGCATCCTCATAAACACGTCTCTTTCTAGCCTAGCGTTATCAAACGCGTGAACCGCGTCGTATCGAATCATTTCCAAGTCAAATCTAGTCGCTATCGCCATTAATGTCCTAAACGACTTTCCTACTAGACCTCCCCGCCAGGGTTGAGGCGTATGTCTTTAGTCCCTAGGAGTTGATGGTTGCTTCGGACAACTGATCTAGCCTTGGATTTCTGGAGATGGCCGTGTTTATTAGTCCTATATACCCACATGATTAAGGGTTGCTTGCGGCACCTTGGGTCGCGCCTCGAGATTTCTTCCCAAGTTTTCATGGTGACTTTCAAAGTACACCCTTTCAGTCACTTCAAATAGCGCCTTATAGGGGAATGTTTGATATCCCCATATTGTTTAAGTGGTTCCGGGATGTCCTTTTGGTACACTTTTACTGGTCTTTACCCATTGGGACTCATTCTTAGACTTAATAGTCCGGGTAACCGGATTACATCGAGGAGATTTACGGAGTAGCCTTCTTTCAGCTATCTTATCGATGTCTCGTCCTTAATAAGTCCTGATTCGGCCTCCTAATCTACCTGCGTTGAACGCGGCTTGCCAGGTCTCGGCTTGCGGGGTCTAAGTCACTTTGGGACTTGAAATCTCAAATAGGCTTAACTACTCGCCAATAGGCTCATTCGATAGTGTTTGGTCTAGGATACCGAAAAGTAGTGGTCTGGGGCCGGTAGTACGAGTATTCAACTCGACATGTGAAATCTCATACTAAATCCTGTCCGCTGCGCAGCTATATAAACTCGAGAATTATTAAACAGGGCAAGGACCTATAAGTCCCGTACTAGACTCATTCGATAGCGCTCGGTTTGTAATACATAATAGTAGTAGTTTGAAACCAATATGGTCAATATTCGACTCGACATGAAAATCCCATACTAAATCCTGCCCGCTGCGCAGCTATGTACACTCACGAATTGACAAACTATACGAGGGCTTACAAGACCCGTACTAGGCTCGTTCTGTATCGCTCAGCATAAGGTACCTAATGATAGTAGTCCAAAGCTGGCAGTACTAGTATTCGACTCGACATACAAATCCCATACTAAATCCTGTCCGCTGCGCAACTATATAAACTCGAAAATTGTTAGACCAGGTGAGGGTCTATAGGTCCCGTACTAGGCTCGTTTTATAACGCTAGGTCTAGGGTATCTAATAGTGGTAATCCGAGGCTAATAGCGTTAGTATTCGACTCGACATGTAAAATCCCATACTAAAACCCGTCCGCTGCGCAGCTACGTAGACTCACAAATTGTCAGACTACGCGAGGGCCTATAAATCCCGTGATAGGGTCGTTTCATAGTTCTTGGCAAGGGGAATCGCTGCCCGTAACTCTCGGGTCATATACTCAACGTCCGACTTGACATGTACATTCCATACTAACTCATGTCAGTTGCCTGGGTAGGTACAGACTCGTGAATTGTTAGACTATACGAAGGCCTACAACTCCTGTAATAGGGTCGTTTAATAGCCTTTGGCAAGAGGGAATCGCTGGTAGTGGTCCGAGGCCAATAGTCTTAATATTCGACTCGACATGTAAATCACGTCTGCTGCTTAAGGGGGTATATGGACTCGCGATTTTTCATATTCCGCGAAGGCCTATAAGTCCCGTAATAGGCTCATTCTATGGCATTTGGCAAGGGAAAACCGATGGTGGTAGGTTCGAAGTCATATACCCAACATCCGACTCGGCATCCAAATTAGTATGGTAAAAACCTTCCGCTGCGGAAGCACATATACTCGAAGATTATAATTCAACGAAAATGGCTACTAGACCTGTCATAGGCTCGTTTTATAGCCCTCGGGGAAGAGGAAGTACCGGTAGTAGCTGTTAAATCATATACCCGACGTCCGACTCAACATCCAAATTAGTATGGTAAAACCCGTCCGCTGCGGAAGGACATACACTCGAGGATTATAATACAACAAAAATAGCTACCAGACCCGCAATGGGATGGATTTAAAGCTCTTGCCAAGCACTATCTACCTACGATAATCCTTTAGCCATCCAATGAGTATTCGACTCGACATCAAAATTACTATGGTAAAAGCCGTCCGCTGCGCAAGCATATACACTTAGGAATTATAATCCAACGTAAACAGCTATTAGACCCGTTATGGGACGGTTCAATATCCCTCTCCTAGCCCTACGTTCCTATCATAGTCGTCTAGTCATGTACCCAATATTCAACTCGACATCCAAATTAGTATGTAAAATACCTTCCGCTGCGTAGGCACATACACTCGAGAACCATGCCCCGAGACAAGCACCTATCAGACCCGCCATATGATGATTCTACTACCCTCACCGAGTACTACCTATCTGCTATAGACTTCCGGCTATCCACCTAGTATTCAACTCGACATCGAAATTACTATGCAAAAACCCTTCCGCTGCGCAGTCATATATATTCGAGAACTATGCCCTGAGACAACGACTTGTCAGACCCGCTATAGCATGGATCCATCACCCTTACCTAGTACTACGTACCTATTATCGTCGTTCAGTCATCTGCCTAATATTCAACTCGACATCCAAATTAGTATGTGAAAACCCTTCCGCTGCGGAGACACATACATTCAAAGACTATACCCCGAGTCAAGCACTTATGAAGCCCGTACCAGGCTCGCTCGACAGCCCTCATCTATCCCTACCTGCCCATAGTGCCGCCCTAGATATCCACAGAGTATTCAACTCGATACCCAAATCAGTATGTCAAAACCGGTTCGCTGCGTAGACATGTGTGCTCGGGGACCCTACCCCAAGACGAATACTTACAAAGCCCATACTATACTCATTCGATAATCGTTGTCCATTACTACCTTCCCGTATTGCTAATCCAGCCACCCGCAGACTGTTCAACTCAACATCCATATTGGTATATAGAACCCTTTAGTTGCACGAGTGTACACTCGAAGATTGTCCGCCGACGTAAGCACCCCGCAGACCCGCCATGTCATCATCTCATAGCCCTTATCCGGCGCTACGTCCTCGTTATGGTTCTTAGGGAGTTCGCCTAGTATTTAACTCGACATCCTGATTACTATGTCGAAACCCTCCCACTGCACGGGAGTATGTACT